ACTTCCACCGCTACCAGCACATCCACTACAACAGATACCAGTACAACAACAAGCCAAACAACCTCCACCAGTACCAGTACTACCTCCACAGCTACAGCTGCGAGCCAAACGACTTCTACTTCTACTAGCACGTCGACCACCAGTGCTATTTCCACCGCTACCAGCACATCCACTACAACAGATACCAGTACAACAACAAGCCAAACAACCTCCACCAGTACTAGTACTACCTCCACAGCTACAACTGGGAGCCAAACGACTTCCATCAGTACTAGTGCTACTTCAACAACTACAAGTACGAGCGCAAGTACTTCAACTACAACTACCACCGGAACAACATCCACAACTACTAGCACGGCTACTAGCCAAACCACTACCAGTTCTACGAGTACATCCACAAGTCAAACGACTCCTACGAGCACTACTACTACCACAACTGATACAATCACTAGCACAAGCACTTCAACTACGACTACCAGTCAAGCAAGCTCCACCACTACTAGCACCAGCACAACTACAAGCCAAACAACGGCTACTACTGCTACTACAAAAACCACTGATACAACATCGACGTCTACTAGCATTTCTACGACAACCACAACTGCCACAGTATCGACTACGTCCAGTACGTCTACCACATCGAGTAGTCAAACTACTGCTACTTCTACTAGTACGAGTACATCGACAACTCACACAACATCCACCACAGCTGCTACGTCCACTACAACTACGTCCGAGACAAGTGCTAGCACCAGTACTTCTAGTACCACTCCAACGACATCTACTAGTTCCACCACAAGTACTTCCTCTACTTCTACTAGTAGCGCTACCACGAGTGTTACTAGTACTAGCACTTCTACTACTACGACCGAAACAGTGTCCACTGCTACCAGTACTTCCACTGCAAGCACATCAGCTACATCGACGATCCAGACAACGTCTACTACGTCCATTTCAACTTCTTCCTACACAGGTAGTACCACCACTACTTCAACGACGATCACCAGTCAAACAACCTCCACAACTACTAGCTCGACCACAAGTCAAACAACGTCTACTAGTGCTACTACTACAACTGCCCAAACCACATCGACGTCTACTACTAGCTCTACGACAACCACAACGAATACAGCGTCGACCACTTCAAGTACGTCTACTACATCAACAAGCCAGACTACTTCTTCCAGTTTGTCGACTACTACAAGTGTTACAAGTACTAGCACTAGCACTATCAGTCAAACAACATCCACTAGTACTAGTACGTCTACTAGCCAAACAACCTCTACTACTAGCTCTACGACAACCACAACGAATACAGCGTCGACCACTTCAAGTACGTCTACTACATCAACAAGCCAAACTACTTCGTCCAGTTTGTCAACTACTACAAGTGTTACAAGTACTAGCACTAGCACTACCAGTCAAACAACATCCACTAGTACTAGTACGTCTACTAGCCAAACAACCTCTACTACTAGCTCTACGACAACCACAACGAATATAGCGTCGACCACTTCAAGTACGTCCAGTACATCAACGAGTCAAACAACGTCTACGACTTCTACGACCTCCACTACTTCTACAACATCAGTAAGTCAAACCACATCCAGCACTTCTTCTAGCAGCAGCAGTACCAGCACCACAAGTACAACCAGCTCATCGTCGTCGACATCTTCGAGTTCTGTGACAATAGCAACGAGTACGACTAGCACGGTAAAATAAGTCTGAGTACGATAGGTGTGAGTATGAATACATATTCGTATGTTTAGAGCACTGCGTCGAATCAGAATGTATCGACATGTGTGGAAACGTTTTCTATTGGTAATACTAATCTGTTGCTAACCTGTCCGTCAAATACAAGTATGTTGGTGTTACCAATCAATGGGTACTCGATGAGTACGCGGAACGGTATAAGAACACTTACAGTTCAAGGTGCAAATGGCAAACGAGGACCGCTAAGCACTATTCCACCAAATATATGCTTCTTACCAAATTTATTGGTATGTTGTTCCCTTCTCCTATCGTTATTTTAATTACCTCATTTATTAATAGGAATTGAATGTCTCATACAATAGTCTCACCCGATTGGATACCTCGTTTTTTTCGTCGAATCCATCATGTCTGAGCAATCTGCAAAAACTTAATGCTGATCAGAACCTTATAACTGAGTATCCATCGGATTTTCTAACACATACACCCAACCTTCAACGACTTTTACTACCAAACAATCAGTTAACATCGTTCGATCTTGCATCGACTGTTCTTGTCGATACTGCAGTTGATTTATCGAATAATCAAATATCGAAAATAACAAACAATGCAAATATCAATATATCAAAATATTCAAATCCATACTACACAGCGATTGATTTAAGTAATAATAGTGCAGTCATCGATGTATCGGATGCTCTTTTTGAAATGTATGGAGCTTGTTACGAGGTGATCCAAGCATTCAATTCAAGTGCTGCTTCAGCTACTCCAGTATTGACCATCAGTCTGTTGAACATCGATTTCGGTACATCGAGAATCAACTGCAGTTGCAGCCAATATTATCTCGAGCGAAGTCTCCTATCAACATTTCGAAGTAATCTTATTTCTTCGGATCCATTATCAAATACTAAATGTCTCGATGGATCACTGTTTTACAACAATACCAATATTTTACAATGTTCGAATTCATCTGCTACATTCACCAACTCTGTTCCACGTCTCTGTATAATAAATCAAAACAATACAGGTGTTATCTACACGAATACAACTGATAATTCTACAAGTACACAAACATATCCTTATTATCTCACCCAAAGTTCAAATAGCACGTACTGTATGTACACATTCTATTCTGATGGCATCAAAGCGGCAATTAATTGTGTAGATGGTTCAAATAATTTGACAGAAATTGCACCGGCAATTTTAACAAATAAATATTTCCAAAACATTTCACAAGTTGTTGTGAATAATCAAAATTCAATATCAGAATTGCCATCCTATCTATGTTCATTGCCATCAGCACGAATCGATCTATCCAATCAATCGTTTGTCATCCTAGATAAAGACACATTTCCATGTTCAACATACAATACGCTTCAATACATCAATTTGACTGACAATCCCATTTCTTTTGTCAACTTAACCTATACAAATTGGACAGTTTTCGATTTGTCATCGAATAATCTTACACAATTACCATACACATTATTAAATGTAAATCAAAGTTCCATTCAACCAAGAGACTCAACATCGCGAACTCTAGATGTGTCATCTAATCAAATTTCTCAACTGGATCTATTTGCATACACATATCCATCGACAAGTATTAACTTAGAAAGCAATTCCTTTACAAAAACGACGAATGGCTATAACGTTATTAAAAATGTTCAACAAAAATCGCTACGCAGTGGTCCGGTCTCTTCAAATGTCGATCTACCAAGTCAATCGCGTTTTCTTGTTAACGATCAATTAGCACAGAATTACAACACATGCGACAGTCGAACATTGATTAATCTAATCAATATTCTGCAATATATGAAAAATGATGGTGTTACAGTTGAACTCGAATGTCAATGCTCATCGATTTACCTGAGCGAATATCTACTTTTGTATAATTCATCGGACAAACTTACAAGTCGATTTTCATGCAGTAATACATCCAGTTTAAATCAAGCACAGTTCGACAGTTTAGCAGAAAGTGACTGTTTGAATAATATTACTTTATCATCCGATCGACTTTGTCAATTTGCAAGTGTAAGAAGAACTGCTTTCTTTTCTACCGAAATAATCCCTCTGGTTTTCTGTATTTTAGCGTGTTTCTCTCGCTGCAAGTTCGCCATCGAGTGATAATGGTCGTTTATTAGCAATTATTCTCGGTTCAATTCTCGGTTCCATTGCATTTATTGCCCTACTTGCACTTCTTATCTGTTGTCTTTGTCGAAAACGTAAAAAGTCGCCTGAAAAATCGAGCATGACCGTGATGTCGAGACCTCCAGTTGGAGGAAATGCTTCCCACGATGGCTATGCAGCAGCACGAAGTCTCCAATCACCACCACATCATGTGGCCGCTCATGATTTCCGCCTTAGTGCTGTCTCAGAAAACCTTCCCGAAATAGGAGAATATTCGTTAAGTCGACATGAACCAATCTACATTCGAGAGTAAGAGTTCAAGAGACGTTTTTTGTGTGTTTTGAACGTGGTTTTTTTAGTTCAATCGACTCATTGCAACAAGATGTGTTCGAGCAACGTGAACGTAATCGACAATTACGCCAACCTCCAATTGATTATGACACTAGTAGAAGCTTCCGTCATTTGGACAATCCTTCGCCGAATTCATCGTATACCTAACAAAAGGTTTTGTGCATTGTTGTTCTTATTTCGTATTGAAATGTGTGTTCTAGTTTGAAAGGTTTTATTTAAAATAAATCGACTTTGATTTTTCCTCTTAGTTGAAAAAGTGTCATTGTCGAAGTTCCCCAATGAAAATGTTTTCGATCGAAAGAGAAAAACACGAAGATGAAACTAATTGTAGTTATTAGAATTAGATGAGAAGAAAAAAATCGATATGATCAATCAAGGGTCAATGAATCATTAGTTCGATCATATCTTCCTTTGATTTTGAAAAAGCAACATATATATGTTGTCTCTTGAATATTTATGTATATTGTCCTTTGCATTATTTTCTTTCTTCTCTCGTTCTCTCTTTTTTTTTCTTTCTTCCTCGTCGCTTTTTTTTCTCTCATCAACATTCGTCGTGTCACCTCTCCTAACTCAGCTTTACTTTATTCATCAAATGCATCATATACGCATATTTACCATCAGTTTTTTTTCTTTACTCCAACCATGGTTCTTTGTAGACATTCTGATTCTTCTAGTATTCTCGAGTTTTTTTTAAATATTATAACAGTAGATTGACACAACGACAAGTCTTTCTTTCCCTGCTTTTTTTTTTCATTCACTTTGTCGATTTCTCTTCGGGTTCGTTTGAACGATTGTGTTCTGCTGTTCTTTCGACGTGAAAATGTTTATTACTCATTCTTTCTCGCGTTTTCATTCCTTTTCACGTAAAAGATAAGAAGACATTTGAAAGAATGTATGAGTGGTCTTTGTTGATATGAGTTAGCTATAATACATCTGTCTGCCAATGTCAGTATATCATAAAATGCATTGAAAGAGAAAGAAAAAAAGAAATCGATGCAAGTGTTATTATTGTTAAATCGCGAATACAATCGAGACAGATCGTTTCTAATAAAAAAATATCGTTCAAGATTATAATCCTAACCTTCTGTTTTTAGAGAAATTTACCATGGAAAGTCTAACTTCTGCAATGCCAGCAACTGGTTCATCTGCGCCATTCGTCAATACAAGTACTATACTCACTACACTTACTTCAACGATGTTAACATCAACTCTATCATCGAATATAACCAACATTACTAATAATTGTCTACTGAAAAATTCGCCTTCGACATGTCGACTAGGTGAATTCATTCGTGTCTTAGCGTATCTATTTTTGGGCGTTTCACTCCTGCCGCAAATTCTTTATTTATTTAATAATGGCTCGAAGTACATTGCTGGAATCAGTTATATGTGGTTAATTATTCGTGTGCTTGCCTTAGCTTCATTAGTACTTGCTCATGCATTTCAATGGTCGTCTATACTTGAGTTAATTGCATTGGTCTCAACCATAATTATCTTTATACAGATTTTCATCTATGCTGATAATTTTCATCGACAACAGAAGATTATTTTAATATCTGCAAGTTTATTAACATGGGTCATCGGAGGTTTTCTCTTGTTATTACTCAGAAAACGACCTGATTATTTAGTTACGTTTGGATATATCCTACTTTCAATTCATACATTACCTCAAGTAAGTCAACAATTCTATCGATTAATCATAAACATATTTATTTATTTAGATTCTACTTAATTCCTTATTGAGAACAGCAAAATCTTTATCAAAATTTTCGATTTTATTTCTTTCTATGAGTGATACACTTTTCTTTGCTAGTATTTACGTATCCAATGAAAACTATTTTCATTTAGTTTTATATTACTACGCTTTTTCATTCTTTTTTTATATCTATTTACAAAGTATCATTCATGCTGATGCGAATATTTTTATAATATCACGTTCCGCCCATACGGTTTTGACGCCCGGAGTGAATTTGTATACGGGACTTGATGCAACTGGTGCGCGTAGCGCTGGCCAAGAACCACAAATGTTCTCAATTGATGATTTAGAAACAGGTGATGGAACAGATGTTGTCTATCAGCCAGTTACATCAAATAAACCGGCAGTACCGACGGTTGAACAAACGCGAATGAACCAAATTGTCTGGTATGCAACATTAGCATCGATCGTTGCTATTGAAATCATTCTTACAATCATGTTGATTGTTCGAGCATGGTCAGAATGGATTATTCTCGTGCCTGTATCAATTCCTGTCGTGTTGGGCATATTTTTCTTACTGCGAACTCGATTAAGTGACTCTCAAAAGGAAAACCTACGAAAAATTTTGTAATTTGTTACTTCATGTTGCTTTTCTTTTTTCTTTTTTTTTAAAATACATACCGAATCATTCTGAGATCCAATCATTTGTATTCACTGAACTGTCAAATCAGATTCGAACTCGTTCTTCTTCGTAACACTATTAGATTTTACTCCACATTATTGACATTGATATACAGAAAAGAAAAATAAAAGCAAAGAGAATGGTTATGGAAATTGAATAATAGAGAAACACATCTGACAGAGAGAAGAGCCTTCAATGAATTAGATAGGCAATGCGTGATTTGAGACAGTTAAGCGTACACAATGATCGTATTCGTCAAGTTTAGCGCGCCAACCACGTTGAAACCAGAACTTTGTATTGAATTTTATACAAGCGATGTGTGGTGGTGAGAACATCAACATTTGATTGGGAGAATTTGCTGATTGAAAGGGCTTTGTCAAAGCGATGGTTAAATCGAGATGATCTAATTGAGTTAACGAGGTTTGAAAGAGATTTTCCCATTTGTCAGCATCGAGATATTCATAATGATTGAGTAATAACCATAGAGAACGAAGTTGACCGAGTTCTTCGAGTAATAATAATAAATAATCGAAACGTATGGAATCAATTACTAGTTTGAGAGAATTTAAGCGTGAAGAACATCTTTGGTGAAGATTACCACAAATTGATTGAGTCCATAAATCAACTAAAAAAGAGAAAATCGACTATGTTTTGTATCAATCTATCAGGAATCCGTAGTGGTTGAGAGATATAAAAAGACGCTCGAAATCGAGTCTTACCGTCATTTAATCCGCAGATAGTTGCTTTTAATGTTGTCAAACATGGTGAATATTGTAACAGATGTGTTAATTCCTGCATTTGACACCAGACAATCGATAATTGTTCAACATTGGACAATGTCGTCACATTATAAAACGTCGTTCTCGCACACATATCCATTTTCACACGTTTCAGTTTCGGTCCAGCCAGTAAATCATTATCAATATGCACGAATGACATTGTATCTACACCTTCACTATCCACTGATAGTCGTATATTAACGAGATGTTCGAGAGAACTGATTGCTGACTGAATCATAGGAAAATCGTCGATTGTCATTTTGATAATCACCAAAGTGCGAAGATGTTGGAATAATCTTAGATCTACTGCGTATCTATGCAGGAAAAGATGCACTTGTTGGTACTAAAAGAGTAAGAAGATGAACTATGTTTCAATAAAAATATCAGTCGAACCTCATCGGTGTCGTAGGTTCCAAATGTAAACGAAATGAATCGATCGATTATCTGAGGAAGAACATTTTGCACATAGGAATGAAATTGTTTTGGAGTCAGAGATGACAAATTATCACGAAAGCGCATACGAGAATCAGTTAATATGGTGTTGAGTCGACTGTTCAAGCCATAGAAAGTTTTGAACAAATCATTTGGAGATAATCGATCGAAGATTTCGAAAAAGACTTCATCAGAAAACGTTTCAAGTTTCGAGCCCGAACCAACCAGAGATTTATCCATCGAGATTAGTTTCTATTTACAAATAAATCTACGAAAAATCCAGCATTAAACGTTTGTTTTTGTCAGTTCAATCCAAAGGAAATTTACTCGATTCGAAATTATAGAGGATCATTGCCAAGTTTGAACATCTACAATCGAAGAACAAATTTAACCTCACTCTCCAGATTCTAATTTAGTTAATTTTGCGTCGATGACAATAGAGGTATTATCCTGTATTCTTACAGGTCCTTCATTTCTCCTACAGATGGTGCTAGTTAACACCAGCTCAATCATCATTTGACTCATGATGAGTAAAATCTTGATTTTGACTCAGAAAGTCTCAATTGAAAGCCGACCAGATAAACTCATGTTTTTATCTTATCGTATTTCTAACCTTCAGTCTTTCGTTATCTGTTTATTTGCGACTTATATATTACACCAATGCGTGTTGAAAATATCTGCTTATTTTCAATATGGCTGTTCTACTTGTTACCATCATTTGCCCAATTGTATTTGCGATTTGTTTTCTTATTCAAACGATTTACTTTCTGTACAAAGTTCTCAAGGAAAGACGAACGGATTATGTTGGAGATACACCGGTGACGACGGTTCATATGAGCGAAGGTGAAGCATCATGCTGCATGGGCTGGGCGTGGACGTCATGCATAGATAAATCAACAAATCGAATAACTTTGAAAGTATTTATCGCTTGGTATCTAGTTTGCCTTTGTTTTGACGTTCTATTAACAGTCATTTTCTATGTCTTTTTTTATCATTATCGACGTATTTATGTTTAAAAGAAACTATTCGAATAGGCGCAAGATTTTTGTTCACACATATTAAAAAATTTAATATCAATCATAGAAAAAAAGCGTTCGAGTCTACACTGTTATGAAGAAAAAATGGGAAATTTAGTTACTGTTGAAGAGACATGCGAATTATGCAGTAGTTTCATCTTGATGAACAATGAGTAACTCGTCATCATCGTCGGTAGTCGAATTGATTTGGAGTGAAGGAGATGAAACGATCGTTGAATACGATGGGAGCACAGGAACGTTATAGAATTTCTTGTTGAATTCAATTAACTCAATGATTTGTTGAAAAGAGACGTTTTTCATCGAACTCGTTGTTATTGAGTTACTCTTATCACGATTGTAGATGACAACATTGACACAAATTACGTCAGGTAAACGAATAGGAATCGAAAAACGGCAGGTGGTTGAAGTATAATCAACAAATCGAGAATACTTGTCTGCATGTTTGAGATAATTCGCTTTGCGATTGAAGAATCGATAGAAACGACCGTGGGTTTTCACACGACGTTTACCACTACGAAGAGAGAGAGAGAGAGATTTGAATGAAAACTCTTCGTGTTCTTCGAAATCCTTACGAATAATTCGTCGATATATCGAGAACACGTTCATTGGGATTAAGAATTTGCTGATCAAATGATGGTTGATAAATCGTAAACGATGCTAAAAACACGAATTCAATTCTGAAGGGATTCACATGGAAATATTCGATTTACTTTCGGGAAGATAAACACTGGTGACGACATCGAGATCATCATGTATATTCGCTGAATTGATCATATGCGCATATTTTGATACAGTGATATGATCTACTTTGAGACTATAGAAAACATCGGTTTGTTCTAGTGGAGTTAAGAAGTCTCGACAGAATAATTCTTGAAGTAATTTGCTTGTTAAACCTAAAAGATAAAGAATGCAACTTTTGTGTTGAAAATTAGGAAATCAGTCATACCGAACCAATCCTCGGTGTCGAGATCACAATCATTCCAGAATTTATCAAGTTCACTTTTAGTGAAGTAAGGTAAAATTCGTTGGGGATACCATTTTTCTACTAATTGAGTTCCTTCAATCAATACCGCCTAAACAAGAAAGTTCAATGAAAGTTTCTATTCACTTTTAAATACAATTCTTACTGTCAAATCCGCTTCTGTCAGCCGGATACGATTGTGATTATGATCTCGATGTAATCGAAGCAAATCATTTCGCCTAATGACAAGAAGAATGATAAATACAACAGTTAATATCGTTCATAACTTACTTTTCAATCGCCGATCGAAGATCTTGAATATGTTGATCAACCACTCGACTCATTCGACCAAAAACCGATCCATCGTCTGATCTTTGTACACTGGCGGAAAACGGTTTGAACGTTTCATTAAAAAATTGTCTAAACACACAAGGTTCAGCATTTCTTCATTCAAATTCATTTCCAACTCACCGATATTCATCGACTGGTTTCATTAAGATTTGTTCCACATATGTCCGATAAACTTTCAGTTCATTTTGTTCAATCAATGATTCTAATGCTGCCAGAACTTCAGGCGATGAAACCTGGTAGAAATATTCAGCAGCAAGTCCTGGTCCAGCGATTCGGCGAGCAAGAAAACCATTATGCGCAGGAATACGAGCGAAACGTTTCACTACTAAGTGATAAATAATCTTATCATACATGCCTCGTGTACACCGGTGCAAAAACGCATCTAGAATAAATATTCTTCGAAATTCTCGTGCCAATCGAATAAAACAATCTTACAAATAACAAGGAGAAGAGCGACTATTGGACTAGCAATTAAGGCAAGCACGACTAATACTGGTTGAACAACACCACCACAGAGTAAATCAGTCATGATGATATTAATAAGGCAAAATAGTTTTCGACCATATTCACCTGAAAAGATCGCGATAGAAACTAGATTTCGGAAAGTTGTTTGTTCCTACCAGCTGAATTTGCATCATAGAAAATCAATTGAAGTAAATGAAATATTAATGTTAAAATCGGCATCCTAATGGATGAATAATATCGAACACAAGTTTTTCGTATAAATTATTTCACATACCAAATAGGTGACAGAACACCTAATGTAAACGAAACAACTGGAACTACCAAACATGTTATTGGGTAAACTGCACAAATAGCAACGGTTCCAACACAACCTTTCGCAATATAATTCCAAAAGCGATTGAACATTCTTTGCATATTTTTTCCCAAAAATCCTTAATGAAACCAAATATTTTGTTTATAATCGATGTGTATTGTTTTGTCTCATACCTCGATCGGGTACCTCTTCAAACTTTTGTCTCGAACGTCGAATGTTCGCCCACAACGCCACAAGACGTGATACAAATGTCTGGGTTTTCGAATATGGATCTTCATGAAGTTTTAGCTAAGAAAACATCAATACTAAACTTCATTTATCAATCGTTTGTCTTTACATACATCTTTTTCATCTAATCGGTAATTTGGTTGAAATGGTTTTGCGGAAAATAACGCTCGAAAACTAACGGGACTACTGAATGGGATCACCAACTACAAGGACAGAGAATGAAATATTGTATGATTTGTTTTCAGCTCATACACATAATGCGAAAATGGTATTTGAAAGCCAACAGTATGTTCGAAGTACGAATAATTTCCATCGCCAAAATGGATATTTCGTTGTTGTTGAATAGGTCACTGTTCGTCGAAGAGCATAGTGTGCTTCCGACTAGATGATCCCGAGAAAGTTTCGAATTGAAACAGTTCAAACAAAACTCACATCGGATTGAATCAATTGAATTCGTCGTTCTTCTTCTTCTGCTGAATAAGTATTTTTCGCAAATCGTGTCGGTACACGTTGAATAGGTAACGGATATGTTCGTTCGACAATCCAGTTTTCTACAAATACAAAATCTACAACAGTACCTCATACAGAAATTCTTTACTTGGCAACCAAATTGATCGATTACAACTGATCGTACGGATCGGTTCTCGAGGTGGTTTGAGATTATGTCGAAGAATGGACTCGTGCTAAAGAATACAAATGAGAAAATACTATGCAGAAGAGAAAATACGTCATACATCTTTTCGAAATGTTAAATCACGTTGAATGAAATACGCAGCTTGATGATTTCCTAATGCTTTACATTGTTCAATAGATAACTGATGAGCATCCCATTCGTGTTCTTGGATATAGGAAACTCTCGCTTGGAATAGTTTGTTTTCCAACCATCGATGAATCTTCGATTTGATTGGATGTTCACGTACAAGGGTCTGTTCGACTGTTTTGAGGTGTTTTCCCAAGTTTTCATTCAATTGATCAACGACAGATCGCATGACTAAAATAGCACGAGCTTGTGCGACTAATAAACGCCCAAGACCTGGAGATAATTGTTCGAGTTCACTTGATTGTTCAATAATCGCGAATGAACGTTCGGCATATTCGTTATTCAACCGAGTTTGAACAAGTTTAGCAACTTCTTCTTTCGACAATTGAATTTCTCCATCTAAAATCGCACGAGTCATCATCAAGAAACAGAAAATCAGTCTGAAATTACGTTTATATTCATTGATCAATCGTCGTTTCGTTGAATTAAACCAATTTTTCGGTGTTTGCTCTTTCAACAGCGAACTAACGATCTCTTGAATTTTATTTTGCATATCTCGATTATGCAGCCGAAGATCAATATCAGTATTACTCGGTGTGACAAAATGATGGGGATATGGTAACATTTGTGGTGGACGTGTCTAAATGAAACAATCATCGATTTCTCCACCATCGTTCGCGTCGAGTTTTTCATTACTTTCTCTACACGATTTGGATATTTATAATGTTCTTCCATAATATCCAGGAGAGTTGGAATTTGTGCACAGAATGCTTCGTGCATTCCCTTTTCACTTGCCTAAACAAGACATCGACAATGAGATGTTCGCATTCGGAATCAATGGTTTTTACATGTGGTGAAAGCTCGATCACTAAAAATTTCAATCGTTCATTTTCGACTTCGGCATCGATTCCAGGAGAAAATACTGCGGGTAAACCAATGAAAGCATCTAAAACAAGACAATGTGAATACAATGAAATCAAACTCTTCATTAACTTACCAACTAGACTTGCAAGACCTTGTCTCCATGATCTGATCGTTGCTCTGAAACTGAACGTATTTGAAAAAACACGATCACGAGCGAAGATAATGAACATATAAACAGCCCATGATAATTCCTGAAGACAAAGGATATTGTCATTGGCAAATTATTTGTAAAACTAACTTTGAAAAGTTTTTCGTTCGCTTTTTGAACACCTGATTGAAGTAATTTACTCAATCGCCATCGATGGTGTTGTCCAGGAAAATGAATACTTGCAACTTGAAATTCTCTGCAATCATCCTATTGGTTTTAATCAACGAATGTTTATAAAACATACCCTGTTTGTTCAACTGCTTGCAATTGTTCTTTATTCAATTTAATCGACGAGCCGTCGGGATTTGTTGAAACAATTTCAAGTTCATTTAACGTTGGAGTTTGAAACAGTGATCGAAATTCAATCTAAATCCAATTCCTTATTCACAAAATTCTCGTTTCCAATAGTTGATCTACTTTATTCGATTCGCTCGTTATGCCTGTTATCGACGGTGGTAATGATACTTCAAACGATACACACTGTTCGAGATTTTTCTCTGCTTTCTAATACAAAACAAACATGAGTACATTTCACCTCGATAAGCACATTCGACATACTTCACGAATATAATTTTGAATATCGACTATATCAGTAGGAAGGGCTTCGGATGGTAGACGGAATTGGATGGGTCCAGTCTATTTATATCCAAATCAATCAACGCTGATCGAAAAAGTCATCTTGACTTACTTCGTATTTGGGCATATGAATCGACACATGTTCATTTTGTTTTGCCATCGGATGATTGTTTTCTCGTTAGTAATTACATATAGATATTATTCTCAAAAAGAGAAAAGAAGATTGCATTAGAAAACATGTAGTTGGGTAGATAAGTACATACACACACACACACACACACGCATATTTGTTCGCTATATATACGATTTTAGTATTATTCATGCAGGTTTCAAAAAGAAAAATGAGTCAATACAGGATGAATTTCTTTCTGATGAAACGCGATCGACGCGTTGTCGTTCTCCTTTTTTTATTCAAGGTCGAAGTAATGAAACATTTTAATATACGTGGATCGTTGCATAGGGATTGAGTAATGACAAAATAGAGAATACACACAAAGTCAGTTTCCTATGTTCTCTTTTCCTTGCTATGAATTACGCGATTCAGGAGAAACCATCAGACAAATGCCTCATGTATCCATCAAGCTAAAGCGGGGGCATGCAGAATAAAACATCCTACAAACCCATTTCCTTCAGACTCGTCATCTGAATTTCATCATCTAATTTCTCCTGATCGTTTTTTCTCAACGTGTAAATGCATGTTTAAGTACAAACGACATTTATCTTGACATGTATATGAGAAGCCGTCTTCAATCGGTGATGTGTGAAGTTGATGATGAGAAATGCGCGTGCTCAGACTATGCCATTCTCATTTCTTCTTTCTTTTCTCTTTTTTCTTGTTCATAGACTGACCGTGCTTAATCGACTGGTCGCTTGGGTCTACAATCGATAGACATATACAAAGTAGCACTCAGACAGACGATGAAGATGGGAGAAATTTATATATATACATGAGAAGAAAAAAGGACGAGGAAATATCATGGGGGATCTAATCAATAGGCAGATTGCTTTCTCAATGTAGAGCACGAATCATTAGATATTACTATTTGCTTTGTTTGGTTATATGAACAGCTGTCTAATAGACATCGATGGTCGATCGGACTCTTGTTTAGTTAAGAATAACTAAAAAAATATTTGTTTTTTTTTTGTATCTATTTGTAATGTTATTGCTTTCCTAATCGTGGGAGGGGAGAGTTTGTTGTTTTAAACATAGAAAACGATCGGATAGGTGTTGAATTTCTAGCTGCAAAGAAGAACATGATACTTGAGTCGACAACGAACGCTGTATGTTAAATAATCGTGTTGATTCACATAATTTATACTAATTTATCGGAATTGAAGTTCATTTTACCTTGTCATTATCATTGAATATGAACAAAAGTGTGCTTTCGATTGATTGACTTTACATTACAAACGTAATGTATTCAATGCTTGTTCACAAAAGAAACTATTTGAGTGCCAGTGATCTATAAAGAAGAAAAGAAAGCACATCAAGTGAACAAAATTGGTGTCAACAGGCTCATAAATGTCAAAAGAATAGGAATTCTAACAGCTCGACAGAATGAAAAGAAGAAATCAATTCGTCAAATGACTGTATTGTACGGAAGAAGTTCGAATTTACCAAGAAAATTATCTCAGAACAAAAAAAAGTTAATTATCAGTTGATATGTTTTCTTTCGCAATCTAATAGAAATATCCAGTCAGATAATTAATTATCATCGGAATAGATGTCGGTATTGTGTAGTAAGGAGCAAATCCTTATTGAGGCTCATCGTTCGAGAAAAGAGATAAAAACGGGGAAAATTTGTAGTTCACGAAATTAGTTTCGAAAGTATCTAATTGGAAACAATGCGCTCGTCAACATGTTCGTTTTCTCCGTGCTCAGTGAAACTTATACGGAATTGTATTCCGTCGTTACATATGTTTTCGACTACATCACTCCAACCGACTATTGCTGCACCGAGAAAATGGCCATCAGAGCTGATTGAAGCAGTTTGTATTGAAGCATTTGGCCTTACAGCTCAAGTAGAACCTCAAGGAAAATGGATGACAACAAAGTAAAACTTCATTTTTATGCTTGTGTCTACAACATTAATTGTTATTTCAATATTTCAGTCATATAAAATCGAAATAAGTTGTTTACGATCAAATTCAAATCAATAGAAAGACATTTGTTTATTTTTGTATAGTGTTATAGACAGTCATTTTTTTGTTATTTGTGAATAAAATAATACATTTGAGAACAATGACATCATCGTATGACTGCTTTCCTCTTTCATAATTAGAAATGAGTTTGGTATTAAAAGATAGTCAATACTATTTGCATGAATGGTTGACGATGTTCATTTAGATAAGCAATTTCTTTGTATGTTAACGATGGTGATAATCATTATCTTGATAATCAAAGTCAAATAGAAGAGAAATTGATGAGACAGTTCATTCGTGGTTGAAAGAATATGAAATGAATGTTTGGTTTGAGGGTTCACTATGAGAGCATCATTTTCAAGATAAAAAGTTATTTAAAGATCGATTGATCGATAGGGCTTTATTGATTTTGAAGAAAAGAAAATTTGAATAGGAAAATAATGTTTACAAATTGCGCTGTTTAGATAACAGATACTTTCACTTCGAGATCGTTGTTACCATTACCATTACTAAAAGCTGAAATAGCAAAGGATAGCTTGTATTCCTGATTGACAGTACTTTCGAAAGTTTGTTGAAGGAACTGATATCCAGAACAATCTCAAGGATAGTGATGTCACATGATTGATCACACCACTAGTGCATCCTGAACTACATGATTGTAAGTGCTATCCGGTCAAATTCTTGAATTGAAAATCCCCATTGATTAATAAGGATCGCGTTGGACTATCCACCCTCAACAACTGTCACATTGTCAATAGCTATTGTCTTTTGATTGTTGACTTGTAGTCAATGTTGCATCAATTGTACTTTCGTCTAGAAATGCACATTAGAATCATTTGTAGAAAGTTTTGTCATTTCGACTTATTCGATCCTTACAGAATAAACTATTGATACTTAGATTGCTTTGCATCGATAGATTCATCAAGAAGGATGTTATCGACGAATAAAAATAAAATGAGAGTGTTGAATGATTCACACCGGATAGGAAAGTTTGTAGCGCGAATGTTCGAAATATTCGACACGTATTATTTTTCATAAAAGAAATTAAAGGATGTAATAGTTCCATTACTCAATACCATTTTACAAAGACAATCGTCACAACTACCACTGACTGTCGTTTATTTACTTGCTATGATGCTATCAATGAAAAGTTTCTCAAGTGTCCATACGAAAAGGCAGTGACACGAATGATTTGAGATAGGCAAAGAAGGAGAATCCAAGTGACATTACTTTGCAGTGTACACGAGACTCTAACAATCAAATTTTGTAAATGTCAACAGGTATAAAATACTCTGAAAGGACAATAATTATCAAGTCACGAATACTAAAGTAAACAATTCGCTGAGATCCTAGACGATCGTTCAGGCGAACAAACAGAATAATCGAATAGCTTTTCATATGATCTTAATTTACATAGAAATGTCGACACATTCGGGAATTTTCAAATCATCTGTCACAAGACATTCTCCTACTTGACGAACTCCATCCGATCGTATGGGTAATCATGCAGAAATGTGATTTAGATAAACTATAATAGAAATATTTCTTTACATAGAACCAAACAACAACAGCAGTGGCAATAAAACAAAGAAAAAGAGATATAAAAGGCTATGACAGATAAATAGATATATATATTTCTATATATAAAAAGGAAAAAAAAACTAAAATTCAATATATGTATGTTTGATTTGTTTCTTATGTTAAAGAATTCGACATCGAAGATGACACCGAACCCGATAATTGAGATTGTGATCGAGCAGAATGAAGATTCGAAAGTGCCGATGGTACATTTTTCATAGTGAAGAACAACAAACGTTTCGCCCGATTCTGTGTTTCACTTAAAGTAACCAACGTCCATGTGCTGCGATCCAATATAACCGACCACGGTCGTTCAACATGTAAAATTTTATTCGCTTTTGTATATTCATTACGTTTGATTTGCCATAAACACGATGCATTGTAATCCGCGATCAGCCAACCGCCGAAGTGATCTGTAGTTACTTTAAATCCAGTGACTTCGATTTGCTTTAGAAGATTTAATTGATAATCGAAGATGATTAAAGCTACGTCGCATAGAATAGCTAAATGTTCGGCTAGATCATCCGCTTCGATATCCCAGATGGTAGAAGATTCGAGAATATGTTTGCCGAGTGATTTCAATTTGTAATCGTAACGTTCGAGTAAGAATTGAGGACGATCTTTGCATGTTGAGGATTGATAATAGGAAGAACTCGATGATGATGATGATGATGATATGCTTGAATTGGCTGGAATTTTGTGTGTATGAAATATAGATGATTGACATGAGGTAATACGTTTTGGCCAATCGCCATTGATATCAATGGATTGAAAAATTTTACTGAATGAACGATTACATATGATCTAAAGACGAATGAGATATTTTTTCAAGGTTGGAAGTAGATATGCAACTTACAATTTGTGTCTGTGTTGCAACAATCCAATTTTGTGTTGATTTCGACCAAGATATATCGACAATACCATCGTATGGCCATGGAAAACATAAAAGTGTCAGATCTGGTTTATACATAATGAATTGTTTGTTAAGTTGATGATAAAGACATAAATGATGATCACCATCAATTTCCAAAAAACGCCAGAATTCATTTCCTAAATTAATCGTACGCGTGTACGCAAATTCTAGTTGATCAAAGAGAGCTGCATATTCAGTTTTTGAGATTTGCTCATAGAGATCCAAAGGTTTGCCATTCACGTTCATTTTTTTATCCCCGCGTGTTGTATGTTCTGCTAATAAAATCGCAAAAGTTTGTTCCTGTATAACAAAAAGGAAATTTAATCGTACCCAACTCATTGACAGCAACGGATGTAACACCCGGCGTGTTGAGAGTTGGTCTCCAACCATTTTCTAATAGATTAGTCCAATGTTCTTGGTCAATGTTTAACCATGTTTCATTTAGATCATTTTGATGTTCATGATTATGTTTGTGTTGAGATTGTTTATCCAGAGGATCTTCACTCGATCGACGAAGTGATAATCGATGACTGCGATGTCGATTCGATTCGGATCGTTGATGATTTTGTTGTTTAATTTTCGACGATGAAGGTGGACATCCGTAGATTTGATTATCAACCGCTTGAATTTGATGTGCGTCAAGTGTCCTTGATCGATATCGGCGGTCACGTGTGTTACTAATCGTACTACTGGTTGTCGGACTTTCTGTTCGGACGCTGTTTGCCGCTTGATCGTATAATTCCACTACTTTAGGATCTGATGTTGCTGGAGGAGTAGTTGTAACGGGAAGGATACGTTCAATCGGAATGTTAACTGATTCGCGTGCAATTGCCGTCTGACGAGTTTCACCATTTTTTCTTGGTACTATTTTATTAGTATTGACTATTGATTTAATAGTTAAAGGTGTAGGTGGAATTGTTTGAACACCATTCGACAATGGACGATTGGAATTCTTGACTGGTTTTTGTTTAGTGATAGAGATTGATTCTGTATTATCAATACCATTAGCAGAGGATGGCCGTGTTGATTCAACAGATTGCTAAAAAAGAGAATAAAAAAAGGTAAATACGAACGATTGAATAGAAAAGGTTTGATGCCCACCGATTGTGAATGATCATCATATTTGGTTCGAAGATTCTTTCGTATTTCTCTCAAACGTTGAAATCGTCGAATGGAATCATCAAATGATTCAAATGCGAATAGTTTATGATTTGTATTTCCTCCATTGATCTCCGTGGCTTGATCGTTTGTACTCGTCGAAACATTTTGCTGTTGTTTTTGTTGAATCGGAACATTCGCGATAGTACGCGAATGTCGACGATGAGCACCGTCTGTTTGCGAACCTTGCTTTGGTTTCGGTGTCGACGGCTTCGACTTACTGTCATACGCATATCCAACATGATCAAGTGATTGCAGATTTGACAACTAGAAAACAAAGAGAAATCAAGATCAAAGATCAATAATTAGTCGATTCATTTGTTCGACGGGACACAACGCCCATTTGAATTCACATGATTTTTGATTGTAATCAGTATGAATAGTTTTAACCCATACAATTATATAATCATCATTCACTATCGATGCGATCGCAATCGAACGAACGATTGAAAATAGCCTTTTGCAATATACAAAGGTCAACTCACACATAAAAATGATATGATAACATCCTCCCATCACCGAATCATTCATATATCACAAACTAACCTTGACTTTCGAGCCTAAATTTGTTCGATGTGCATCGAATTTCTTTGTCTTCGTCTTCTTGTTCTTCGATGTGAATAACACTTTAGGTTTGGGTAGGACAAATCCATACTTCATCTATAGAAATTCTCGAGATTAATCTTTATCGGCCAACTCTTCTCTCCCCCTCAATCCCAAAAGCAAACAAAAACCTCTTCCCAAATATCGCATGAAAATCATAATCATAATAATAACACGAGTGCATTTAACCATATTGAAATACTTCACGTGAATCGCTTACCATCATTCGCTACGACAAAGAGAATAAAATTACAGATACAAATATACATTGAAAAGAATCGAATTCGATGCGGATTATTATACAATAAATGCACTTAGGCGAGGAAATTTTCAGGTCGAAATCTCTGATTGACTCGCTTATTTTTCTTTCTGATTTCTTTGTTACTTAAGTATCTAGAAGGAAATTCCTACACTCGTCATTCGATGACACACTCTTACCTCATCAGCGGATAACGACGATGATGGACGTTGCGGGCTGGTACAAATTTCTAAAACACGCTTTAATTCCGAGCCGAGATCATTGTTTTCATAAACTTTGTTTGTTGCAACTTTCGATGATAGACTTCCTCCATATTTCGACGTATTGACTAATTTACCAGGCAGAATTTCCTCGGAGAGTAAATCATCGGTATCGTAATCAATAGTTGCACCAGCGAGGAGATATTTTGATTGTTCTAATTCTTCGCGAATCGAGCGGAGATTTGTTGATATGCGATCGATTTCACTTTTATTATGATAATCTAATGGTTCGGTTTGCCAATGTCGTTGTTGATTGGCTTTTTTTCTTTCAATCTTCTCGACGAATAACTGAGTGTCAAATTCTAAGCGTTCGAATTTGTCTAACAACCCTTTTTCTAATTCACGTTGACGGATCAGAAGACGTTTTATTGCCGCTTCTCGCCAATGTTTCAATTTCTTCACAGCACGTGTCCGAAGTGTTGGCAGATCATTGAGCATCGAGCGAAGTTTATGGACAAGCTCTTCATTTGCATATTGTTGTCGAATAGTCATGATGATAATGTTCGAAGGAGAGAAAGAGAGAGATAGAAATACTTGTTCGTTTCTTTGCTTTTTGCTAATGTTTCGTTTATTGTCTCATTTTAATAATACGAATGAACGAGAGATGATGCGAGTACTTTCGTCTCGGGGATGACTAGAAAGAAGAAGAGAAAAAGACATTAGTAACGTAAGATATGTAAACAATGTTAAGCGAATATGTACATTAAACGATCGAGTCAAATTAAGATCAGTAGTGTACATTTAAATGTTTATTATTACACGTACTTATTACATCGAAGGAGAGAAGACGAAATTTTATGATGATTTTATCCAGATCGATACTTATCAAGTACAAACGAGACAATTAATGTCCTAATGCAAAACAAAACAACGAAATAAGATTTCTAGACCGCAACTCTCAGCTGTATTGAATCTTTCATAGCGAAACCGAACTGAAAAACAAATCTCTTTCTCTCTTTCTCTAGTTTAAATATATACTGTATAAGCTGCATTTATCTCGCCCTCGAAGAAGAACAACAATACTGCTACGGTCGTCACTGGTCGACACTATTACAGTCTTGTTCTTTTTTTTATGTGACGATTTAGCGCGAGCGCACTTACGAAAAAAGAAACATTTCTGTGCGGAGAGAAATGGAAGTGTAAAAAAAATAAGAGTTTTTTCTTCTTCTTCTTCTCCTCTTCTTTGACCTAATCGAATAAAGAAACTATCCAGGGGTCTCTCTTCTTCTTCTTCTTCTTCTTTCTTCTTACGAATCAGATAAGACATACGCGCACAAACATACTCGAAAGGTAAAATACGCGTATGTGTTTATAACCTTTAAAAGCGCTCGAAAAATGCAAATTAGCATGACGAACGGTTTTTTAATGAATAGTTCTGTTATTTCTTTTCGTTTTTCTTCTCTCAATGGCATGTATTTTCAAGATGTATAGATAAACAAGGTTGAAATTTGAATATTTGGAATCGCAGTTAACAGTTGTTTTGTCGAAAACGAACATAACAACAGCGCAGACCTGGAACTCCAGTCTTCTCCTCATTACGATGACTTTATTCTCGGCGAAACAATGCTTACTAAGTGTTTTGATTTCTATACAATAGAACAACGATCTATATGCTATTAAGACATCGAACTGACAGAAATTATCAGGCATCAGTCAATGAAAAGGAGAGAAAAAGAGAGTTTTTCACGCAGCGGTTCATTTACCGCAATAATGTCGAGGAGAAATGCAAGGTGAAGCAAAGTTACTCGCAACCACGCAAATGAAATTTGTTAGTTAAAAAAACTAATATCATTTTCGAAAAAATTTCCAATGAGAAAGAGACCCTATCAGGCATGTCCTTGTTCTCGATCAATAAAAAAAAACCGGCAAACTAGAAGAAAACAATACACACAGATGATGTCATACTCGAGAAGACTCGAGGATAATTTATTTCACGAACGTCATCAGTCAACTCTTTCTCTTTCTCTTTCTCTCTTTCTCCATGTGTATACTAGTTTTGTGGCTTCCACACGTTTGGTATTGGGATTGTGAAAAAAAAACACACAATGTGTTTTATTTTACTCTTGCATTTTATCGTCCGGCAGCTTGAAAAGAAAAGAAGTTGGATCTCAACGCGACACATACGCTTTCTCAGTGACATATTTCATTAAAAAGAAGAAGAACAAGAAAGAGAAGCAACTGTAAGCAGTTGGCACACGCTTGTAACGACCAACGTAGTCATATACAAAGAAGCATTGAGTTTTATACATATGCACCGAGAGATTGAACTGTATATAATTAGCGATTGAAGAGAGAAAAAAAGAAAAAAATTTCTTTGTTAATTTTGGGTCAAAAGTTCGATAGAATTTGTTGTCAATCGGCAGTTTTGATTGCATCATATCTCATTCGATTTCGGTTGTTAGTGAACCTTTTTTTTTCTTCATATTTAAATAGGCAATAAAATGAGTATAAAGAAAGAATAATGGTGGTACCATGTTCACCCACACAGATCGAGTGTCAACGCGTTTGACGAGTCCTCGCATCTAATTGAAATTTGATGCTGACGCAGCTTTACAAGGTAGAGAAAGAGAATATGTAAAACAAGCGCAAAACAGTCAATGTTTGCATATTCACAGCCTCGAATTTCGCGGTCGGACAACGATACAGACATGATCAAACACTTTAATTCTTTTGTAAAAATCGTCCCTGTAATTCACGGTCACCTGTCGCGCTTTAGTATCAAATCAGATCATAAAATTTTTTTTTATTCACTAAACAAAATACAAAACGTCTCACATACATCAATAGTTCGATATGCTAACGTTGTTTTTATTTTGCTTTAGAATATACTGGAAGAAAAGCATATAAAGTTCAGACATGCAGAAAAAAGAAAGGATTACAAATAATTATATCCTTTGACTAGTACAAAGAAATGCAAGACACCAGACAAACGCCACGAAGAAATATTCAGATTCGAAACAAAATTGAAGATTACCATAATTGAACAAGAAAATATTGCACTGAAATTCATAACACAAAACATACGGAGAGAGAGAGAGAAAAATTTCATTCAGATCATATCTGTTCAGTGTCACTTAGATTCATTCGTTGTAATTGATCTTTGAGGATAATGTCTTCGTTATTTCCTGTCAAAGATTGACCTTCATGGCCAGTGCCATCTGTAACTCCGCTCTGTGCTTTTCCAGGACGAATACTAAAACGAAAATTCAATTCAAAGTGAGAAACTTTTCATCTGATTCTACTTACCCAGCCACTACCATTCGTTCAACATCGGTGACGCTCTGTGGTAATGGTTTATTCAATGTTTCAGGAAACATCAAAGCCAAAACTGCTGCTAACAACGAAGCAACACCATAGATAAGTATAGGAAGATGTATCCAGATTCTAGTCTAGAATTATTCATGAAAATCCGAGCGAATCTCATCGTTTTCACACTTACTGATGCATCATTACAGAACGTTCCAACCATTGCGCCAATACGTGCGATCATTGAACAAATACCCATGCCTGTATTTCTTAGATTGGTTGGAAACAATTCATTAGCATATATATAAATAATCGCATAGGACGCCGACGTCAAAAATTTCAATGATCCGTAAATTAAATTCATTGTCATTCGTTGTGCTGAAATGTAAAATTCCATTTTGATTCCTTTTAAAGAAAAATGATCAAGTGGATGTAAACAGACCTTGACTGTCTTTTTCCATAAATTTTTGTACAGGTAAAACGAGTATTGCCACAATACCAAAGAGTACAGAAAAAGAACAGTAAGGTAATTTACGACCGACACGATCAAGGATAAGATGAACCAAAATATACGCGAGTAATTCCACAAGTGCGCTGATACCGAATGATAAATATGGATTCATTTTCCACACACCTAACAGAAGACGAACATCGTAAATTCAAAGCAGGAATGTGTCCTACTTACCGGTACTTTGTGAAATACCATAGAACACTAAATTCTGAAGGAGCCTAAAGACAAAAGATAGAGTTGAATCGAATGAGAATACGAATGTTGAGTACCATTGAAAGAATAGGTTTAAACTGATTACGAGCATGATTTTCGATCTGAATAAACTGAGAATACCTTCTTGATTGGTTTTATTCAACATATTCTAAATAAACGAAATGGTGACTCGATTAATTGAACCGGTAAAACGAACTTTTTCTTGTTCATCTTTAACTTGTTGATAAGCATCGCGATCGAAATTTCGTTTATTGCTCACCGCTATTCGGCGTAGAATTTTTTCCGCTTCATCAAATCGTCCTTTACTAACCAACCATCGAGGACTTTCAGGCAGAATGCTAAAAAACATGTTGATTTATTTTGTCGAATTTGCATTTGAAATTTGTTCGCACTTACAAATAAAAGAATATAAATGGGATAGTAAATAGAGTTATTGCACCTGTTAATGCTCGCCATGTACGTATGAAGTACGCGAATGCAAGCAGAAATAATTGGCCAAATGCAAAGAAATATTCAATGACAATGCCAGTCAGCAGACGTTTACTTGGGCCAACTAAAATTCACGAAGAATTTGAGAAAAATTCAGACGTTTTCACGGGAGAAGTTATACCGATTTCCGAACCGAGTACAAATCCCGACACCGATACACCTCGCGTTGCACACGCTAGTAAAAATCGTGCAATAACGAAGATCGTATAAGACGTGAGAAATCCTTGTGATTGTCGAGGACCATAAGCACAAAGGAATCCAGCTATCGAGATAAGAATAAAGCTAACACTCATTACAGGACGACGACCGTATCTAATCATAGAATAAGAAACGATGTATTTCATTGGAATTCGTTCGGATAGAATTTACTTGTCTGCTAATACACCGAAGAAAATCGAACCAACCATGTAACCAGCGAAGAACACTGATTGTACTATGGATCGATATTCCACTCGATCGCAAACCATACTCCACTGAGAGAAAAGATAGAAGTGACAGATTTGGAAAGCAAACAGAGTCTTACTTCTTCCACGAGAGTTTTCGTGTAATGTTCTCTGCTGAAGACGTATTGCGAACATTGGTTCAATTTAGACGAACTAGTTGTGTCTTTATTTTGATAAAAACAACGTTGACATTCCGATATGGATATATGACTTTTCTCGTTTTTACATCGCTCTTCCGATGGTTCATAATTTCGTTTGAAAAATTCGTTGTCTACTTTGTTATACTCATCTGTCGACGAATTATCTGGACGCACACAGCGAAAATCTGGCGTTGCTGCAGTAAATGAATAAGTATAAACCATGATTGGTGGCAACATATAAGTTAAACAGATTAGGGTATATTTGACTTTTTGAAATTTGCCCCAATCACCAACAGTAGCAAGGAATGTATCGAATTTCATGGTTAATTAACTTGAATCGGAATGGATGTTTGTCTACTATCTAGAAACACAAAGAAAAAAATGAGTTGAAGAGAAGAAAAGCGGCAAAAAATATTTCTCTAATTCCTTCACTCTTTGGAATGATTCGAGAGAAGAGACTTTCGACTAGTGAGACATACAATCACGTGCACGTCGACAGATAAATTTCCGATGAAAATACGTAAATATACAATATATTGATACTCGAATGGAAAGAAGAAAGTTTAACAGGCGAAGTAAAGTACGTGTACATAGATTAGTTAAATAAAAATATAAAGCAGAAGAGAAAACACGATATCACAGGGAGAAGAGATGTAAGAAGAGGTCAGCGAAAGAGTTGAATTAACCATATGGATCAAATTTTGGACTCGGTGGTGGTGAGCCGGGATCGCCCAGATCAAGTAAATCATTTGATGGAATATTATTAGTGAAATGATTGGGGTTTAGACTAAGATTATCTAGGGTTAATGGACGTTGAACAGACGTAGGAGGAGGAGGAGGAGGAGCGAGTGGCCGAGGAACCGGTGGAGCTGGTCGACTTGGAATAAATTGAGGTGGTGGTTGATAATAAAAACTACTTTGATTCGAAGGAGTTTTGTTATTTGCTAAAGTCATTGGGTGTATTTGAGGAGAGGGTGGTATTGGTTTCGAAATAATTTCAAACGGATCGATATAAAAAGTCGATTTAGCTGCAGGTGGGTGATGATCAAACGATAGAAGGTCATCTCCATCTAAAGAAGGTACAGAAGATTGAATGAATGTACGCCGACAAATAGCAAACATACTTGTTTTGGAAGTATTCGAGACAGATTTAGATCCAAAATGGAATGGATCAAAGGCATTTTCATTGAATAACATCTAACATATTTTCATGTAAAATTCAAGTCGTTTTTGAACATTCTTTCCGGTACTTACATTGTCTGCTGGTTCGAGTAGATTCTTATTGTTCGATTTTGAATGATCCGAATCAAATGAAATCAATTCGTTCACTTTTTCTTCTTGTTGATATGTTTCGATCTCTTGTCCGCTAGACGGTACGGATTCTTCATTTACAACTAAAACATCAAATTGAAATGACACATAGGTTCTTCATATAACAACGAAGTTTTTATGGAAATAGGATGATTTATTTAAAATTCTTCAGTCTCTTCCTCATCACTCGCTTCAAAGTTAGTGGTGACTACATGTCCTTTGTTGACAGGCAATGTATTTCCGTCCTTTTTTGGTGGTTTTAATGAATGTTTCACTTTAGCTTTCATTTTATCTATTCGTGATTTCTTTTGTTTCTGTTCGTTCAAATTCGATACAACGGGGTGTTGAGCATCCAACGAAACAAATGCCATTGATTTTGGTAAATCTTCCATCATATTAAGAAGATTGGTCGCCCCATTTTCCTCGTGTTTTCGCTGTGTTTTCTCCGATTTCAAAGAGAACTTTATCTCTTTCGTATGAATACTTCCATAGTTTATCGGACAGCCGTGTTTTTTCATACGCGATCGTTTCATTTGTCTATAATAATACAGCGGTCGGGTACCCAATTGCTCTTTGAAGTAAAGTTTTACTGGTCCTAAGCCATGTCTTTTGGTATCCGGTGTTGTATTAGCGTCATCTAAGCTTTCCAAAGATTCGCATTCTGCTTCGTCCGAATCCGAAATAATGACTTTCCCAAAACTACGACGATTTTGCTCATATGTGTGTTCAACATCTTTCATTATTTCGAAATCTTGCATATCTTCTTCTATTCCAATGAACTCTGCTGATGAGTGGCTCAAAGAATCCTCGTTCGAAACTACAAGAGGAGAGTACAAACAAAATTAACATTATTGCCGATAAGTGAGAGAGATCTTTCATGCGATTGAGTTGTTAAAACTAATGCGGTTCACAGCCATGCTTAAACATTCTTTCTCTCTTACGCTTCGGCATATTCCATTGCTCAGAAAACGTTAATTTTGATTCATCGCATGTATCCTCCATCGTTTGAAATATTAGAAAATCGGATAGACTACGCGCTAGACGGTTCAGATTCGATCGATCGAAAGAAAAGAAAAGTAAGAAGAACAATGTGCCTTACCAACACCAGCAACAGTCACGTCTTGAACGGTCGACAGTGCTTCACGAGCCGGTTGTTGATAAACACCAAGATCACTGAAAAATATTTGAAATAAAAGATTAACACGAGACAATGGACTTACTAAGCAATTGATTCAGCATACATTGTTTCATCGGCATCAGCAAAGAGGAGATTTAATTTTTGTGCCAAGGCAAAATCTTCATTTAAATTGACTAAACGTTTACTAAAATAAACTCCACTTGGAAGCTAGAAAAATAGCAAACAATATCCCGTGTATTATCTTTAACATAAAAACTCACTTGATCTTCACGCGGTTCCATCGCTCTTCGAGCATGGTCTCCACTTTCGAAAAACATATGTAGTGAAAGACATCGTGGATTCGAAACAAAACTAAAATCATTCGTAACTTCTACTCTTGATATAGAAAGAAATTCACTTACAATCGATCGATAATCGGAATATGTGATCCGTATTTTCTCTTCACATACGAATCGAATTCTTCGATTAAAAAATTCTTTCTTTGACCCAGATCCGCACGCATATCATAGATTATCACTGCATTTGATGGTGCTAATCGTCGATAAATATTCACATATTCCTGATGCATTTTTGCTTCATCACATATCTCTATTTCTGCATCGAACACTGAACTAACAGGCCGATGATCGGATGTTTTCACTTCGGCACGACCGTAATACAACTGTTTACATTGAACATCAGAAGAAGTACTACGCCAAAGAATACGATCTGTATACGAAGGTGTTCGTGCCTTTTCGCTCGTATCGTAATTATCGGAATCGATATCGTATTTGTATGTCGGAGGGAAATGGATTGGTCCTTCACGAAATTCTTGAAACACCTTTGAAGACAAAAGGGACGAGTTTCAACGATCAAGACTAACGAATAATACTAACTCGATTTTCGGAATGTTCTTTTTTTAGTTGATCATATTCAAGTAATTGTGCATAGGATTCATTTCGGACGAGATATTCAACTTGATTACGTGAGATTGACAAACGATAATTAAAATCACCAAGAAAGAATATATGATCATGCCAGAGAGCTCGTGATGGCTATAGAAACTTTCTTCAGAAAAAGTAGATCATCAAAATTCGTTTCATACCGGTGGAAATGACAGCTTTTCCATCATTGATCGATAATCTTTATTGCGTTCGTTGTATTCATTTTGTCCAGCAGTAAAATGAGCACAGATAAAGCAGATCGATGTGTTATGCAGAACCAAGCGTATAGCCACCTAAAAGAACAATAAATATCTGATTTTGTATGTAGAGGGCATTTTAATCGACTGATAGGTAACATATTGAAGTAATTGCATCAATGAAAACTTCGTCCTATATTTCAAGGACAAAAAAACTCGAAGAGACAGAAGAATAGTCTCTAACCTTCAATGTGTCTACATGCGGTTTTTATACAACTGTGCAAGTGAACACTAATAATATTGACATTTGGATAAGGAACAAATTCTGTTGATTACTGACGAAGAACGGAAACGAATACTTACACAACCTTTATTGCCTAGTTTACCACCCATTCCAGTCTTCACTGAGTCAACAGCAATGTTTCTAAAATAAATTTCCAAGGATTTTATTCAAATACGTGAACATTTAGGTATATGATTATATACTTGACAAATGGCGCAAGATCTCGACGAATAAATATGACTAAACACACACCGACTAATTGATCGTTACCCAGAAGAATATATTCATCGTTGGGATAAGCTTTTTTGAAATAATTTTGAACATTATCTACCCAACGGGTTGCATTTACCGAACTAAAACACACAGAACTTTTGGGAAAAGAGAAACATGTTTTTTTACCTTTGCCAAACCATATTTGTCGCTGTTAAATCGCAAATTTCTTGAAATCCAATTGCCAATATACTCGGTTTAGCTTTCTTATAATCGTTTACTACATAACCTTGAAAAGATCAAACTGATAAGTAAAACATTTCATTTTCGTTTCAAACGAACCCTTGGTTTCAATCGCATTTGCTTTTCTCAAATTCGTCGACATATTTTCCGGCCCATCCAAAATCCAAGCATCCAATATCGACGGATATTCGTGATCTAATTCGCGATTTTTATCTCCGTTGATATTCCACGTGCCAACGGCTATTCGAATTTCTTCTTTTCGTACATAACTCTGACGAATTTTGAACATTTCACTCAAGATAAGACCATCAGCTAAAGGAAAAACACTGTCTCTCAATCACGCGAAGATGAAAGTAAGATTACAGATAACATAAGGCGTCGAGAGTGCTGCGACAGAACGTTCATGTAAGTAAGAATCTTTTGCATAAGTATAGATCAACGTTTGCATGGACTGTTGCTTTTCATCATCACGTAAATTATTTTGAATTGCTCGGCCAACACTACGTTGGATATCTTTCGCCTAGAATAAATTTCATCAATGCGAACATTCGATAGATAAATGGGCACACTTCATCCTTACTATACTTCTTTGCCCAAGCGCGCCAGTACCCGTGTAAATTCTACTGATATGATCTCCATTATTAATCCACATATCTTTCAATTGCTCAAAAATACTATTGAAATTGATTTGCTTTCTCAAACTTCTCAATTGCATTGGTAAAATCCGTAACCCGATGGTCAATTGCACGTTATTCGTTCGATCGAGACAATCAATGCAATTGATTCGAAAGATTCCCTGTTGTAAACTTAATGTCGTATGATCCATATAAGTAAATACACTTTGTTGTTCTAGAGCATTTTCAATGTCGAGCTGATTATTTTCAATCAACATTTTCCGAACGAATTGTTCCGGTGTTAAGTTTTTTATCGTTCGAAATTGTTCGTGATAATCGAACCAAATGAAATCTCGTTCGGTTAAATGACCAAGACACGGTCGATGAGATTGCTGAGCTTGTTTATAAGTTTTGACCAGTAAACGGAATAGATTCTGGTATTCTTCTCCAACGCGTTTTTCATTATCACGTTGTTCGACTAAATTAAGAATCAATACACGACCGTAATGACGATAGAGATGTTTGAAATGCCTATAAATAGTATAAAGTCATTTGGAAGAGGTCATTGACATTTGATTTACTCGAAAAAGGCTTTGAAACTAAGTGCTTCGCTACGCGAGATTGTAATTCGATGAGTACCGACCTAAATTTAGACAAAAATCGATGGCAAAATGACGGAAACGAAATGTGCAAATAGTTCTTCAGAACAAACCGGGAAAAACGAGAAAAATAAATTCTAAATTTTTCTGCCAGTCGATTTCTTTCAATGAAATCATTTAATTAACTTACTTGAAGACGCGGTTGATGCCAAAATAATGGAATCGAACCTCGAACAATCACAAATGATGAATAATTCAATTGTCGATGTAGAAGAACAATCTAAAACATTCCCAAATAAATCATTTCATTCGATGCTTCTTCAAATTTACTTGTTCTGTTTCAACAAAATTTGCCACGGCACCATCGTCATTCACACCGCGAACATTAAATCTTGTTCCGGCACGTTCGCAACTTAGTCTAAACACAAACTCAATAGTATTTCCAAAACAAATACACTGCTAACTACCTGGATATCAACCACATATCGATTTCATCGCTTTGACTACGATATTTTTCAATTCCACCACACATTACTTTCGGTATCCAATATCGAATATCGATATTATACTTTAAAAATGGTAAGCACAGACCACGATTCCTAATAAAGACAAGATATCGTTGAAATTTCCTCGTTTTTGTTCGAGTAAAATTGTGTCAAACCAAAAGAATCGAATATCGGAATCATGTCCTTGAACCATACGTTGAGCACAAAGAGTAATATCATAAGGTTTACTAAAATACCGTCGATTTGTATTTGATTCATGTTTAACATCTGTAGAATAATAAAAGCAACGTCCTTGAAATAGTTTTCTACAAATTCACACGAATAACTTATCAATTCCGAGGTCATCATTCGAATCGCTTACTTAATTCCAGCAACATAAACTTCATCTTCTGGATTATCCCGAATAGAAATCGTTGCAACTTGTACAATCCCTACAATAACATTCATCAATTCAATCTTTCATTCAACATCTACTTGATTCATACGAAAGATATACGCATCAAATAGTTGTCCTATACACACATCTTCAGTTACAAATATCATGAATGGACGAATAATTCCAGCCGCTGAAATCAATCAAAATACAATTTATCCATTTTTCGCATTAGAATTAAATACAAACTATTAGCAGTGGTGCTGTTGGTGGAGTTATTGAGCACCAATACTCCAAGGAAAGCTTTCGCACGAAGTAATAATGAAAACGGATTATCCGACGATGCATTGATTCCTGCAAGAGAAAAAATATTGTCGGAAGTTGAATAATGACATACGGAAAAGAAATATTTATTCATATTTGATATGACTCATTGCGTATGATTAATGTCAAATAGCTAAATTCTATCAATAAACAAAACTCGCACATAGACGAAACTACTAAAGAGCTTGAATTCGTCTGATTAACATGAATATTCTCAGAGGAATTGAAACGCTGTGTGATGATATATTTCACAATAAGTTTTCTTTGAGAGTGTGTGTGTTTTATGGAAATTCTTTTGATATTGTGTGATCAATTAGTTCTCACACAAGAAATTTAATCCGTTGTTTTTTTTTCTTGCAATCAACTTACGAACATTTTGTTGATCACCATTGTAAAATTTCGATGATGTAGCTGACGATAATGTTGAAGAAAGTGGAACTGAATCGGGTGACAAATTCACATCACTCAACTGAGTTATTGTAAATGGTAATGCGTAGGAATCGATCGTGTTCTTTTGATGTTGGGATTGATATCGTAGACAAAGAACATCGGAACGACTTGGCGATGCTGAGCACGCTTGTTGTTGTAATTGAATGTAGAAAGATCCGGAGACTGTTTGCGATGGATCATGCGAATGTGATGGATGAATCGATTCAGCTTTACGATAAAGTACAACATTCCAATTGGTGACAAGGGATGCAGCGGGTAAAGGCGATCGAGTAGGTCGAGTGGGAGCTGCGTTTGGAAACATGGAAATTTTCGTGTTTCGAGAAAAATAAAAATAATGATTAGAACGTGTTTCAATCCGTGGTGTCGGTCTTCAATAGAATAAATCATAAGTATACTGATTGACGCATTTTAATTGGCTTAATTTCGGAACCAATCAGAAAATTATCAAATCAGTGACTGTTTTTGAAATAATAAAATGATATCTTTTGTTTTTTTTTCTCATATTTACTCAAGCAACTGGAAACTTGCGTTATATAGCGCAATAACTGACGAAATAGTATCTTCTTTCTTCAGATTTAAATATGTCGAACAATACAAATAACGAGAATATGTATGAAAATGCTAACTATACGAATAGGCAGGTCCACAGCTCTTTTCAACCTGAAATGGTTAGTGACACCTTTTCTTTTCCACCTTTAGCTATTCTATACTATTGCAGAACCCTATGTCTGACCCTTCGATGTATATGGCGCCGCAGCAACAGCTGTATTATTCTCCACAAGGCGTGCCATTGCTACCAGCTCCATATATGCAACCAGATGCATCATATTATCTTCAATATCCAACTGACGTACAACAAACGGAACTCCAATACGTTCCATCATATCCTTATCACATACAACCTACACCTCATTCTCAGCCAGTGACCAGCACGCAACAGCCAACAATAGCTATGCGGGTCAGTGAGTTCATATTCGACGCAATTGTGTTTATACTGTGAAAAGAGTTCGTATATACAAAAAAAAACTTCTTCTTTAGGCCGAAGCTCCTGAGTTTTCACCTACTCCCAAGAAAACAACTGTAGTTAATCCAAAACCTACTGTGGTTCCACCAACGCCTACGACGAACAATGTTGACGTTCAAACCAAAACATCTATTGATTTGAAATCCATTTTAGCAGATGAATCCGAATCCAAGTCAACAACAGCAATATCAAATGATACTTTCGCGTACGATTTAGAAAAATATAAATACGATTATTTTATATCTAAGCTGACCGGTAATTTCGACTCGATCTATCAAAAGTTTGGCTCACCGACGGGCATTTGTTCTTTGACGGACAATCGATTGTTAGTTGCGAATTATGATCGCGATTCGCTTGTTCTTATTGATTTAAAGGGTCATGTTTATCACTTATATCGAGATTTACCCGCGCCCAAAGATGTTCGAATATATTCAAGAGATCCATTTCAAGCACTTGTGGCTACCAAAAAAGAAGTAGTCATTTTGGATTTAGAAACGAGTAAAGTTGTTGTTCGAACCAAAAGCCGAGGATTTTATCCATGGAATATTCAATACCTTCAAGATGAAAATACCATTACAGGTAAAGATCCGAATTATTTAAAACCTTTTTTCATTCGAACTCGCTTTCAGCCTGTGATCCATCCGGTGAACGCATTGTGTATTTCGATAAAGATCTCACTGAGGTCGGTGTTTGGTCATTTAGTGAGCAAGAACAACAATCAGCATCTTCACAACCCTATCAAAAGATCTACCCATACGCTGCACACTTTTGCTCTGATAATTCTTCATTCGTGTTAACCCATCGGAATAACACATGTCAATTGCAGGAGAAAGATGTGCCGAGCGGAAAAACGGTTCGACTTTGGAATGCACCTGTGGGTTTGCAAGCTTATTCAGTTTATACCGACAGTGCACGAAAATGTCTAATTCCTGACAAAACCAATCATTGTTTGATTTCGGTTTCTGAATGTTCAACTTCTACTATTCATAAATGCAAATCAATTTATGAGCCATATTCGTTGACGTTTCTCTCGACAGGAACATTGTGTGTGACGGATTGGAACAAATCGTTCGGAACAACTGGTGGTGTGGCAATACTTAGTGAAACGGATTTGACATCCAATTGAAGAAAAAAAGACGAGATTTTAGTGACAAATTCTATTTTAGTTTAGAAATTAACAAAATATTTAATCTCAAATGTTACAGTTTGCTTTTCAAGTTGTCTTGTATTGTTTTATGTTGTGTTTATCGTGCTGTTTATTGCTAATATTATTTTGTTTTTTGATTTTATTTTTATACCATCACCGTAAAAAAAATAAAAATTAAAGAACAGAGGAAAAAAGAGAAAGCGAGTGATACAAGCGCACTGATCAAATGAATTGAATGTTTTCAAATTTATAAATGGAAAGAGAAAATGGTTCTTTTCTCTTTTTAAGTATTAATGAAGATTTGAGTTGGAATGAAATTACTCCAAGGGGATGCCGAGACGTTGAAGAATTGCACGAATGTCTTCTTGAGCTAAAACGAAAAGAAAAGTAAAATCACAATTCAATCCTAAACAAAGAATCGATGTTTACGATCGGTCCAGTAAACTTCAGGTTGTTCGCTATTAGTTGCTCTTTGCGTTTCTATTGTAGTCGTATTATAGTCGTATTCAGGTTCCCAGACGGTCTGTGTACTACTCACATAATAATCATTACTTGCATCTGTTTGGTATACTTGATTAGCGCTATCTATTGATGGGCTCTGCAAAAGTAAGTTTAGAAACAAATAATGAGACTTTATGGGTTGGTTGATTTCTACTTACAAGGTTATCATTGATACCGATCTGCTGTGTTTGTGCTAGTAATGATGCTGAATCGAGTAGGTTGTAGCCGTACTGAGCGATGTATTCTTGGGGATTTTGTGGCTGAACACCAAGCCGATGAATCTGGCGTAAAACATTAACTTGAACGGGTTCATAGACAATGATTGTATTACGAGGTTGAGGGTAGGATGGTGGTGGAGGAGCTCGATAGGTGATCACCTTGCGTTTTTGAGTTTCTTTTGAATAAGGTAGCCAGCGTTCGATAACAATATCGCGGGGGCGTGCTGGAACTGCTGGATATCGTTCAACAATGATCGATCGGGGCGGGGGAGGTGTAGGCGGTAATTTTCGGATCACTGTTTGAGTGGGAATGGGAGTTGGGACTTGTGGTGGTCGTTCACGAAGAACCAATGGAGGAGGTTGGGGACGTGGAGGAGCGTGTTGACGGATGACAAGGGGAGGTGGTGGAGGTGGCTAGTGGAATGTGAAAAATCATTTAAGTTTTTTCTGTTTGATCTGAAGGAATAGAACACTTACCTGGGGTGGACGAACTTCTTTGATGATCAATGGCTACACAAACAGAGATGAAGTTAGAAATCAAACATTTTGAAAATGATAGCACATACGCCTGGTGATGGAGCCGGTGGCGGTTGAAGGAAGCGTACGGAAATGTTCTGCCGATATGTCAATGGACCTTGAGCTGCTGGTCGTCGAATGATTTGAGGTCCATTAGGATCTTGATAAAGATTGCTATTGTAGTTAGTCGTGGATGTCAAGGCGCTGCTGACTTCCTCAACAACAGTAGCGTTGTTGCTGGCACCTACATCAACAGATCCGTACTGAGAAGTAAGGGATGGTGATGATAAAGATTGAATAATTTGATTAGCAGTTGCATCATCAACTTCTTCGATCTTTACACCGCTCTGATTGAAAGAATTGGCTGAAGTTGTATAATTGGTGTCAAATCCACCGAAAGATGTACTTTGTTCTTGTCCGAGAACAGTGACTGATGAGTTTGCATCAAATTGAACATTTGTGAGCTCATCAGCTTTGCTTAATAGAGATTGGATGACAGGATTGTTGGCGACCGAATTGTAAGTCATGGCAGAACTATACGAATGATGAAGTTTGCTTAATCAACTGAATTGTCGACACGGCAAATGTTTTTGTCGATTTGGATTGTTATATGAATTGAAAAGTATAAAAGTGCTTAATTTATATTCCACCTCATCGAACAATCAGACTCACATTAATGTCGATTAAAAGATCAAAGTGCAACGAACCAAGCACAAACTAACAGCAATTATGAGAAGAAAACCACAAGTAAACAAGGTGGTAACTCGAAATCAAAATATTTCAATTACTTCTGTCTACCTCTTATTGATATCTATTGTATAGTTTGAATAGTCATTAGATCACCATATAAAATCACTTTTTCTACATTTAAAATCACGGATGAGTTAAACCATCAAATCAAACCACTAATTGACATTTCTTCCCATTTGACAAGAATCGAAATGTACTTAAACAGGAAGATCGATTTCGATGATTTTCCTCTCATCCGAATGACAATGGAACTAATCCGATTGAATCAAATGATAAAACAATATTCTTCGTGATGACAGTCATTATGCATAGTACGTGCAATATCTATTTCAAAAACCAATTAGACAGAAGGCAACTAATGAGAAAATAATGACAATAAAGACTGAAACATAAAAGCAATTATGAAACAAAAAGACAACCGCAGACAGATACATTCGGAGCAAAACAGACGCGAACCTTGAAATATTTCCAAAACAAGTAAACATATTATTTCAAAATGTTTTTTCAATTGGATCGGCAAATGAAAATATGCGACTGTTTTATTAAGAAGAAAATTAGTGAATACATTCGAAAAAGAAGACACACTAAACTATAGGCACACACACACGCGATTGATATTCGAGTCTCTATTCATTTATTGTGAACAGAATGTTTTCAAGAAAGTTGTATCTTCTATAAAAAAAAAAGCAAAATCAAATTTCAAATCGATTAGTTTTACGAAGGAATTCTTACCCTTGTCTAAGCCAAGACATGTACCCCATTCATCTGAGGAGATCTTGTTATCATTGTCTGTGTCACAATGATCCAGAAACGGTTGAATACAATGTTCAAGTACTTTAAGTGATCGAACGAAACGTGCCAATTCTTCGTTATTCACTGCGCTATAAACAGAAAGATCTGCGCTGCGAATCTTCTTTAGACTTAATCGATGACACTCACTTATCATGTGTTCGGTCAAGTTCACAAAATTCCCAGAGAACAGCATTACGCCACCATTTTTCGGTATTCGACAATTTCATCTTACGTGCTTCATTGACTAAAACTTCGTANGTACTACTTAACAATTAATGAAAATGAACAAGAAAGTGTAAGTGATTGAATTTAGTTGAGTGACAACAAACGAAAATTGTTTGGATCGAATCTAGTTGAAAGAAAATGTTCGATGATGTACACATAAAGTTTGACGATTCAGAAACTTCTTGAAGATAAACCTTTATATTTGCACGTAAAACCGCCTGAGAACATTTTTGTTTTCTATTTAGTCAACAGGTCTGAAAGAAGTTTGGCGAGTTGCATTTCAAAATGAACAAGTTATCAATATCTATACACGATTAAGTTCAGGTAAACGATCAGTATGGTAAATCAAATGGAATAAATGAACTCTTTTCTAGATCGAGTTCATTCGGCTGGTATTGTCCTTGGTGACCGTAGTGTTCTTTATAAGTATACAAATCCCAACTTAATTGCTGTTGTAACTGAAGGAATTGATTATCAAAAAGGTACGAAAATAGATTTGCGGAATGCGGGAGTGTTGAAATATTCTTCGAGATAAAGCATTCCATCGAAAAAAATAAACGAGAAAAACAAATTCTGATAGGATAAAGATAATGAGAATCGTATAGACTGTTTGACGCACGTGCGGAATGAATTAAAATGATATTATGGCTGTTCTATCATGATAAATATCTCTGGAAAATGTACAAACAGAACAGAGACGAGCAGCATGAATAGGTAAAACATCTGCTTAGTGTTTTGTTAGATAAGATTAGAAGATATTCGTCTCGTTTTAATAAAAGAAAAATGAAATGAAATAATAAGTTTGTCGGAAAGAAGAAAAAGGTCGCCCGAGGCAGTTAAATAATTGTCATATACGAAAAAAACATAACTAAATCTCCGAACAATGAATATCTCCGTAAGGTATGAACACTCAGTCGATCATGTTTGTATTCATATAGGAGAAGTTCTTTTCAGCAAGAATAAATTGACTCTTCTAATGTAAATAGAGAAGTAAGGAAAGTAAAGTGCTCAATTGATTTCCATTTTTTCTGCTAAAATGAATCAAAAGAATAACAAGAAGTCATTTTATGCATTTTAGTTCCATTTGTGAGTATTTATCTGTTGGATACAGTTACTGGCTCATTAAAACTTTCACATACCCACAAACGTGTAAAATCACCAGTTCATGTCGTTCTCGCGGAAAACTGGATTGTTGTAAGTTGTCATTCCCTCGCTATTTCTCTACAAACTATGACTTTTTGCAGTATACTTATTACAATCAACGATACCGACGATATGAAGCTGTCAGTTCTTCATTGTTTGAAGGTGAAGCTCAGTACAACTATTCATCATTTTCATCATTTGATCCAATCGAACCTGTGATTCAATCAAAAGCTTACATTTTGCCGTATGGTGTCAATGCTATTCAAGTTACAACAACAGAGAAAGGAATAACATCGCGTGATATAATCAGTAGGAGAAAAAATTTCCTAAGAATCCAAAGCTATATAAAATCAAACTTCACATTCTAGTGGCAGTACCAAATGGAATGCTTATTGAAATTCCCTGGATGTTATTCGATCCACGCCGACCATTCGACTTAACATCTATGGATCGGTAAAGATACTCTCACGCATAAATGTTCTTGAAATAAGATTTTCTTTCAGCGAAGAAGGTCTGATCATGTATACACCTGACATTATGGTTAATTTCGAAAGTGTCATTAACTATTATAAACAAGTGTATAATATTCGTGGTATTCATACAGTATCAACAGGTCTCGAATCGACTTCTGTTGTTTTTGCTTATGGTCTTGGTATGTAAACATAAATAATTTGCTTTTACCGAAGGAATAATTGGTTAATGTAGATATGTTTTTCACACGTGTTTTTCCGTCGCGTTTATTTGATCAATTGAAAGACGACTTTGACTTTATGTTTATTGGTTGGTCAACAGTTGCATTTGTTGTTGGTTCTTTCATTGCCAAACGTTACGCAGCTATTCATCAAACGAAGAAGGCTTGGAAATAAATTCTTTCTAAATCATTCCAATCGACATTTTTTCAAAGAAAGAAAGAAAAGCAGAAATCTTTGTGTTTTTTTCTATTTCGTGTTCATGTACAGCGACCGATTAACCGCGGTAGTTTTCAATATAAACCAAAAACCGGAACAATTCTACGATTGATCAGTTTCTGTACGTGTCGTGTTTTTTTTTCTTCTCAGTTCGTAATCCTAGTTTCTGTTTTACAAACATGAATCTCCGAAAAAGAAAGAATAAAAAAAAGATCGTCGCGATTGGTCATGGTAGAAATGGCTCATTCATTTTTGCATTTTTATATGTCAATGCACCTTTTTTTTCTATTTTAGATGTGTTTGATTAACTTCAAAGATAATCATAAGCACGATTATCTTTCGTTATTGAATGTCATCCTACATCCGATGTCGATTCGTTATCTCGCTCTGAGATTTATACATGCACATCGTAAGAGAATTACTGTTGACGTATCTCCAGGACTCGCCGGATCGTTTTCTTATTCAAGGATGTTAGTTTAGAAGAAAAATATCAATGATTGCCAACATAACGTTTTTGTTTGCTGATAAAGGATTCGAATGCCTGGTTTTTCATTGATAGTTATACAAAATGTTTCTTATCGGCAAAGTACAAACTCAAATAGTAATTTGAGTGTTGTATATTCTGATTAGTTTTGAAGTCGAGAATTCTTTACGTTTGTTTTCCCGCTTCCACTGATGACAATAGAAATCGACAGGAAGAAGAAAAATACTTGTTCGTATCTTCAATCTAGGAAGGACATCATATTTCATCTGTCGACCTAAGTGATCATAGAATGAAGAGAAAAAAAAGACAAATCAAGGTAAAACAGTCTATCTCTTGCCTCGGTTTCTGTCAGGCTTTTTTTTTCATTAGAGTGTATTTATTTTATTTCTTGGTTGGTCTATTACGTTCAGTGTCAATATTGTATTGGTCTTTTCTCATTTTCTGTTTCTTCTCATGACGAACTAATATTGATATCGATTATATACGATTCGATTAGATCAAATGAATGAATGCACGTATGAATGAACGGAAAACGGGGTGATGACAGTGAGACATCGCGAGAAGTATTATCATTATAGCANCTGTACAAACTCCCAAATCTAAACCGCAACAGTCATTCAAATTCATCTTCTGTCATCCCTTACTTTGACATCGTCCAAAATAATCAATTGAGTCGGCGACAGCTTCCTTTCGCGTGCATCTTTCATCATCTTTACGACACCAACATTGCATTTGAAAGAATTCACAATCCGATGTATATGTATGATTAGCTTTTGTACAAACCTATTTTTCACGAGCAAAATTATCAGTTTTACCGGACGGAAAACGTTTTCCTACCATTAAACGTTCATCTTTCGGATCTTCACATTGGGCAACACAGGCACATTCAGCATCACCGTCTTTATTCAATACGCATGTTTCACCGTCACGACACTTTGTACTTGCACAGCGATCTATATCTCTGTCTTTTCATTCGAGTGAAAATTAGTAGAAATACATACCTTGAAAATCATTGATAATTTGTTTTTCTTCTTCTACCGTCAAAATTTCATTTGGTACAACTTTGACATCCGTTTCTGACTAGAAGCAAAAGAATATTTGATCATCTCTGGTGTGTGTCAACTTTCATAGCACGTACATTATTCTCATTATTTCACACTCAATCAGATAAGTATATACAAACAACGTTCACTGCACGTGTGCGCTCATGTTCTCATATCATTCTTTCTCCTTCCTATCTGAACTAAGTTAGTTAATCGAATTGTGATTGCCAGTTGTTTTATTATTCTTAATGATGTAACCGATCGATAGAGTAGGACAGAACTCATTTCAAACGTTGATTACAACTGATAATGTAAACAGTCATCGATTCTGATGAAAGGAAAGTTCATGTAGTACAAAAATTGTTTAACACAATCAACAATAAACCTTTTGAAGACATTCCAGTGAGAAGGAAACCAATGAAGGAGTGTTTTTCTACGCGACTTCTGTGAAAATATGTTTAGCGTACAATTGGATGTTGTTGTTTTTCCTTGACAGTAGACATTCAGTCATTGATTGGAAAGAAAACAATTCCACTAGAATAACGTATGTGTGTGTTAATTGATTTCTGGACTATGAATGAGAATCGAAATGTCTGCATTACAGAAAATAGAGTAACAAGAATTTACTACCGAGTACGGAGTTTCTACACATCTAAAATATCGAACGCCTCGAGATACGATCGCTCGTATTGACTTACTTTTATGAAAACGAATTGTTGAAATGAAAAGACGGCGATTAAAAGTAAAATATTCGATTTGGAGACCATTTTGGATGAGAGAGCGATGATATGCAAGACTTCGATCGGATATCCCGAAGAAAAAATACAATTGAATGGAGGGAAATTATGCTGAGAAGTTCTTTTCCCATCTTTCTCCCTTCCTCTACTGTCCTTTTTCCTCTCATCAAGAGAGAAATAAGGATATTGATTGTTATCCTTTCATCAACACAGTATATTCTTGTCTTCCGATTACGTATGAAGAATTTGCTTGTAAACGATCGCTTTTCCCTACACATCGATATCTTTGTACAAAGTTAATATAGAATTCAAGCGGACAAGCTGATTGAATAACATATGCATAAAACTTATGTTCAGCTCAGTCAACTTTTGAACAAAACAGGAAACTGATCTACTTAATTATCCTAACAGACAAAGTTACTGTGGAGGAAACGTTTCGTAGAAAATCTTATCTCAAATACGATGAATGCACAGGAAAACAAGCAAATGATTAGGAAGAATTTTTATTCAGATACAATTGAAAGCGTACGCTCGCGCGTTGAGCTATTTTATCATAGAAAATGTTCGCACCATAGACACGACATTCAATTGTGAGTAAAACATTCGCTGTAAGATTGACAAATTGTACCCAAACATATGGAACTTGATATACATCTTTTCGATTGACTTTTCCACTAGAATGAATCGGAAAAAATTCAAATTGTCATTTGAGTGAAGAAATCCACTTGTAAGGAAAATGTTTAACATCGATTGTACCACACAAATCACTCGAACCAGATTCACTGTAGTACATTATATTACCAAGTTTCTTCCGATCTGATTCTTTCTATTGAATAGATGAGAAATCTTATGTAAGAATTGACAAAACGTAACAAACTTCGCCTTGGCATCGAACCGGTATATTAGGAATATTTGTACATGCTGGTTGATGTTCTCTATCAAGATTCGTTCTGCCAATTTCAGGAATAAAACCAATAATCTACAAATTACAAGTCAGATTTTTGTGATAACACATCTTCTTCATCGAACTTTATTCATTTTAATCAAAAAACATGGTTGACCATGCTTGAAACCATACTGTTTCTCTGAATGACAATCGCCTACATCATTGATCGTAAAATTTGTCGATGTCGATAAGCTGTAATCTAATATCGAAAGAACTTGTTTGGATAATCAATTTCATCGTGTAATCACTTACATAAATTCAAAAATTCATCCAAATTCTTCACATAACTTTCATAATCCTCGTTAGTTGATCGTTTTCCTCGATTGACTATTTCATTTACTGTGAATCTGATCACAGTATGCGTTTCTTTTGGATTAAATTCCGGTTGTGGTCGAAAACTAAGTCCTAGATCAACATCCTCATTCCATCAACTATAAACTGCCGAGAATTTCAACCTGGAGAAAGCGGATTCGCCCGCGTTGTCAGTCGACTCGCTTTGCCTATATATCTTGGCTGATTTAATGGTAAAAATGACATGTAGATAGATAAATATAAACAAAAGAAAGCAGCAAGTGTAATGAAAAAGAAGAAATAGAAAGCTGATAATCTGCCTATGAAGGAAACAAGATGTCAGAATGAATAGAGAAGAGATGCTTTCCTACTCCATTGTTTGCCGCTCCGTCCACAAATTTCCCCTCGTCGTTGATTGTACAGAAATTTCTTCGAGGAAGAAATCCTTCGATCCAAATTCAAGCCGAAATCTTCACACCATTGACCAATCGAACGGCTCTGTGTTGATTTGGTTTTCACACGCATTGAATCGATGTTTTCTGCTCTTTTTCTCATGCTTAATTAGATTCGAATTGAATGAAAGAGAAAACTATTCGTGCAATCGACATTTATAAACCGTTTAAGATTTTGACCATTGTCATAGAGTCAAAATCAACGTCGAGACTCTCTGAGCAACAATCAAAACGTAGAGACGGTTTGCTGAACAAACTAAAAAATTCAAGTGAACATCATTTGTATTTATATCTGCCCCGTTCGCAAGTGACAGAGAGGGAGAGAGAGAAAGACAAGTCATTGTTTCATTTGTTCGTTGATGGCAACAACTGACGCACGGATTTTAATACCAAAATGATGAGGAGAAAAAAATGCGTATGTGATTTTTCTTTGAAAAAAAATGAAAGAACGAGGAGGAGCACTTTGATCGTTGACAGTGATGGGTGGTCACAGATGGAATTCTTCTATTGATATAAGAAAAGAGACAAAGTATATATGCACGGCTGATGCAAAGAACGATGATAATGATTATTGAAACTCATTTGATTATGCATACTTTTTTCAATTGTTTCCTTTCGCTTGAATGTCTCAGTGCCATCTGATGAAATCAATAAACACTTAGAGAAAGTTATTTTAACTTCGAACTAATCATTGCTCTTTGTATGTTGAAATGTAGCTCATAATTAAATAATTAGTTTTTTCTTTGTCATTCTCCATGTCAGCACTTAATTTATTGTTTGATGAATGTACGTGAAGGACAACTGTCTTCTCTACCGATCCAGCTGCGAAAGTAATAAGACAACTTCATGATATATGTGCAACTATATGTTTGTAATAGACTAGAATATAGTTATGAGTGAAATACAAATCCGTGTCGTTGAAAGAAACCAAAATATCTGATATAATTATGGTGTTGACTTGGCCTTCGTACGAGTCTTTTGAGATGATTAGATGATGGACAATCGAAGCTATTACAATTAGGAACTGACAAGGTTGACCGAAGAGAGATAAAGTTAGATCATTTGTTGACTTATGTGAATCTGACTCGGATGATTTTCAATGATCAATTTTACTAATTGAAAACAAGAACATTAAAAGTAAACAAAACAACGAGTGTTTTTTTTTATGTCTCATCATCACTATTGTTGAAAACGATCTTTTTCGCTTCGGATTTTTGTATTCGGTATTGTGATTTGGCTTCTTTACTTGCTTCCCATGATGGATGAAGAGGCGGAGTGTTTGTATCTTCAACTTTTGATTTCGAATTCTTGATTGATCCTGCAAAAACAAACATGATGAATTGTTTTTCTAATTAAGTTATGACATACCATTCGATGTCTTCTTTGATGTTGCCGATGGAAGTGATCGAGCGAGAGGTGAGAGATGTGCCCATTTCTTTCTCGCCAGATCTCCTTTTCCATCGCGACGATTCGATGATGATGATAATGCATCGATGAAGTACGAATGTTCGATGAAACGTTTATCATCAAGTTCAGATTCATTCTTATCTCGACTAGTTCGTTTTTGATAGGTTATTTGATGTTGACTATTGACAAAGAACGGATCATTAATCACAGTTGCTGATGAAGAAACAGGCTTTATTTCTGTTTCCATCATTTCTGGTTGTTCTTCGTCGTCGTCCGGTTGATCACCGAGTGGTTCAGCTGTTTTCTTTTCTAAATCGAGTACGCAAACTACTGCTTGTTTCGAATGAGTAACACGAGGTTTTTCTTTGGTTTTTTCTGCTTTGGGTTTTTTAACTTTCAATGGTTTGGGCAATTTTTGTTCGATTTCTTGTAATTCTTTCTGTTGATCAACAAGAGCTTGTTCAATCTTCTCAAAATCTTTCGATTTCTCTTTCCATGCCACGCGTTTCTCGTGTCGCGATTGATACATGATCAACAGTTGTTGCCACGACTTCGCATAATCTTCATGATTTTTCAAAGAACTCACATCCGACTGAAGGGATTTCTCCGTTGCTAAACGAATCAACGCGCACTGCTTGAGATCGTCACTACTCGGCTAAAATCTCGATCATAGTTCAACAAGAGGAGACAAACAAAGGATGTTTACTTTGCATGCTTGTAGAACATCAGCAATAGTTCCTTCGTGCTCCATTGCGAATAATACGACATCTTTATTTGATAGTTTCTAAATGATTTCAATTCATCGGAAATCGTGTTGAAGAAGATTTTCTTACTCGAATTTGATGAATTTCATCGATAATTCTTTTTACTTTTCGTGTTGTACGTTCGTCATCCGGATTTCTAAAACGATCGAAAGTATTCCATGAATTTACGAGCAAAAATGAGTTTTACTTCTTTCGTTCATGTTCAATTTGTCGAGTTAACTTTCGAATAATCCGAACTTTACTTCGTTTGACCGATTTCTCTAATTCAATAACCTTTTACAAAGTAAACTTCACAATTTCTCCTTCAATCCGTCGATGATTCCATACCTTATTATTGAATGCACTTAAACTCATCTGAAACATAAACAATCGCACGTGAACTTTGTTGTTTTATTGTAACAAAAAACAAAACCGAAATGTTTATTTCTTTCTCGGAACAACTTTCGTTTTTTTCTTTTCATTCGCTTTCTCCGCTTCGTCATCCGACCAGAAGTCATCGTCATTTTTATCCGTTTGTTTCGGATTCTAAAACGATAGATAAAGTTCATTAACCTGAGAAAAGATTTGTTACTTTGAGGAGTAGTTTATCTTCCATCGCTGACTCCACTTGTTCCAATTTCTTCTCGCGATCGATCCGTTTTTGCAATTCCGCATATTTCTTCTTTCGTTGTTTTTGAAATTTCTAGAGAAAGAAAAAGATAACAACGACTATTCGGGAGACAAATCCGAAGAATTACATTGATTAGCTCATCATCAAAGTTGACTTTCATGGATTTTAATTGTTCAATAGTTAATCGATTTGATCGACGATTGATTAAAGCCGGATGAGTGCGCATTTTCTTAACAGGATCGAATTTTTCAACTGAAAGCATTGAATTCAAAGAAAGCATTGAACTAAACAACGAGTCAACCTTGTTTTTGTGAATCAACAAAAAAGATATGCGAGGTCGATGGACGAGATTCCGAATCGATCAAATGTGATGACGATTGTAATCTATCGATCTTCTTTCTTTCCATCTGATGTTTGTATTTAATGTATTTCAAGTCCTGGCTTTGCATTAACTTCAATTGATCATCCGTATACTCTTTATATTTCTTCTTTAGGCTATGAACACCATTCTATAGTAAATATACGCATTGAATTTTAGAAGAAATCGAGGGGAAAAGTGAATCGCAGACTTTCAATTTAGTGTTGACCATGTTGAAGTAATATTCTTCGGGATTTTTGTCTAACGCTTTTTTCTTGAGTTCACGAATAACATTTCCTTTGGTTTGATAATCACTAAATAGGAAAGATGTGTGGGAAATGGAATGTTATAGATGAATTACACTGCTCGTTCTTTGTAATCTTTCTTCTTTTCGAGTAAACCCAAATGTTCTCGTGATGAAAGCTAAAAACCAAAAGGTTTTATGTTATTTTCCGAGAGAGCACGACGGCTATCTACTTGGGATCGTTCTCGATGGTGAACTTGGCCAGCTTTGCTCGATTTCTTCCACGATGACATGATGATAATTCACTAAAAATGGAGGAAAAATAAGCACGATGAAATTCGTTGAATTTATTTTTACGAACTTGATGATACGATTGATTCGAGTAAATCAACCAATTGACGAAACGCATCGACTAGATGTCGTTACATATCATAGAAAATTAATTAGCCAAGCATATATTATAGGAATACACTGTTTGTTTTTCCCGTAAAAAATCGCTCTATGTGAGCAATTCTTCGGAAAACAAAGATCTCTGTCAATAAATGTTTGTACAACAACGCAAGAATTCTTTCAGTACGTATCTTTACGACTTGTTTGCTTCAAAGCGAAATGTCCATAGTTATCAGTTTGATTCCCAATTTTATTGTCCTACAGTGCTTCACGAACTGAAATTTCGTTGAGAAACACTTGTGATTCTTTAAGAATTTATATCGTTGGTTGTTAAAAATTAGTGTTTTGAAATACTGCGACGTTCATTTTTCAAGGTAAATGATCGCATGGGTTAGTAAGGCATGCATAATGTCGAAAAATAAAAAGAGAAGAATAAAACGTGTCTATTTACTTTATTTCTTTCTTTCTGTCATTTAATCAGCATCGTTTGTAAGTGTTTTTTTCTTCAAAGCGTACAAACCACACGGAAGGCATACTTCGATGAAATTTTACATAACGTTGTCGAATTCAATATGTTAATCTATGTTTCTGGCTTTTCTCGTCGACGACTACATTTTGCTGTTTGTATCCTCCTCTCAATATTTCTCGTCTGCGTTCTCCAATCAGCTACATCAAGAACTTATGTTGACGTTCAGCGTACTAGAAATTTATTATTACTTGCAGAAAAGAAATCATTTTGCTCTCAACGATCTGTTCGACGTGGATTCAATCAACATGTTCTGAGCGTTTCTGCTTATGAATCCGACGATCGTATTCAATTGAAAAGTAACCTCACATGGTTTTATATCGAAGTATTTGCTCGACAAGCCAAGAAATTTTATCCATCATGGATTGTACGTGTTTATTATTATAATTTAGTCAGTAAAAGTCAAGCTGATATTGATAATTTCGAACAACTGCATGAGAATGTTGATTTTTGTCCAGCTGAAGATTTACCAGTATTAGGCAATATTAAAAACAAATTACCAGGCAAAATTCAACGATTCTTACCTGCCAGTGAGTAGGAACAGAGAGTTTAGTTAGAATGAAAGTTTGTTTTTCTTTAGTTGATCCATTCGTTGGTGTGACACTGGTTCGTGATCTTGATTCTGATATATTCGATCGCGAAGTCCAAGCAGTGAATGAATGGTTAACAAAAACAGACTATGCATTCCATATTATGCGTGATAACAGGGTGCATAATATTCCGATGCTTGGTGGCTTATGGGACGTCGCTTCCAATCGATTGTCTATGAAAGATCGATTAACAATTGCCAATAGACTTTTACCGTCAGATAAAGAAGAAGAAATCGAACAGTTCTGGAAATCTTATTCGAAAAGAGGAGATCAACTATTCTTAGAACATCATGTGTGGCCAATTGCTCGTCAAAATGCGCTCGCACACGATTCATTTTCTTGTTTTTGGTCACGTTACATCTATCGAACAGATACACGTCCTTTTCCAACCAGAATTGAACATCCAACATGTTTTCTTGGATGTCCGAAGCCATGTTGTACAAACGAATCACGATCTAGGACAGACTTTTCATCATTCAAACAGTGTCCGGCTATGTGTCGACCAGAAGATCATAAAGATTGGATATTTTGTTAATGATGTCAGACACCAATTAGCATTTTCATTGAAGAGAATGGATATTTCTCTCAAATAAAAGGAGATAAATATACGTATATCTGAATTGAACATATCACAATTGAAATGTGTTTTCATAATGAAAGTAATTCTCTATATGTCCTACAAAGTATTCATTTTTTTGTTTCTTTGAAATGGAAAACAAAACTAAAATGTATTGCCCAATTCGAAAATAACATAACGATAATTGTGCTGCTTCATCGAATGAGACATTTCGATAATTTCGAGGTCAGAAATAACTAATTAGCATTCAGTTAATAAAGAAACGTGAAAGGAAAATATTTGCATTGATATAACAAGGCAGAGTAATGTCTGGTCAATGCTCTTCTTCTTCTTTTACTGTGTGTGTTTGCGATTGTTCTTTGACTAAAAATACTATAGACAGCATGAGGTAGAAGCACTTTTATGAATCGACAGAATATTATTGATAGAATAGGAAAAGGAGAAAGAACAATGGAACTAATCCTAGAGGAGACAAAGATTTTCACGTATTTGATAATTGGTTGATGAATCCTTGTTATTCGTAGGACTTCTCGCGAGTGTGGGTGGTTAGCTAAGCTATGATTGAAGCGTCAACGAGCGACAATTGTTGTCAATAAATATAAAGAGTACAAGCTATAGTACTAAACTTGACAAGATTTAATAATATTTTTATAATGAAAACAATTTTCGACGTGTTTTATTGAGCATTCATTTTTTTGTATCTACGAAATAGAAAACAAAACTATTATCAACAATAAGTCCATTCAGGACGATATTTCGGTCGGCATTGTTGCGGGCATGGCCCATCGAGAATAATTTTTGATGAATTTTGACAACAGGGTCTCACACAACCTACATGACAATCTCTTGCTGGTCGTTGAGTGGGGAAGGCGCGTACGTGTCCTTCACGAAACTGTTCACACAGATAGGAATCGTAGACTAAAGCGTCATCTTTCACTTTAGGCCATACTAGTTCTTCTAATAGATTTTGATCTTTTTTGAGTATATATCGTTGAACACGAGTTCGATCGAGTAGAATACTGAACAAACGAAGAAATAAAAGACGATTTCGATCCAGCGCAGCCGTCCATAGACCACCGAGGACTGGAACGTTATGTAATGGATGATCACGCATTGTTAGAAATAAATATGATGAATTGATAAACTCTTCGATGACTATCTGTTCACGATGTGTCAATGGTGAGTCCAGATCGCGCGATGAGACAAACTCAACTGTCGGATCAAGTGCTGGAAGAAATCGCCACAATTTGCCTGATAAATATGCACCCATATCACCTAATGTTGGTATTTGATTAATATTACATATATCGATATTCTTTGATACATTTGGTAGATTTTGTAAATTCAGTCGACTGATTGTCAATTCATCTGCATACAAACGTATTATCCATTTCGGAAAAAATACTGTTGTTTCATGCATTAGTGGTGTAATTAATTGAGAAAATTTATCATCAGCAAACAATGAATTCTCTTTTGGACCAAAGATTGATAGAGAAATGATGTGTTGCTTTTTACCACGGCGATCAGCGCTCTCACTACATAATGTTCGATTGCTGTGAAGTATGATTCGAAGTAACTGCGAACATATATCTTCATTTTCGAGAGTGTCCGCCGTTGTGAACGCGTTCGAATTGGAATGAAATAACATGATAACACACAAAAGAAGTATCAAAAATAGAAAGTATCGTTTGTGGTCAAAACTAATAAGACATCTTTGTAATATAAGACGATAATCGGACTGCTTTATCGAACGAGAATGGAACATCTTGAAAATGTGATGTTTAGAAATGTGTCAGTAAGAGAGAAACAAATGAATGGTGTTGAATTAATAACGAAACGTAAAAGAAAAATATTTGCATCGATATAACAATGTCGAATAAAATTTGATCGATCGTATTCTTTTTTTTACTATGTGTGTGTTTGCAATTGTTCTTCGACGAAAAATACGATAGGCAGTATGGAGTAGAAGTACTGATGAATTGAAACAGTATGATTAACAGAAGGAGAAAAAGAAACAAAATGACGAAGAAGCAACAGAAAGGCAAGAACGATGAAACTAGTTCCAACGAATACTAAGATATTTTTCTACGTACTTGCTAAATGGTTGGTCTAATCTTGTGAATAACAAGATTTCCTCTTTCTTGATGACTCATCCATCATTGTAGAGTTGACAAATATATTTTTTAATTCTCTCTATTAGTAGATAAGTTGCATTAATAGCATGAAATTAGATTTTTATCAATCATTGCAAGATCTCTAAGTTCAACAGTTGTCGATGTGCTTTCTAAAACACGAAACAAATTGTTTGATGTCTGTTTAAGAGATTATTTCAATGATACAGCAATGTCGGTGTTAAAAATATTTCGACTTCTTCTTTCTTTCTTGATATTTTGATATTACACTCGTTTTTTTCGTTTTTTAGAGAATAATCCTTGATGTGAAAACAGCAACATATGTGCTCTTTTCTTGACGCACACGTTGAAAATTTACTACTTGCACAAGAGAACATTTTTCTATGCCTAATTGAGCATAGTAAATGAGAAACAACAGTAAAACGTCTTTGCAGTTACATGTTCTCAGGGCGGAAAACGTTATTTTTTAATCGTTTCTTCACTTTAAACTGCTCCGTTCATTGCCGCTAACTTATAATGTTGGACAAGGATTTCTTGGTACATAAAAAATATTCTGGTCTCAGTAAAATTCCGGACGCATTGCTTTGCTGTGATCTGCAGAGAAGCAGAGGCCATCCGATTAGATAAGAGCGAAAGCGATGATATGTATAAGAATTGATGGAACAATGAAAATTAACACGAGTATGCAGAAAGTATCTGTTAGAGCGAAGTCATACACAATAGTTGAACCATCTTAGGATATATTCACGTTCATTTTTGAAGTAATAGAATATACGAAGGGAGATCTGAGAATTGGGTATATATACTATAGAATGATCTCGATGCAAGCGTTTTGAACGCCAGAAATAACGTCATTGGAATCAGTTTCGATTTAGCACATGTTGTCGTTAATTACTTTCTCAAGATGCTCGTAGACACTGAGATACGATTAAAAAACCACTTCTATTTATAGGTACGTCGTTCATAAAAGGAAAGAGATGCTGTACTCCATTCGCTATTTAGTCAGTATAATGGAAAAAGATGAAAAAAAGCCTCATTCAAGCTATGATGACATCTGAAGAAAGTGGTGCAATGTAAAAGTCAATTCTATGCAGTATTCTCTTGAAAATTCTGAAAAAACGATCGATCGAATGTGTACCGGTTAAAGTTTCTCTTCCAAGAATCCTCCTTCTACGAGATCATCTATTTTTGAATAACTTCCATTGAAAATAACATTGGATACTAAAATCTTGTACATTTTTTGCCATTTACTTCTAGACTTGCTCAGCACATGCTTGAAGAATCTTTCGAGACCAGCATTTATCCTGAATAATGGCCATTATGTATTTATCAATATCGGAATAAAGCATCATTCATACAAAAGAAAGGATCAATAAAAATGCATTAAGAAACAATGAGTTGTTAGTAAAGAATAAATACTGATAAGTAAGATAATAATAAAAGGAAACACAAAGTACATTTCATTGATTATAGTCGTGTGATTTTATTGGGAAGTATGGTTACTTGACAAGCATTATTCGTTGTTACCGATGATGATGTGAGCGTACTATTGACAGCGGAATGTGTTGTTGATGACGTCGATGGATAATGTCGTCGAACGAAGAAATTAAAATCACTTTGTTGTTGAATTGGTTGACAATCGGTATTCGTATTTGTTGATGTTAAGCTGATCTGATCAACAACATAAGAAAAATCATCATCATCATTATCGTCATCATCGTCGTCACTCGATGAAATCGATAAGACAGCATCAGCGACAGGGCGTAGGCCAGCTGGATATGCTGGAGAATAATCGAAATCGTGTCCGTCATTGGAAATATCACTATTACTGGAAAGATTCGTACGAGGTGGTTTTGAATAACCCAATGGTGGGCGAGCTGGAGGGGCTAGTTTTTTACGGTATCGGCCAGGTCGAGGAGGTGAGGGACTACAATCGAATAATTCGAGATTGTTCTATAGATAATATAGTTTGAGAATGAAAAACTTACCAATCGCCACTTAATGATGGATTTTTTACCCGTTTGGTTTTTGTTACAACGGTGGGTGGTGGTGATGATGGAAGAATTTCGCTAACAATTGTTAAATCACTTGGTATTGTTCGTATTGGCTCTGCATTTGATGCTGGAAAATTGAATAAACCTGTGTCAGATTGAAAGATCTTCTCATTTTTTCGATCAGCCAACGCAGATGTGTCAATCATCGACGCTGCTAGTAGGGAAGTTCGTCCACTACGTGACAGAAGGCGATTTTGTATTGAATCATTCAATGTCGCTGGTGCATCACTCGATGATGATGCTTGATCTGATAAATGAAAGAGATAGTTTTGAATAGGTCTAGTTGATATGTATGTTGATTGAAGATCTTCATTCGAATCATCTTCGTCAGCCCCACTCAGTTCACCAACACTTAAATAACCTGTAGAATCTAACATTGGTACCAGAGGACTTGCCACTGGTGAATATTCGCCTAAAATACACAATTTTGCGTTGTTGATAATCAAACTCGTTCATAATCGAATGTTTAATTACCTGAACTGTTTGTATTTTCCGAATAAGTTTCTTGTCGAGGTAATCGCGGTTGTTGTTGATGAGGATGAGGAGGAGGAGGGGGAGGAGGATTTGTCACGTGTTGAGTCTTTTTTTGGAAGTTAAATTTCACAATTAACACAGCTAAGTTTTCTCTTGCTCCATAACTTTGCGCGATATCTACGAGCTTTTTCGATGCCAAAACAGGGTTCTGTATCGAGCGAACCATTCGTACCGCTTCTTCATGAGAAAGATGCTACAAAAGAACAAGATCAAACAACGGTTTTTGTTACTCAACTTCTTCATTTACCTGCCACAATAAATTATTCGCAACGATGAAGAATTCATCGTTTTTACTCAGCATAAACGATGATATATGTGGTGTTGGTATGACAGCAGGATAGAGAAATGAACACCCTAACATTCTTGTTTGAGATGTAATTGCATTTAATGCATTGTCTTCATTGATAATCACACTCGGTGTTTTTCGAATACGTTTACATTCGCTTTCATCATGTGGAATGGTAAAACGACGTGTTAGAGGATGAATCATTGATGAACGACAAAGTATTGCTTCACAGTGACCGACATTTGCGGCATTCAATTCAAAACGAAAGTGATTTTCAGTTTGCGACGATGATGATGATGTTGTCGTTGTTGAAGAATAAAGATTCGCATTGGCGACACTTGTGGGCAATAAACTACGAATATGAACAACAGTCGATGCAGCACCTAGACGCTGTCCAGTCGTTTTCAATCGTCTAAAGTCCCAAAGAATGCATCACAGAGAATAAATCACAAACAAGAAAACGAACTTTTGCAAAGTTAAGAACGTATGTTTAAGATAGACATTCGCTTGATCACATTGTTCGTATTCAGACTTAAGAATATCGGGTAATTTATGTTTGAGAATTGATGGTACTTCATTGTTTAATCCACCATCGAACATGGCAAACAGAGCATCGGTAGGAGAGTAGTTAAACGAGGCTTCATTGACAGTAGTTATTGCTAATCTAAAAAAACTCAAGAAAGGGATTGATGATGAAGAGAAAAGGCTTGTGGGAACAAACCGATTTCGAATGCCAGAACTCTGTGCGAAACCAACGGACCATAATGAGGTGTCATGCGAAACATCGGATAAACCAGAAATATTGATTAAGGAAACAGTTTTTTGACTGAAAAATAAAATTCAATGAAGACCATCCCGAGGGAAGAAGAACAAACCTCAATGATTTCAAACTATCTCTTTGAATATTAATTGCTTGATTTCCCGATAGGTCTAAGATTGTCAGCGATGTCGGAAACAGGTTATCAATAGACGCGGAATCAATTTCATTAAAACTCAAATCCAATACCTAAAAACAAAACAGATCCGATTAATTCACCCACATTTTTCTTCGAAGTTTGCCTTTAATGAATTCAATCGACGAAGATCTGGTATTGCACGTAATAAATTCGAATGCAGACAAAGCATTTCTAAATTTTCCATAGCACTCACTACTGTTTGAGGTAAGACTTGAATGTTATTTCCGGATAAATTCAAATCCGTCAACGAGACCAACTTTTTCAAAGCCCTGAAGCACAAAACTTTCATTCATTCTTTTCTTTGCCTTCAATCAATTCTTCTTACACATCATCGATTTGTTCAAGACGATTGTATGCTAAATGTAAAACTTTTAATCGTTCGTATCGGGAGATCAATGCGAAGACATCGTCATCGAGTTCATTGCACGAGAGATAGAGTTCTTGTAAACGATTGAGATCGGCCCGATCGTTCGGTAATGGTAATGAGATTAACTGATTTTGAGTTAAATTTAAAATTTTCAATCGATGAAGGTTTTTTAGTAGATTGACTGGAAGATGTTCGAGACGATTGGAATGAAGTAGTAAGGTTTCGATGTTTGAATTGATTATACGTTCGGGAAGATGTAATAAACGATTGTGATTCAATCGAACGTATTGGAGACGTTTGTTCGAGGTAAAGAATCTGAAAAATCAGTCATTTGTTATGTGATTTGAAGAAGAAAGAGTTGAATTTACTTGGCAGGAAGAATATTGAGACGATTATGATCAGCAATTAATCGTTTCAGTGATGAGTTTTCTTCATTTAACCAATCTGGGAGAATTTGAAATTCATTTCTACGTAAATTCAATCAGATACAACTGAATAATCAGTAAAACAAACTCTTACGAGCTTATATCAAGTTCCGTTAAGTTCAATGGAGCGGTGATAACATCAATATGTTTCAATTCTAAACAAATCAATCATAAACAGACAGAAACGAAATTTACCATCGAAATCTTTACTATTATGTGAAGCATTCAGTTGTATTAACGAGTGTCCATTCAAAATCAACCGAAATGTATTATTGTACGAACAATTCAGATGCTGAAGGGTCGATAAAGAACGTAGATCCAACTCGTTAATACGATAATTATGTGAGAGATCCAGATGTGTTAGATGTGTTAGTCGATTCAATAATATAAAATCATTTTCATCCAGTTTTAATTGATTCATACGTAAATCCAATTGACGGCAATGCTCGAGACTAAATTGAAAGAGTTTGAATGAAATTTTAACAAAGAATTTCTTACAATTGAGCAGATTCGGCTGCGAATTTTCGAATATGATTTCCGGCTAAACATATATTCGTTATGTCCGAGTACCGCACATTGGTTAAACGTGTTAACGACGTCGGAATATCTTTGAACAGATTGAAATCCAAGTAGAAATCACGTAGACGTTTAAGATTTTCAATTTCAGTTGGTAAAATCGACAAACGATTGCTCTGCAAGTTCAGAATTTCCATACTAAACAGAACGAATTCATATTTGCTATGAAAATCATTACACGATCGATACCTTTGTAGTTTTTCGATATCACTTGGAATGCAATCGATTCCATTACTTGCAAGATTGAGATCGATCAAACGAGGAAGATGACAGATGACGATCGGAAAGATTTTCAGATCATTATCAGCGAGATTGAGACTTGTTAAGTATTGAAAACGTGTTAGATCGTCTAGCCAACCTGAGAAGCAAACGTATCATGAGGTGTTTGTTGTTATAAGAGATAGTTTTACAAATTTCAAAGGTTTCAACAACTACCTTGATAATTTCAAATGAAGTATTCAAACCTTAGAAGAGCCTTTCTTTACAGGTATCACGAAAAATACGGATTAGATCGATCAAACACTTACCAACAGTGAAAACGACCTCATCGGCTGGCCGCATGAGTAAATTGTTATGACGTAAATTGAGTACAACTAATTTTGAGTTGATAAATAGATTCTTCGGAATCAACTCTAAATGACTTGAGGAATAATCAGCAATATCCGGTAATTTGTTCGTTGTCTAAAGAAACACTTTCGTTGAAAACGAAGAAACATCATGAAATTCAATACTTTTCGTAAGCGTTTCAGCCATCTACTGTATTCTTCATCATTATTTAAAGCCATATACAAAACTTCACTTTTACCATCATCAACGATCAGTTTCAAACAAAAAGGTTTATCTTTCGATCGAACTTCTTCGACACTTGCACGTTGAAGTTCTATCACATATGGATTTGTATTTGCATCTAGAAATCGATAATCAAATCAAGTCCTTTTTTATATTATGTTGACCGAACCAGGATAGACTGTTAGCCGACTAGTTGATATGACACATTTTCGTTTCGTCCATTTTCGTATTAGTTTGCCTTTTCGAATCCAAGCTAATGTTGATAAACTTCGAGGTTGAATTTTTGGATCAATGATCAATCGATCTTAAACAAATACGAAATAATTGAAAAAAAACGCACTGATGAATATTCTTTTTCTCTACCGGAAAGGAAGCGTATCAAATAACCAAGATCGTGTTTATCACCTTCTTGTTGCAAACGTTGAATGCTGGAAAATCCAATCGATAAAAGATAATTATGTTGAATGAACAGTGGTTTTTCATCGGGACGTAAATGTTGAATTCGATCGCCATGATATTGCACGTACCATGTTCGAGGATCCAAATCATTGTTCAATCTTGAACAGATCTGTTCAATAGTTGTCCACATGGTGCATGGAACAAGTTTTGAACGTGGATACGACGATGAAGCATCGTTGGGATCGTATAAACGAATGAAACCGTTGTTGGAGTCGAGTAAAAGCCATTCGTCGATGTTGCTTATATTGGTTTGATTCAACGGATTGATCGATGAAAGGGTTGTTGTTAATGTTGTAAATGCATTCTCACCTGAAGGTGGTGTCATGATGGAAGTTTCATTGCGATTGGGTGCTAAACTAATGTATTGTTTGAGAAATTGTCGATTGGGATAGTAGAGATCATCGGAAATATTCACAGACGCCAGATTGAAACGATAAACGAATGTTGACACGAGCGTGTTTTATAACAATTATGAAGATCATGGCATTCATCACGCGCAAACGCGTGGAAGAACTAGTAAAGAGTAATATAAGCTTTCTCTTTCGTTTTTTTCTCACTCATTTTTCGTTCTTGTTCTTCCTTATGCCCTTTTTCTTTACTGTTCTTTCAACTCAACCAATCTTGAATTTTATTTGAACGAATCATTTTGAAACGAGTTGAATTTGACAACGTGCGATATCTATTGAAACAGGTCACTTTTTCTCATTTGAAACTATGAAAGAGAACAAACATATGTCAACCATTCGATCGAAGTCATGAAAAAAACAAACCTGACTATGAGTGCGATGAGTTTCTCTGTTTGTGTCTGAATCAACGATCTTTTTTCACTGCACGAGAAAAGTCAGACATTTACTGGTGAATAATAACAAAGATTAACATTTGCATACCTCTAAAAACATTTTTTTTCGAGCAGTACACGATAGATGCTCTGTCAAACAAAGAAAATTAACGCTTAGCAGATCACATTGCTCTTTCAATTGACTAACTGTCCTTCGACTTATTTCTTGAAGCGATTAGTTCTTTTATTTGATATATAAAAATAATAAATAGGAGAGAAAACTGCACAGATATCTGATCAACATAAGCTGTTATCTACGACAAATTTTTGTATACGACTGTTACCCTTGTCAACCACGTACAGGTTTCCGTGAGAATCAAGTTTTAAACTTGTTGGATCACTTAGCTGATTCGAATTATTTCCAGCTGCAGTAGTGGCATTCCCAACAATTACAGAACCTTGCATGTCGCCAATTCTCCATTTGACAATTCGATGATTATAACTGTCAGCGATGAACATCGTTCCATTCGTAATGAAAATCGCTTTTGGTCGATGTAATTCGTTCAAATTGTTTCCAGGGCTGGAATCTGAGTTTCCAGCAACAGTCGTCGCACTTGTCGCCTTATTTTGCCAAAATTGGATTCGGTGATTGAGGGTATCAGCAACATAGAAATTGCCATCCATATCGACGAAAATACCTTCTGGTGATCGAAGTTGATCCGCATTGGAGCCCATACCACTAACGCCAGCAATTGTAGTGATATTCTTTGTAACATTCGACCATAAAACAATACGATGTTTATTTCTATCGCATATATATAAACTGTCTTTTATAGAGGCCAAACTGAAGGTAATTTCAACATTGCCACGAGGAATGATTGTAGTTGATTCACCCTGTCCGTCCTTGGCAATACGTTCGATAAGTTCTTGATTGTCTAATTCGCGTGAAAAGTAAATCGCTTGTTCTTCTTGATTCAATGCAATGGCATGTGCAGTTACACCAGCAAATATAACACGTTTTTCCAGAGTACGTAAATGATACCTGATCAGGCGATCTTGGCCTGTCTCTGATGCATAGAGATATTCGCCGTCAATAAATAAATCACGTGGACTCTGTAGACTATCGGCGATAGTCACGCCGTTTTCGTCCCATTTTGACAAATTGCAAAGAGTACCGGTTCCGATCGGACGACCTAAATTCGAATAGTATATTAATAAATATAAGAAAGGAAACGCGCACGAAAGTTTCTCAACATGAGAATATATGAGGAGAATACGTAAGTAGTTGTTTGAATTGCTTCTACTTTTTCGAACAACATACAGTATGAATGTTGAGTTCACTTACCAGTAGTGTCGATAGTGATAGTTTGAGTATTTGTTGTTGTTCTAGTAATAGTCGCTGTTGTTGTTGTGGTGGCGGTGGTGGCCGTGGTGGCCGTGGTGGCGGTGGTGGCCGTGGTGGCCGTGGTGGCGGTGGTGGCGGTGGCGGTGGTGGCGATGGTGGTGGCTATTCGACGTGTAGAAAGACATTTTTTATGAGAAGTGTTTTAAATAGTTGTATCCTACTTATAGTACTTCCATCATTGAGAATGTTTTTGGTCGCTTTTTTTCCAAACTTGACTGCCACAACCGTCACAGCTACTGCTACGACGACGAAGACTATGGAGAAAACAATGCAGTATATTCTACGCCTACTAAGGAACACTCCGGTCTTCTTAGCAGGCGATTCCTCTGGAACAGGCGGTCTCTTTGGAACAGGCCGTCTCTTTGGAACAGGCGGTCTCTTTGGAGTAGGCGGTCTCTTAGGAGCAGGCGATCTTATTGGTGCAGGCTGTCTCTTTGGAGCAGGCGATCTTATTGGAGCAGGCGGTCTCTTTGGAGCAGGCATGGAGTAGAATTTTGAATTCGACGAAATACTGTTAGATCATAAAATTCACTAACAATGAAGAGATTTCTCTCTGAAATAAATACTGTTATTCGTTTTCAAAGTTTCAAAAACGGAACTTTCCAACAAGAATAATACTCAACCGTTGTATAGTGCACAGTATCGTTGGCTGTGACTTATTTGCACTATTTTAGCGAGTATTTAATGAGATCTGAGTATGATAAATTCGAAACTTTCAATCACAATGTTACTAATAGCCTGTATTATGATGAAGTAACCGATTGCCTACACTTTTCTTCTTCTAACCGTTGCAGATAGCGAGAGGGACACTTAAGAAAAAGAATGTAAATGAATTCATCTCTGCATAGTCGTACACCATGCAACAGTTGCAAAGATAAGAAAGGCTCGAGCATTTATTGCGTTAATATTGGCTTTCTTTTTTGTGAGCTTGGTATTTTCAGATGAGTCAAAGACAACGTATGTCGAAGTTTGCAGAGAGAAATCAGCGAAGTTTTAAACCGATAACAGCCGTACGTAACTCATACGAAACTGTGCGTAGGTGTTGACGTGATTTTCGACGAAAATATGTTCTAAGACTTGAATCTACGTTTTCAATCACTTGCTCAACTGTTTGTCTTTTGTGAATATTTTGAAAAAAAGTTTTGTTTCTAAATAGCATAGGATTAATTTATTATGTCAGAAGTGCTATAAAAACTGTTTTTTAGCGAATAGAACACAAACAGTACAGATCATCTGAACACTTTTTTCTTTGAATCTTGTTTAACAAACAACTCCAACGTACATGTCACCAGCACAACTTTGCTCAAACAGTTTTGAATGTACACAACCTCCAAGGGTCGTACTACTTGAAGTGCATTTGAATTGTTCCATTAAAAATGTGCAGGGAACGACGATTTTATCCATGCCATATTGAAAGAGACATTCACTAAATGGTTGATCACCGATAGGACGATTCAACAAATACACTGCATTGGATCCTTTTCCTAATGAACGGCAAACTGCATTGGCTGCATGTTGATCGAAACCGTTTTGACAAACATGTCCATCAACATAAAAGTAATCTCTTCGATCGGAACCGACATGTTCAAGTTGAACTTTGGCGCGAATGCGTAATGGAAGTAATTCTTGAACGGTTATATCGACGACTGAACGAGTTGAAGAAAACAAGCTGAACATATCATGACAGGTTTGTTGCCAAGGTAATAATGCTCTCATTGATGAGCTATTTTGTAAGCTAGCTTGAAGCTCTTGCATAATACTCTCACCGAATGACATACCGCTTGATTGAGAAGTAATCAAAGCAAGAATGGTCAATGTTGAAAGAACGAATTGCATGCTTTTCGATTGACTGATTGAGAAAATGAGCTAAAATGGAAGACATAAATGTATGTCAGAAAATAGCAACTTAATTCTAAGCTATTAATCACTTACTTTGATTGTTGAAAGTGATCGAAGTGATGTTAGTGCTCGAGAAGTGCAGTATTTATACCGGTGCCTTACCCCTTCGGCCATGGATTCTCGGACTTCTTATCAGTTCCTCTCTTTCTTACACACTCACTTCCTCGGAAAACCGCCATATGTTGTACGTTGACTTTCGGAAAGAGGTTCGCAAACGATTCGCCGAGAATCTTATCTTTTGACCGCGTATTGCCATTAGCAAACACTGACTCGTATTGACCCAATATCAGCTGTCAAACTCGCACCAGCTGAAATCAATGATGTCATATAACTTATCAGCTATTTTTCTTGATTTTACGAAATAATACTTCTATCCGAATGTAAGCTTAAAGCGGAGCGAACCTTCTCTTTCCTATACTTCATAAGAATTCAAAACGCAAAAGAACACCTGTTGATATGTAGCGAACTCTATTGAAACAGGTAACAATAAAGGTGTTGTCGTCTAGTAGAGATCCACGATCGAAAATGGTTGTTGTTCTCAACAAAAGTGTGTTGCTTTGAAACAAAACAGACATTAGTTTCTTTTTCACACATCAATACGAACGATGGTTAAGAAAGACGACGAAGTTAGTGTTTCCTCGGAAACCAAGGGACCTTTGAAAAGCTTCCAAGCATTGATGGGCGAAGGTGAAAAGTTTTCTCGAGATAAACTTTATATTAAAGCTATTCAATCTTACACCGAGGTAAATCGATTTTTCCAAGAAAAAACCTCTATTTTGTGCGAATCGCATCTAGGCACTCGATCTTTTGCCACAAGATGATGATAAATCGACTGCGAAAGATATTAATGATCGATTGAACGGTTTAGTAGCTCGATCAGCGTGTTATCTGAAGATTGGCAAGAATAACTTGGCATTACAAGATGCTGAAGAATCGTTGAAAAGCAATAAAGAATTTACCAGAGTAAACCGTTGATTTCGCGGTGTTTTTTCTTCTTAAAAATGCATATTTCGTCATACAGGGTTTGTATCAGAAAGCAGAGGCGCTGTACGCGATGGGTGAATTCGAATTAGCATTGATGTTTTATCATCGTGGTAAAAAACTTCGTTCCGATTTACGAGAATTCCAATTGGGTATCAACAAAGCACAAGAAGCAATTGACAATTCCGTCGGAGGTATTTGAAAACACCACAACAACGCTTTTTTTTCTATAATTTCGACTTTTTCTTCATTTTAAAGACCCAAACCGTGTGAAACTTGAAGCTAGTGGCGATTTGTCGATCTTCTACAAGAACGACGAGGTAAATTTTTCAATTAGACATGACCATATCTTTGCACATTTGCATGACATTTCACAGGATGAAACGAAAAAGGTGATTCTTTTTACTCTCAGTTTGAAAATAACTAACAGACATATTTTTACCTTGAGTGATTAACCTGCTATTAAAGAAATTCAGCTTGAATTTGATGTTCAGCTCGATAGATTACTAATGCCTATTTGTTTCTCCTTTCTTTCTGGGATAATAATAGAAAAAGAAACAACCAATTGGTTATGTCCGAGCATCACAGAAAAAAGATACGACTGTTCAGCGAAAACCGCATCCACCGCCAGCGAATCCGCGAACAACAAAACAACTCTTAGGTGATTTATACGAAGATCGTGTTTTTCTCGATAAAATTATCAATAACACAAGTAAATCATTCTACAATTTTCTATCCTTCATCAAAATACGAGTGTCTTATAGCCGTAACAAAACCAAACACGAGATCTGGTGATGCCATTTACCAGTTAGCATCGGATGGTATCGATTATTTGGATGGTCGAACACATTTCTGGCGTCAACAAGAACCACTCTATGCTCGTAAATCGCTCAAAAAAGCAGACAACAATGATGAAACATACAAATACGTTCATCGTGAACTTGAAGCAATTGATGAATGTAAAATCACATCTTTCCTTTCATCAGATAAGACAATTCTTCATTTGTAGTGCAAAACATGGACCAATTTGTTGATGCTCGCCGTCGTGCACAACGATTACTTGAATTCTGCGAGCGCTTAGACGAACGCAAATTTCCCGAAAAACAACCAGTCATTGCCGATGTTTATTCACGTCTAGGCAATGCCTACTTAGAATTGGGTGATTATAACAAAGCATTAGATTATCATTTCCGAGATCTCACATACGCCGAATCGAAACACGATACCGATCGATCGTCACGAGCATTGGACAATTTAGGACGCGTCTATGCTCGTAGTGGACAATTCGCACAAGCTATTCAAGTTTGGGAACGAAAGATTCCATTAGCATCATCTCCGTTAGAGAAAGCATGGCTATTTCATGAAATCGGCCAATGTCATTTTGGACTTGGTGAGTCATAGGAAATTTGGGTGGCAAACAAAGAGAGTCTTTTGTGTTTCAGGTGATTATGAACGTGCGAAACGATATGGTGAACGATCTTATGTTGAAGCTGTTGCCGCCAATGATCCAATTTGGCAATTGAATGCTAAAGTTCTTGTTGCACATAGTGAAACCAAACTACGACAATATCGTGACGCGGAGAAAACATTTGAAGAAGCTTTGGAACTTGCACGGGATCAACGTAAGTCTAACATATTTTTTCCTAACAGGTAAATTGTTTATCGACTGAATCGTTGACAAATATTTAGAAATAAAAGATTTATCAAGTGAGATAACCACTTTCTTAGAAAATGTTGCACGAACTTCGCGGGATGTTTCTTTTCTTATGCATGAAAAATGTTCTTCTTTCCGTTTTTATGATCGATCTCTACAGTGAGTTGACTTTCGATTTGATCGTTTAGATGACATGGCTGCCGAAAGAGCTATCGAACGTGCATTGAAAGATGTTCGAGATCAAATTGCTAAAGGCGCTGCTGATTGTAAGTTAACTACTAAACCTTCTTAACACAAAATATTTGTCGTTTTATTCTTCATTGTGCAGCTCCACCTGATCGTGCAGGTAATTTCACAAAGACAAATCGTCTTCTCAAATAAAAACTCCTTTTTCTTTTACAGAAACAATGTATGACATCAAAGTTAATAGTGATGAACCCATCGAATATGCTGATGATAAGGAAGGTTTGATCAAACTAACCATCTTTGGAGATAATGGAAGCTCAGGTTCAATTGACCTACGTGGTAATGAAAATGATCCAAAGAAATACGATGGATATACAACAACATTGAAAAAGAAAGCGTACGATGCCGGAAAAGTAGGAATTGCATGTTTCATAATTAGCAGTAGTTTGAGGATGGTGTTTTGCTTGATAGTTAACGAAATTAGCATTGACATGTACAAAGATCGGATCATGGCCGCTTGATTCAATTGAAATCTCAGATAGTAAACGAAAAACTAAACAAAAGTATGAAGAAAAATGTTTGTTCGAAGTAGCTAAACAATTTGCTTTGAATTATATTAGATTCTTATTGGCTGATTCGATTGAATCAACAACAACTGTTATCGACTTGTTCCCTGAAGGATGTAAGTCGCACTGAGAGATCTACTAGGATAAATGAATTCATTCTAGCAATCGTCGAATTTCCATTCGATACGCGAAAGAATAAGAAGAGTAAGTCGAAACAAATCAGTAGATATGCTCGAACTTTGTTCGTAGAAGGTAAACCAAAACCAGTTCAAAGTGACAGACAACCTTCCGCAGCACGACAAGCCGATTCACCAAAACCAGGTGAGAGTTCTCTTTAGATAAATCAATACAATCAATTTGTGTGTTATTTTAGTTCAATACACAGTCACAACTAAAACTGGCTCAGCTTTGGGATCTGGCACTGATGCCAATGTATTCATTACTCTCAATGGTGATAAGAACAAAATTGATCGACATCGATTGGGAACGCCAGAATCGAACCGAAATCCATTCGAAAAAGGCTCAAAAGATGACTTCAAATTCGAAGATACCGATATTGGCAAAGTTAGTCTCCTTGTCCGATTTTGCATAAGAAACACCGTGCTTATTTTTCCAGTTGAAAACTATTGTTATCGAACACGATAACTCGGGTATGGCATCTGGCTGGTTCTTAGATTCAGTTGAAGTCAAATACAATGGCAATACTTACAAGTATAAGAAAGAATTCTTTATGAGGGATTCGATATGAGATTGCTTTTTTTTAAAGATTTCCTGTTGGACGTTGGCTCGATTCAGATGAAGGAGACAAACGTATTAGTCTCGAACTTGAACCGAACAAGAAACCTGCATCAAAGATCGCCTCAGGTAAATGTCAACAATAGAATTGGAATATTGACTTGATAAAAAACCTAATTTCTTTCGCTTATATCAGAATTAGAAGATAACCAAGAAGAATCGCGTTCTTCTATTTCGCCACCTAATGAAACGAAGGCGAGACCATCTTCTACCGAAAAAGTTGATTATGATGACTTTTTCGATGATGATAAGGATGATGGTTCGTCATCTAGTCACTCCTCTCACCGCTAACGTCTCTTCTGCTATTTAGCATGCTTTCGCTTTTCAATGGGACATTGATCGATTTGCTTGTGAAAGAAAACCGAATAAATATTTTGATGAGTTTTGTTTTTGCAATGTTTAGATGATTCCCATGCACCAAATGCTGTCGATTATGAAGTCACTGTGAAAACAGGCGATAAACGCGGAGCAGGAACTGGTAATTTTTCGAAAAAGAATTCTATGCAAACCGAATCGTTTATGCGATAGATGCAAATGTCTATTTGAGTATGTTCGGCGATAAGACCAACTCAGAACGTCATGAGCTGAAAGAAACCACGGATCGTACCATAAATCGATTTGAAAAAGGCGCAACAAATCGCTTCAAAATTCAAGGAGCTGATGTTGGAAAGGTAATGTAAGAAGACAGAGAGTACGAATTGCATTAGAGAGTTAATTTAGATTAAAACAATTCGTATTGAACATGATGGTACTGGAATCGGTGCAGGTTGGTATCTCGATTCCATCGAAATTCATCATGTTCCACGCAATGAAACTTACATGTAAGTTATCTCGTTCATAGTAGACCGCACTATTGAACCATTTCATGTAGGTTTCCTGTTGATCGTTGGCTGGATACAGGTGAAGGTGATAAACGAATTTCACTCGATCTTGAACCAGACAAAAAACCTGGACAAGCTAAAGGTTTGCATTGATTTCTTATTGAAAAAAAGAGAGTCTCTATGGGAAATCTGTCGTCTTGTTCAGATAGCAAAACTCCTGATCCTAAAGCATCTGAAACATCAAGCACAACAGATACAAGCAAAAAGACAGCGAAACCCGATGATCAATCCACGTCGAAAAAACGTAATTTTGTTGATCTTTCCCCGCAATAAAACTCTATTTCTTATCATCTATTAGCAACTCAATACTTAGTCACCGTTAAAACTGGCTCACCTATGGGATCTGGTACTGATGCCAATGTATTCATTACTCTCAATGGTGATAAACAACGAATCGTTCGACGTCCATTGGAAAAACCCGACTCTGGTCGAAATCCATTTGAAAGAAACTCCAAGGACGACTTTAAATTCGAGGATACTGACGTTGGTCAAGTAAGTCGAGCGACTCTCAATAGTTTTATATGTCTACTATGATTATTTCTAGTTGAAAACCATCGTTCTCGAACATGACAACACAGGTCTCGCTTCTGGTTGGTATTGTGATTTTGTCGAAGTGAAATACAATGGCAACACTGTCAAGTACGAGAAGCTGTATAATACACTTTTTTTATTCAACTTGATATTGCTTTAGATTTCCTGTTGGACGTTGGCTCGATTCAGATGAAGGTGACAAACGTATTAGTCTTGAACTTGAACCCAACAAGAAGCCCTCAGCCAATACGACAACAGGTAAACAACGTTTGATTGTCTCACATTTGAAATAAATGTTTACTAATCTATACTAACTATAAAAGGGAAATCTTCTTCCACTTCGTCGAACGATGAAACTAAGAAAGGATCATCTTCTGTGGAAGAAAAAAATGAATACGATGATCCTTTTGATGAAGAGGGTTAGTGAAACCGATCTATTTCGTGATGTCATTGTAATTATTACCCTTCATCCGCTATTGCTTATTGATCGATATATCGCATGTGCTCTACCTACTTGTTGTCTTGTAATTTTTTGTATTTGTTGTAAAATTCATATTTAGATGATTCACACGCACCGGATGCTGTTGACTACGAGGTAACAGTGAAAACAGCGAAGAAAAAAGGAGCAGGCACAGGTCAGTTGCATTAATTGCTGAATTTATTGGGAAAAATTTGTGTTTTATTATTGAATAGATGCCAATGTATATCTGGGCATGTATGGTGACAAGACCAAGACAGAACGACATCAGTTAAAAGAATCAATAGAAAAAAGTCGAAATCTCTTCGAATCGGGCGCTACAAATCGCTTTAAAATACATGCAGCAGATGTTGGCAAAGTAGGACTTTAACTGAGTTTCAACTGCAATCACTTCTAACATGATGCTTGCTTTCAGATTAAATCTATTCGTATCGAACATGATGGTACTGGAATTGGCGCTGGTTGGTATCCCGAATCGATCGAAATTCGTCATATCCCACATAACGAAACCTACTTGTGAGCATGAAACTGAAATTGAAACAAAGTCTATCGAAAAAACAATTTTTTAGCTTCCTAATTGATCGTTGGTTAGATTCAGGTGAAGGTGACAAAAGAATTTCAATCGATGTTGACGCATCTCAAAAGCCTGGGCAATCCAGTGGTAATGTCATAGTGTAACACGATAATCAATACGAAATCTACTTCTCCATTTTCAGACAGTAAATCACCAGATCCAGCCCCAACCAAAAAAGGTAAAGATACTTCTGATTCAGATAGTAACTGACAGCTTTACTCAACGAAAAACTACATGTTTCTTTTGAAGAAGCCACTCCAGCTAAGAGCGAACCAGCTCCAACTAAGACTGAACCAGCTCCAGCTAAGAGTGAACCAGCTCCAAAAGCAACCACAACAACTCAAGCTCCTTCTGATCCTAATAAAAGTAGATTTATCTCTTCCATTCAGCTCGATATTGTACACAAATCTTGTCTCGATCTGCCTTTTAGAAACTAAGTATACAGTTACAACGAAAACAGGTTCCGCATTGGGCGCAGGCACTGATGCCAATGTTTACATCACTCTCAACGGTGATAAGAACAAAGTCGTTCGACAATCACTGGAGAAACCTGAAGACGGTTGGAATCCATTTGAACGAAATGGGAAAGACGATTTTGTTTTCAACGAAGTCGATATCGGTCAAGTGAGCTAATCCTTATTTTTCTATTCTTATTGAAGTTAGCCACCTCCATACTAGTTGAAAACTATCATTATCGAACATGATGGTACTGGTTCGGGTGCCGGATGGTTTTGCGATTTTGTTGAAGTAAAATACAATGGCAATACTATCAAGTATGGATGGAATTCTCATAGGAATATTTTCATTAATTGCTTATCTCAGATTCCCTGTTGGACGATGGCTTGATGTAGATGAAGGTGACAAACGTATCAGTCTCGAACTTGAACCAAATAAGAAACCTCCAGCAAAAATCATAACCGGTAATTGAAAAACCTTCGATCTTGAATATTGTTCGTAGCCAATTATTTATTCCAAACATTGAATATCACAGAAGGAGATGATCTTTCTGTTTCGTCGAATAATGACAATAGGAGAAGTAAATCCCCTAAAGAAAAAGTTGAACGTGATGACTTTTTCGATAAAGAGGGTTAGTTGCTGCAAACCTATTTCGTGCTGTCTTCGTCATTAGTTTCTAGTTTTTTTTGCTATTGTTTGCTTGTACTTAGTTGCGAAAGTGATTGTCGTGCTTTTTCGAAATCTCTTTACCGCACTAGATCGTTAATGATGTTTGTGAAATCGTTTAGATACTTCGAAAGCTGGTAATAATGTCGAATACGAAGTGACAGTGAAAACAGCGAAAAAGAGCGGAGCAGGAACGGGTAATTTTGACTTGCGCGATGATTGTACGGGAACATGTTCGATGATTCTGATATCGATTAGATGCAAATGTCTACCTGGGCATATTTGGTGAACAAGGCAAAGTGGAAAGACAACAATTGAAAGAACCCATGGATAAAAGTCGAAATCTATTCGAATCGGGAGCCACAAATCGTTTTAAAATTAATGCGCCAGATGTTGGAAAGGTAAAACATTAGGAAATGATCGACAAGAAAGTTATTCTATGTCTTTCAGATCACAACTATTCGACTCGAACACGATGGTACCGGACTTGGTGCCGGTTGGTATGTGGATTCCGTTGAAGTTCGCCATGTTTCACACAATGAAACTTACAAGTAAATCACGTTTATCGTGAACGAGAATAACATTGATTTCTTTTCTTTAGATTCCCTATTGATCGTTGGTTGGACGCTGGTGAAGGTGACAAACGAATTTCACTTGATCTTGAACCAAACAAAAAACCTGGACAACTGAAATGTAAGAATTAGTTTCTTGAATTATATTGCAGCATTTCAGAGAATGAATTCTAATTGTTTTCCATTGATGATTATCTGTTATTTTGAAAATCTTTCCAGATGATGATGATCATGAAAGAGAAGAGAATATAGAGCACGAAAAATCGAAAACAGGCGATGAAGAACAAAACACACAATAACAGTAAATCTATAATCAGCTCGCATATCTTTCTCTTCTACATGCATTTCAAAAATATGTAATGTGATTGAATCACTATTCGCTGTTAATCTCGAACGATTTTCTCAACGATTCTCAGCTCTTCTTCGTTTATATGTTCGCAGAATTCATTTCCTTTTATCTTTGTTTTTAGAATGAACATTATCTTAACACAACCACTGAGACAATGTGCCTGGCTTAATCGAATTTTCGTATCTATGATCATATTTGGATTATTCTTTTTTGTGTAAAGAAATAAAAGTATCAATTCTATTAGACTCATCACCAATTATCTGGTACTATAATTGCGATGAAAACAGTAAACTCATGAAAGATTAGTGCGTGAGATAATCTAACAGATTGAGATAAAAATAATTCGTATGTGACGATGCGTTTAATTAGGGAATTATGAATTTTGCACTTGTATTTCTGTGTTTACTCAACTTCAAAATACAATACAATGACAATGACGTTTATTTAAATCGCAAGAAAACATCATTTATCGATGAGGTCGATGGATACATTTTGGCGTTTATATTTATTAACACCAATCCTACGATCGAAATCATAATAGACAGTCGATAGTTCATCTAATATTACAGTTTGAGTCACTGATACCAGCAAAACTGTTGTTCCCCGTGCTGGCACCCGATGGTGCACCGGGTAAAGGCATGTTATCATAGAATGAAGTTAATTTTGCGTTGTTTGCTTCATCGAGCTGTGGTAGAACCGATGTTGATTGAATTTTTACTAAAACAAGATCTATACCATGCCCATCGACAATCTGAGACAAAGTAAAATACTTACAATTGCTGTTGTCCATGTATTTCAACGGGAGAAAGGGTGAAAAATGTATATATTAGTATCTATAAGAAAATATTGACAAAAAGAGATAGAATGTACTCGTCAAGTTTGTTTTCTGACGATAAATGTCTATGTATAGTATTCTGCTGTAAACAGAAATGCCATTTATGTCTCATACCACCGTTGTCAGTCGAAATGGTCTATTCTTCGCTGTTCTTCATATTCTGTTTGAAAGATAAGAAAGAAAAGTACATGTGTTCCTTTTATTCATTGTCGTTGTTTCTGACGCGTATTATTTCTCCTTTCTCGAGAACACGATTCTTTATTCGGTCTACTAGATGGCAGAAACTGCTCTGCATTCCGGAACATCCACTAAATCGAGTTTTGCACGAGATTACCGATAGTCACTATTAAAAGCATTTCTTTGATCTAAGTTAGCCATCATACAGGTTCATTTCTATCGTGTATTTTGATGCATAAAAAATAAAAAAGAACGAAATGTGAAAAACTAGATCATATTTCAGCACACTATGTCAATCAATTATTCTCTGTCTATGCTGATGGTTTCACATAGCCCGCGTCTTTGAAGACATTTCTCAAAGCGTCTTTGACTTTTTCCAAATCGTGACGAGTTTCTGTATCCGTTGCACTGATACCCATATGTCCAACACGGAAATATTTATCTTTAATATCTTTATGGAGACCACCAGCAACAATTATTCCTCGTTCAACCAATCGTGGGATAATATCTGGTGCTGATATACCATCTGGAAAGTAGATAGCGGTCATACCATTGGCAGCAATAGATGGATCTTGCGGAACCTAAATGAAATAACAGTACCGTTGGTGTTGTTATCAGTAATCTAGGTTATATCTACCTGTTTTAATCCAAGTTCATTAGTAATGAACTGTTTAAAGTCAGTACTCGCTTGTTTATGCTTCGTCCAACGTTCTTCAATAGGTTTGGACGTAATTGCTTTTAAACTAACATTTAGAGCACATATAAGTTGAACAGGAGGCGTAGCGAAGTACAATGGTTTTCCTTGTTCATAACCACGCATAACTACAATGAATAAACATATGCTTAATCAATCAATGAGAGAATCTATGAAAGATTTACTGGGCAACCAGTTGAGCCAAGAAGCAAAATACGAGTTGATTTTAGTTTTACGCGTTTCAACCGCCTTAATTGCTCGTTCGCTAGCACATACAAGGCATAATCCAGGTGGAACACCCAAACCCTTTTGACTGGCACACATGACAACGTCCAGGCCCCATTCATCCATACGAATTTCTTCGCTGCCAACTGAACACACTCCATCAAGTGCAACTAATGTATCAGGACTAACTTCTCGTACGACTTCAGCTACTATTTGTGGATTACTAAGAACACCAGTTGATGTATCAACATGTGTCACAGTAATAATCTTATATTTCTTAGATTGCAATGCCTCTGCTAATTGTTCACGTGATGGACATTGACCAACGGGCGCTTTGAGTTGTGTAACTTTCACACCATATGCTTCGAAACAATCGGCAAAACTTTGACCGAAGTATCCGGAATGTAATACAAGTACTTCATCTCCAGGTTCAGTTAAATTACATGCAATCATGTCCCATCCGAGTGTACCACTTCCAGCTGTTATGATCGGTTGTCCACGTTCAGTAACAAGTACTTGTCGGAACATTTTAATAGCTGTTCCGAATGTTTCGGTGAAACTTTTCGACATATGGGATTGAGATGGTGATGCATTGGCAAATAAAACATCATCACTAACTTCTATCGAACCTGGTATTACCAAGAGAGGATGATCAACTTGATGGAATGTCATTTCGAATAATCGGTTAAAACAAAATATCTAAAAAGTGAAAGCAACATTATGTTATATACGCAGTGAAGAAAAAGGGAGTGGTAAGTAATTTTTATTCGTTGTTATCAACAGTGTTTACCGATGGCGATAAGGTGTGGACTCGTTGAATCACTATTCGAAGGAAAGATTAACAAATAATTTGTAGTATTCACATCTAGAGTGGTATCGACGATGATATAGTGACATCTGAAGTTATAGGACGACAATGTAGCCTAAATTTGATAAAAGAATACAGTTCGTTTTATTTCTTAAGAAAATAGATTAAAGAAATTTTAAAAATCAATTTGTCCATGGAAGGATGATTGTTTTGAGAGCATAATTGCAATCCAAATAACTCGATTTTGTTCATCGTATGTAAAACAGTTTTTTAATTGTTCTTTCGGAGCAATTTTGACGACAGTTTGCCAGCTCATCACACGTTCAAATGGCTGCCCACCAGTCGCTGTTATTGAACGTGCCGCTTTGTCAAAAGGTAATTGTAAAATCAACAATCTTTGCAAAGGATCATCGATATCGATACACAAAGACTTGTTCAAATTACACGAACTAATATGGATATTTAATCCGTCCCAGACTAGTCCGGTGGCATCGTTTAATTCATTGAGAAAAATCCATAGATGTAAAATATATGAACGATCATAGATAGAAATCGGTTGACCATGATTTAGTGTGAATACACTTGGATCAAGGAGAGGAATGATCGAACCTGCTCGAGCAAATAGTGGAACTGTGAATAGATCTGCTCTGATATTCATTCTCCATTGACCACCTTGAACGATTTCAGATCTGCCAATTCGATACCGACCATCGACATTACTATCATAAACAAGATTCGTTGATAAATCAATCCATTGTTCACCTGATGGTAAATACACATCTTGTACAATTTGATTTTCATGAACTACCGGTGCTACTAACAGATCATTACCAAACGTATACTGATATTCTTGCTGAATGGCTATTTCATCGTCATAATACATCAATAAATGATGTCGTGTAACTGGAAGACCCGTTGCATGTGCTTCATGTGCACTGGTGAAAATGTACGGGAAGAGTTGAGTACGGAGTTTAGCATATTTTCTCCAAACATATTCAGTTTGATTATTGGTAAAGATTTGTACACGTTCTTGTGTACAAGCTGAACCATCTGTTTCATCGTGCATAAAACCAGAAAATGTTCCTACTTGTAACCAACGTGTCAACAATTCCAGTGTTAAATCTGGATAAAATTCACATACATAACCACCAATCGAGCTAGAACAATATGGTACACCACTTATTCCGACGCCGAGACATGCTTGGACATGAGCAGGCAGTCCTGAATACGGATTCCAATCAGCGCTAGCATCACCAGTCCAGTGTAGTTGAGTATTCTGAGCACTTTTGGTAAAACCACTGCGCGTATGAAAAACAAAATCCGACTGATAATTGTGGTTCAATGTGTTCGATTCGTCAGGATGTAAATGAAGTAATTGTTCAACTGCCGTGGAATTGACTGTCATTTCATAAACAGCTTCCTGGTAAAGTTCGATAAAACGATTGTGCATTTCATGACCGTATTTCCCATTAGCTGATATGGAATCCACCGGAGTATATTCACCGAAATCTAACATAAATCCATTGTATCCCAAGTCGATACTTTCTTGAACTTGTTTCTGATACCAAAGTGAAGCATTACGATTACTGAAATCAATACTTGCAGTGAAAAAATGTCGACTAATTATATCACCGAAATATGGGAATAGATATGGAAGATTCGATTCATTCTTTAGGAAATAACCGTTCTCTAAGCCTTCATTGAATAATTTTGTATAAGATGTGGATACGTACGGATTGAAATAACATAACGATGTGACGCCAAGCGCGTTGTAAATACGATTTTCTGCGAGAGTTTCATTTTCACGACCTTAAATTCGACATAAGTAGAGACAAGAAATGAATTTGATCAGACCGTTTTACCTTGTTGATCTCCTTTTAGAAAAAAATGTAAATAACCAATTCGAACTGTTATTGGAATATCTCGTTCGATCATACGTCGTACAACGTCGATTTCCGTTTCATTTCTCAAAACATTCGACGTTTGTTTCCATGGACCAAACGCGAATATCGGTGGAATTCGAGTCGTTTCACCTCGTGCTTGTACCAATGCGGTAAATGCTGGATTGATTTTCCTACTTTGTTCTCGATATAGATTGTAAAATCTCTCAAACGGTTTTGACATAATCGACTTTGTTGGTAAAGTCGTGTTTGGAATGGGAAAATAGAATTGAATATTCGTACTATTCCATTCGGTAGTAACGATCCATTCATTCGGAGAAGTGAGATCGAAATTCACACGGCGACTTTCGTTTACCCATACCGAATATTGACGATTCGATATAAAAAGTGGCATTGGAATGTAACTCGCATTGGATTGAGGTATCCGTTTGGAGAAATTTAGAAATGACCAACTCCCATCTTCACTCCAACTATAGAATTTCTCTCCACGGAATCTCGTGAAACCCCAATAGGAACCAAAACCGTAATAATCTTCTTGACTATCTCGTGTTCGAAATGCTAAAGTCAAAAACGGAAAGACATAATGTGTCGATTTAGGATCGAAATGTTCCTTGAATCCCGTGTATGTCACTTGCAGATGAACATTGCGTTCGTTGTCTTCTGCAACGAATGTCAAAGAAAAGCCCTGAAACGAAAATGTGATTGAATTCGGCGCAGGAGAACATGAGTACGATTCGAAATTGCCAATGATTCGATGTTCTTTTTCGAATCCAGCACGAAACATATATCCGAAATAGATAGTTTCATAAGTACCTTCCCATATTCCAGCGAAAATATCTCGACTGCTCTGCAGCAAAACATTTCGTGTCATTAAATCGATAACGGTCAATTTATAGGTAAGTTTTGACAAAACAATTTGAATGGTTGGCGATGTTTGGAAGGATATATCTGTTGAATTGGTCTGAACATGATACGAGGATGGACAATCATAGGCTACGGACGTGATCACAAATAAAATCAGTGTTAATATTTCAATAGAAGAAAAACTCATTGTCAAGTCAACTAGATTGTCTTATCTTACGATCGACGTGTTAGACATCAGTGGAAATGAAGAGACAGCAACGATTACTATCTAAATGATAACGGGGAGTGCGTTGAGTAAAACTAATATTAAGTCTCTAGTCAGATTGTTCTGAATTTTTTCGCGAAAATCAATACAGAATTTATATATTGGTTTAGGCAATAGGCCACACAAGAGAAAATCGTATAACAGTCAAAGAGAGAGGGCGTTAGAATCCTTTTTTTTTCAAGTAGGTCGATATGAAGATCATCTGTCTTTCTCAAAGACAATGATATACTAAAGTGAGAAGCTACTAACCGAGAGCTTTACATGGTATTTCCGATAAGCAGCTGAAAGAAAATTTTTCATGTTCAAGTTAAGTAATAGGTAGTACGATTGCCACCAGACTCAGTCACTTCTTAGTCTTTTCGTTCATACGCAGGACAGGTTGTTATAAATAGCGTAGCGAAAATAATTGTACTGCAAGATGATGCACTCGTATGAACATTATTTAAAACGCCTTGTATTGTCCTTTCAGTGATGTGTTGTCAAAGAGAAACAACATCTCATTGTCAATGAATAATCGCATTTTCTTCGAACATCTTCGAAGTACTTTACGGTCATATATTTGAATACAAATCGATTCAAGTGAAATATTCGCGAAAAACATTCATGTACTATATAAGCAATGGTATGTTTATTAACACCTATATCGATAAACAAAGAGCATCGACTAATGTACATCGATCATCTACTTATTCCTCGATTAGACCATTTATGTCATGCCTTCTGGTGTGTGGATGACTAATTCGAAGTTAATTTTGTTTTTGGACTTCTCAACATTGATTTTTGTTGACGGCTGAGAGTATTACTCATGATCAAGAACAATGAATGATTGTACGTAATTAGCTAAACATGAGAGCTAATTGAGATGTGTGATAAATGATATTGATCATTCAGATGTCTGATATTGACACCTTCGAATTGTTCTAAATGTATATGTAGAGAGAAGGTAGGTGTGAGGACGAGATGTCATCGTACAAGAGAAGTCACAGAACAGAACAAAATAATGCATATATGTGTGATTCCAGAAGTTAAAGAAAGAGGGAGAGAGAGGGAGAGAAGGAATAAAAGTTCAATAGAGTAAAGAGAGAGAGAGCACAAACAAAGTTGTCGTTTTTATTGAAAGAAAAGGAGGAGAAAGAGAAATCTTGTAGGTAGGTGAAAGAGAAAACCATTTATATACAATCAAAAACCAACTTATTGCCATACTAATGATCTGATACACATGATGCCATCTCTTTCTTTCGCTCTTTTTTATCGTTTATTCATTGAATGAATATATACTTTTGCCATTACCTACTAACTCATAAATACAATCGCATCGGATAACGAAAGAAGTGAGTGGGTGTTATTCCGTCGTTGATTATAATACTGTTTGAATGAATTTCAGCACGAGATGACAAACAGAATCTTTCTCGCCGTCTCATCCCTTAAATGATTTTCAATTAAATCCATTCATTTCTTCTTTCAGATTAACAATGTTCAACACATATTGTTCTCCTTCGAACATTTTATTCGTCTTCGTTGTATTATTATTATTATTCCAAAATCATCATGTAAGTGAAAATCTTCGTGAAACATTTTCCTCTTCAATTCAATCGTGACTCTAAGCAAGAAACAGAACACTTGAAATTTAAGTGATAGTTGTTCACTGTACACGCATCAATAATTCTTTGATGAGAACTAAATGTGCACAGATTCAATGAAAAGAACAAAATGTGTTTTTTTTTCTTCTTTTCTATACACAGATCAATTGTCAAGATGCACCTTCTTCACTACAAATCGATTTAACACAATTGAATATTTTATCTCGTATAACTGTCGCGGGACAATGCTGTGATGGGACAGTTTATATGGGAACTTGTTCCACATCTACATGTAATCTATATATGATTATTTGTTTGGATTTTGTCTACAGGTACGTTGGATTCGGATATACTTATTGTGAAAAGTGTTCTTTGAGAATCCAGACAAGAGTTTGATATACAATAGGTTGTTGATTATGAATTATTTCGGCTCAAAGGTCTTCGAGTAGAATTGACGTAATCATAGATGAGTTTGCTAAATCATTGAAAATTAAAAGTCATTTCGCAAGACATAATGAGAGAATAATAGTTCATCTGTACGTTGTTTTTTTGCACTAAAAAAACAAGTTTTCCCTGTTAATCGACGCTATTCAGCAATGAAAAATATGATTTCATTATTATTTTAGCGGTTTACAAACTAATTGGACGTATTGTCCATTAGGATCACGATCATTTCGAACTATAATAAATAATACCGGTCTTGTAAATTTTCATTCGCTCACTGATGTGGCACCATTTCTACCATTTCAATTTCCTTTAATATCTATACCTGATGTAAGTAACAATCAAACTTCGAGAAGGAAAAATACATTTATTTGTCGATTAGAACACTATGGTCATCAAAATCTTTGTCTTTTATGATTATATACGCATTGGAAATCTTTCATTAATCAATCAAAATACATTATTAAGTCGTTTCTATACCACATTCCGAACAGATGCATCATCTCCATCGTCAACTTCGGGTACATCTCTTACTACAGTTCTCTACGATGTTGCACAGAATGGAACACAATTGAATAGGTAAGTTATTTTTAGTACTTGTCGTTCTTTTGTCTCTATATCGAAAATAAATCCTATTTCGGTATTTAGCTTGGTTATTGGAATGAAAAGTTATTGTCAAGCGACATATTATGGTCCTTCATGTTCAGTTAGATGTATTCCAAATGATGATTGCACCAGTTCTTACTCATGTAATGCAAGTACAGGGATGAAAGTTTGTTCACCGGGTTGGATTGGAACAGAGTGTGCAATACGAGATTCAGCGTATGTTCAACCGGGTTGTACATCAGCTGGTAAATATTTTTTACATGAGAGAAAGAACAAATTTGATATGCTTTCTATCCTTTTTGTTTTAAGCATTAACGTGTAACAATGGCGGCTTTTGTCGAGTGTTTAATAGTACAAATCAAGCAACATGCTGTTGTGCGAATGGTATAGTTCAATGGTTTTATCTGTTCGAATGAGAAAACGCTGTGTCTTTCGATAGGTTTCACTGGTTTTAATTGTCAATATTTATCAACATGTACACCCAACATAAACTGTTTTAATGGTGGCGTGTGTACTGCTGCGTATGATCCGATTTTGCGTACATCTTATTATGTATGCACCTGTGCAACCGGGTATGTTACAAACGATAATCGATTCTAATTAGTAAATAGAAAATAACGTTTTTGTACATGGAAATCTAGATATTCAGGATTATATTGTCAACAAAGTCAACAATGTCCTACTGGGTTCTATGGGTCAAACTGTACTGTTCAATGTTATGCACCTAATTCTTGTAGCGCTGGTCATTTCACATGTAATTCGAATGGCGTTCGGACATGTCTGTCGAATTGGTATCCAGAAAATAGCTGTCTGTTGAAAAATCTTTCATCTTATATTGATCCGGAATGCCCTAATGTATTGGGATGTCGTAACGGTGGTTCATGTTTCAACGGGTCATGTTGTTGTCCATCAGCGTATACTGGTAAATGAAAATATTCATAGGGATGATAGAATTGATAACGTCAAAACTCTCTCTATAACTCAGGTCGTTTGTGTGAAACATCAATTAGTCCATGTTCAAGCAACCCTTGCCAAAATAATGGCTTTTGCGTAGCGATAACCACAGGATTCCAATGTCAATGTTCCAGTTCTTACACAGGTGTCTACTGTGAAACCACACTAAATCCGTGCAATTATTCTCCGTGTCGAAATGGAGGTCAATGTTATACATTAGCAAACAATTCATTCTACTGTCTATGTCCAACAGGTTTGATTTTGAAACAAAAAGAAAGAATATGCATTCTCTCTCTCTTCATTCATTCATCGTTTAGGTTTTGTGGGCCAGCTATGTGACACTCAAAATGATTACTGCCGATTACAACCATGTGCAAACAATGGAGTCTGTATCAGTACGACAACAGGTTTTTCATGCATCTGTCCATCAACTTATACGGGTCTCACGTGTGCAATTGCACTTGATCCGTGTCTTTCCCAACCATGCGTCGCAAATAATACATTGAGCTGCGTCAATAATAACAATTTAACGTATACATGCAATTGTCGAACTGGCTTTTCAGGTTTGAACATATAAGATATGAAGAATGAATGATAGACGTGATTTCTATTCGAAGGTTCGACTTGTGCACAAACCGCCACTTCTTGTCTGTCCGTGACAACACCATGTCGAAATGGTGGTACGTGTATAAACACAGTAAATGGTTACGTTTGCCAATGTGATGGAAGATATCAAGGAAGTGACTGTAGTATTCCTATTGATCCGTGTCTAAGCAGTCCATGTGTTGCATCTGGTTCAGTATCATGTCAATTAGTATACAATGGCACGAGTTACGCTTACAGTTGCACATGTCAACCAGGTCATACAGGTAAATTTCCATGACATCGTCGATCCTTCGAAAATACCTACTCTGTTTCGTCAAGGATCACGTTGTGAAACTGTCCTAAGCCCGTGTGATAGTGGACCATGTTCATTTGGTAAATGTGTGGCATCAGTGAATACGTGGACATGTGTATGTGATCCGGGTTGGACTGGCTTGCAATGTAAAGACGGTATCAATGAGTGTGCATCAAATCCATGTTTAAATGCGGGTGTATGTATTGACGGTATTAACCAATATCGTTGTATTTGTTTAACTGGCTATATGGGTGCAAATTGTGAAGTGTCCTTGAACGGATGTTCAAGCATGCCCTGTCGAAATAATGGTAAATATCAATTTAAAACTCTCATATTAGTTATACATAGTTTGTTTTTCGAAAAGGTACATGCGTGAATAACGTGGTCTCTTTGGGATGCATATGTCCTTCCGGTTGGACAGGAACATACTGTGACACTGATATAAATGAATGTCTTACTGCTTCTATTTGCGGCCCCGGTGCAACGTGCATAAATAACAATGGTTCATACAAATGTATTTGTCCAACGTGGTTGACTGGCGCTAATTGTTATACACAGATTGATTTATGTTCGACTAATCCATGTCGAAATAATGGTATTTGTGTTTATAACTATGGTGGAAGTCTTGTATGCCGTTGTCAAGTTGGTTTTACCGGTACATTCTGTGAGGTAAATACGAATCTGTAGAACATAACAGAAGAGAAAAAGTATGCAATCTTTAAATATTTTCCTAGGTCAACATCGATGATTGCCAGTCGGCTCCCTGTCTGAACAATGGAACATGTGTTGATCAAATCAATAGCTTCATCTGTATCTGTCCATCAGGTTATACTGGTATGCGATGTGAATCCGTCATTACTCAATGTCTCAGTTTACCCTGCTTAAACGGCGGCACGTGCCGTGATTCATACACAACAAATGGTATAGGCTATCTTTGTATTTGTCCATCGTTATATACGGGTTTACGTTGTGAACAAACTCTCAATCCATGTTCAAGTTATCCCTGTGTTTATGGAACTTGTACTACGAGTGTTGCCACAGGTTCAACTTACTTGTGTGTATGTATGAATGGTTATACAGGGCAACGATGCGACATCCCAATGAATCAATGCTCGCCGTCACCGTGCGGCCCGAATAGCACTTGCATCAGTTTAGGATCGACTTATACATGTTGCTGTGGCACAGGTTACACAGGCAATCAATGTATGCAAATGATGGACTTGTGCTCGACAAATCCATGTTCATCCATTGGCGCGCAACAATGTGTGCAAACAACAGCTGGATTATTTACATGCTTGTGTAAATCAGGTTATACAGGTCGTTATTGTGAAGTTAATATCAATGAATGTGCTTCGCAACCAGTAAGTTGTTCTTTGTAAGCAAAATAACTAAAAGACTCGAATCTACATTTAGTGTATCAATGGTGGAACATGTGTGGACTTAGTCAATGGATATCAGTGTGTATGTCCAGCTGTTTACAGTGGAAATAATTGTGGACGTGTAATGGATCAATGTACAGGTTTCGAGTGTTTAAATGGTGGTAAATGTCTACGAAATGGAACAACGTTAACGTGTCTATGTGCACAAGGATATCAAGGAGTTAATTGTGAACTAATTGTTGACTATTGCCAATCACAACCGGTAGAAAGTTGAATATTTACGTTGAAAACCTATTCAATCGTGTTTCTTTAGTGTCAAAACGGAGGTTTCTGTTCGAATACTAATCTTGGTTTTCAGTGTTCATGCTTGACTGGTATTACTGGCCAATTCTGTGAAACAATCATCAATCAATGTCAATCACAGCCATGTCGAAATAATGGAACATGTAAATCACTGATTAATCAATATGTTTGCCAGTGTCCAAGTGGTTTGATGGGTAAAGATGATTTCTTCCTTTGATGCACATTATGCAATTTTTGTCTCATTCTATCTCATCTAGGTACTCAATGCGAAACAGAACGTAATGAATGTGAACCAGTCAATCCATGTCTCAATTCTGGACGATGTATCGATCATTTCAATAATTTCTCCTGCGTTTGCGCTTCGGGTAAGATTTAATTCAATATCATTATCATTCGTTTCGGGACAAAAAGGGACAATTATAATTCTCTAGGTTTTACTGGTTACTATTGTGAAACTCAAATTGATTATTGCCAGTCAAATCCGTGCTTCAATGGTGGTTTGTGTCGAACTCTAATCGATGGATACAAATGCGATTGTCCACAGGGATACAACGTAAGAATGAATACGATATTCTCTAGAAACTTTCTGATCTTGTAATGAATTTGACAGGGAACAACATGTTCAACAGCAATAAATTATTGTTTAAGTAATCCATGTTCAAACAATGGTTTATGCGTATCATTTGTTAATGGCTATCGCTGTGCTTGTCTTGACGATTATATTGGTTTACGATGTGAAAATAAATCCAACGAATGTTCATCGAATCCGTGTCTAAACAATGGGACATGTATTGATGGAATTTGGAATTATAGATGCCAGTGTTTACCTGGTTATACCGGATCGAATTGTCATTTATTGATGGACTATTGCTCGAGTTCGCCATGCATCAATGGTTTTTGTCAAAATCGATTAAATGGTTATGATTGCATATGTTCATCATCGTCTTATACGGGTGTTCACTGCGAAATTCAAATTAATAAATGTGCTTCCAATCCTTGCCATTCGAATGCTACATGTATTGATGGACTTGAGCGTTATATTTGTTTATGTCCGCCATGGTTTTCAGGAGTGACTTGCTCTGAGCAAATCAATCCATGTTCAAGTTCAACAGCATGTGCCAATAATGCCACTTGTTTAGTTAATTATGACGTTAAACCTCAAGGTTATACATGTGGATGTTTACCGGGTTATACAGGTTCCATGTGTGAAATTGATATCGATGATTGTGTGACACAACCATGTAGACGTGGACGATGTGTTGATCGAGTCAATGGATTTATCTGTACTTGTTATTCAGGAAGTGAAGGAGTATTGTGTGATGTAAGCTGAATTGTTTTGATTTTTATGAAAAGCATATTTTTTTTGATAGAATGACGTCAACTTTTGTCTAAGTTTGCCATGTCAAAACAACGGGTCGTGTATGTCGTTAACAAATGCTTATCAATGTATATGTACAAGTGGCTTTCAAGGAACAAATTGTGAACAAAATATTGCTCAGCCTTGTGCGAGTAGTCCTTGCTTGTAAGTTTCGTCCGGATAGAATCGAACTAGGCCTGATTTTTTCCTTGCTTTCGATTAGAAATAATGGTACATGCACTATTGGGACCAGTGCTGGTTTTCAATGTTCCTGTCCATATGGTTATACAGGTCCTCGCTGTGAATTAACTATCAATGCGTGTGCATCAAATCCATGTCGATTTGGTACATGTAGACAAGTTGCTCCAGGCTATTATTATTGTTTTTGCACCCCTGGCTACACAGGCTTCAATTGTCAAACAGATATAAATGAATGTGCAAGTTCACCGTGCTTAAACAATGGTACATGTATGGATATGATCAATGCATTTACTTGCACGTGTCCCAATGGATATACGGGAATTCAATGTCAAGATGGCGGTTATCAGTGTAGTTCAGGTCCGTGTCTTAATAATGGCACGTGTGCTATCACGAGTACTGGTTATCGATGCACGTGTATAGCCGGCCTCACAGGCAACCGTTGTGAAATTGATATTAATGAATGTGCATCAGCACCATGCCAGAATGCTGGTATTTGTCTACAGCCGACATTAAATCGCTATCAATGTCTTTGTCCCACTGGTAAGTCCATGTACAAGCTCTTGTTTTCGTTTTATTTCCATTCATTCGAAGGATATTCTGGTACTAACTGTGAATCAATGCTCGATCCATGCTTGTCCGTCACTTGTTTCAATAACGGGACGTGTACCCGAACAAGTTCATCAACAGGTATCTGTGTATGCTCACCCGGCTACACAGGCACTGCATGTCAAAACACCATCAGCTTCTGTTTGAATTCATCATGTGTGAATGGCACATGTATCTCATCAAGCAATTCCTATCAATGTTATTGTTTTCCCGGTTATACTGGCCAACGTTGCGATTCACCTATCAATCCATGTACATCAAATCCTTGTTTGAATAACGCTACATGTATCAATCAGATCAGTTCGTACGCATGTCAATGCCCTTACGGATTTCAAGGAACAACATGTGCCGTACGTGTGCAAGCATGTCAGTCATCTCCTTGTTTAAATGGTGGAACATGCAATGATATTGGGCCAGGCTTATTAAATTGTTCGTGTCTATCGTCTTATCGGGGCGTATTTTGTCAATTGAGAGATCAATTTTGCTCACAGGCACCTTGTCAAAACAATGGTATTTGTATTGAAGCCTTAAGTGGTTATCAATGCCTTTGTCAACAGGGTTACACAGGTGTAAATTGTTCGACTATTATTCAACCATGTTTATCGAGTCCATGTTTAAATAATGGAACGTGTGCAACAATACTGAATGGTCTTAGTTATCAATGTTCATGTCCGCTTGGTTACGGCGGTCTTCGTTGTGAATCAAATACAAATTGGTGTTCGTCAAATCCATGTTTGAATCAAGGAACTTGCATTTCACAAACAACATCATTTACTTGCAACTGCCTATCAATCTACACAGGTATTATTTGTCAAACATTGATTAGTAATTGCTCATCATTAACTTGTGGCAACGGTATACCTATTGTATCGAGTCCAACGAATTGTACATGCCAATGTTCCAGCGGTTACACAGGATATCTTTGTCAAACACCTATCAATCCGTGCTCGACGACGATAGGAAATAGTTCATATTGTGTTCGTGGTACATGTAACTATCTTAGTGCTGGCTTAGCCAATTGTACATGTCCGAACGGCTACAGTGGACTTCGTTGTGATACACGTATATCCAATGGTGCTTGTGGATCATGCCCTTGTCTATACGGTCAATGTCGAACAAATGATACAACCAATAGTTATATATGTGATTGTTATCAAGGCTATACTGGCATACGTTGTGATACACCAATTAATCCATGTTCCCCGTCACCTTGCATTTATGGTCAGTGTATATTAGATAGTGCTACTGGGTACCGTTGTATATGCCTTACTGGTGCCACTGGTCCAAATTGTACTTTGATTAATAATGTATGTTCATCTCAACCGTGTAAAAATCTTGGCACATGCGTCGCACAAGGTACTTCATCATACATATGTGTATGTCCAACTGGATTTAATGGCACTAACTGCGAAAGTGGTGCTAGTGCATGTTTAAGTAAACCCTGTCTGAACGGAGGAACATGTCTGGAACCAACGTCAAACTATTATATCTGCCAATGTCCATGGCCATTCTATGGCGTTAATTGTCAGCTAGCGTGCGATCCTTGCGTGAGTTATCCATGTCGTGGACCATTATCGCAATGCATATCATCACCGATCTATTTCAATTATACATGTGTTTGTGCCGCTGGTTACAATGGTACAACATGCGCTACAGCGTACGATCCGTGTCAATCATGTCCATGTCGGAATGGCGGATCTTGTGTACGGACAGGTCCAACAACATACACATGTGCTTGTCCTGCAGGATACAATGGCAGCTATTGCGAAACGCAACTCAATCCATGTTCTTTTTATCCATGTGCTATTGGTACATCATTAGTAACATCACCAATCACATGCCAATGTCAATGTCCGTATTCATATACAGGTGCTCTATGTCAAATAAATGTTTGTCAAACTAATCCATGTCTAATTGGTACTTGTATTGCGAGTGGAAACTATTCCTATACATGCAGTTGTCCAGCTGGATTTCAATACATCATGGGAGTGTATGTATTTGAAGAATATATTGAACTATAGTATTAGGATATTTTTGTACTTAGATGTGCGGATATTAATGAATGCACAACGATACCAGGCATTTGTGCTAACGGTGGACGATGTATAAACTCATACGGATCATATCTGTGTTTTTGCAATTCGGGTTTCTATGGAAACAATTGTGAAATATATGATCCATGCCGATCCTTTCCTTGTATCAATAATGGTACTTGTGTATCTATTGGAAGCTATCCATTTTGGCAATGCATCTGTCCAACATTGTATACTGGTATGAATGAAGCAATTGACCCAAATATTTTCAATTTATTATTAACTGTTTAGGTTCTCGGTGTGAAAGCATATCACTTGGATGTTCGGTCAATCCTTGCCGAACTGGTACTTGTGTAAGTCTTGCTAATGGTGGCTATCAATGCATATGTCCATCACTATTAACTGGAACGAATTGCGATATCCCAACATTACCTTGTGCTTCAAATCCATGTTTGAACAATGCAACTTGTTTAACATTATCTTTAGTCAACTATACTTGTATATGTCCACCAATGTACACTGGCTTAACATGTTCACAACAAATACTTATTTGTCCCACGAATCCTTGTCAAGGAAATTCCACTTGCATTATGAATGCAATCACGGGCCAGCAAATTTGTCAATGTGCACCCGGAAGATACGGCGTTTAGTATGCTTGACGTGATACTCTAGACATCTTCAAGAGCTGCTTTACTTTCAGTTGCGAAATCATTTCACCATGTGGTTCCAGCCCATGCGTTCGAGGAACATGCCGTAATCTAAATTCTACGACATATCAGTGTGTCTGTGAGCTTGGTTACACAGGTAAGTAATAATTTCTTGACTCAATCATTCATGCATTGTTCGTTTAATTAGGCGCATCGTGCGAAATACCCTACGACGTTTGTGCATCGGGCCCATGTAAGTCAATCGAATGAATTTAGTCTCATTTATCGAAGAAAATACATCTAGGTCAAAATGGTGGCACTTGTCTCAACTTAGGTAGTGGATTGTATAGGTGCACATGTCCAGCTGGATTCACTGGTAATGGACTAATCCATAGAAAAGAATCTCCTTAAAACAGAAATATTTTGTAGGTACGAATTGCAATATTCCACTTTGTATGAGTGATAGTTGTTTTAACGGTGGCATATGTATGGGCCAAAATAGTACGTTACGTTGTCAATGTCCATGTGGGTTCACTGGTAAGTAAACTCTTTTTCTCTTATCCAACACCAAAGTTTATTTACTCGAAAACATGTCAATAGGATCTCGATGTGAAACACCATTTGATATATGTACATTAACATCGTGTCAGAACAATGGCACACGTATTCTCAATGCCACCGGATGCCAATGTACATGTTTATGTCCAGTAACATTCACGGGAAGTGTTTGTCAAACACCAACTACACCAGTGAATACAACCTATCCAGGACAAATTATTATTCCAATTGATCGACCAGGAGGTATTTCATTTATAGAATTCTGATTATCGGATCATCAAGAATCCATGTTTAGGCGCAACATGGGAGATTATTGCACAATGTGTCGATCAAGTTTGGAACAGTTTAAATGTCATACTCGGTATGTAGATCATAAATTTTATTCACCTGCGGACAGATTCATTGGTTTTCTAGCATGTAATACTCCGTTTACATTGCTCAGTCCGACAACATTCTATCCATACTGTTATCAAATTAATCAACAAGCGTCGCTTGTGAGTCAAATGAATGCTATTCAAGACTGCAGTGATAAGTCTTCTCAACTCGTTTGGTTCCAATCAAATGATGAACTTCAACAACAACTAATTCCAGCACTGTTCGCTCGTGGCTTAGCTCGAGGTATGTATTCTTCTTTGTTCTACTCACGAATGCATAGTTGCTATTTAGACTTTTGGACAAGCGGAATTTTCAATCCAACATTAAATCGATGGCAATGGTTATTAGCAAATAATAATACTCTTATCGATATCGATTCATCAATTCTCACACAGTTCGGAATAACTCCATCAAGTACACGCGTTTAGATACAAAGAACAATTTCATTTATTTCTTTATTTTTCATGTAGCGGGTCAATCAATATATTATACATTTGCACAATTAACAAATCGACGATTAACAACAGGCTCATCCTCCCAAACATACTCAACACTTTGTAAAATATCCGCAACTCGTATTCCACTTGATAATCAAACTCGAGCTCTTCTCCTTGCATCTCAACAATACGGATACATTAATCAGTACGGATTTTCCTCTTCTACGTTTCGCCATTCGTTTCTGTTCTTTAGAACTCAAGTGATTATCTTTAATTTCAACTATACAATTTTTTCAACGATTCCATCGAATGTCGTTATTCAACAGCCAACCGCAGCACAATATGCAGCAATGTGTGGCGCAATCGGCAATCCCACAACATCGGTTGACCCATATATTATCGATATATGTGGCTATTTTCCGTCGATAACCGATGGAAATGTTCAATTATTAATGCAAACAATTTCTTCGTACTACACATCACATCGACTGACAATTCTCTCGACACGTGAGTTTACTTGTGAAATTCCTATATTTCTTATTGTTGTCCTTCTGGTAGAGAGTTACGTGGCAGTTCCATTGAAAGTAGAACATTATACAACAATATCCGGTGATTTGATGACTCGAATACGATTCATCATTACAAGTGGCTCATCAATTGTTCTGGGTGCAAATGTTGAATCGTTAGCATCGATTAGGGATATGCTTAATACTATCAGTTATCGAATCTATCAACAATGTACACCATTTATATCGTTAAATATTCTTTTACCATTGAAACTATGTATTCCATTGAATGAAATCTCACTATGGACAAACGTCGTTGCTAGTGCAGTTTCAGCAGCGACTGGTACGATCTTTGTTTCTATGAATAAACGAAAAAAGAAACACTTTTTTTTAGGACAATCGAGTATTACTGTTATGTTAAAAGGTGTTCAACCTGGTGTAACATCAACAGGGTAATGTCGAATTAGGTCTCATTCTAAAACGATTTCTTTTTTTCTTAACATTGATAGACAACCTGCAAATACTGCATATTTTCTGATCACCATCAATGGAATGACCTACAATCAAACTTCAAGTACCAATTTAGCATCGAATCCAATATTACTTTCCACAATTGCACAAGCAAATAGTCAATTATTATGCTCAAATCAGACGCAAATACTTCCATTTCAAATCAGCATCCAAGATTTTTATGTTCCATGTCCAATCCCGCAAATGTAAGTGAAAAACTGAATCTTATTTTAGTGTGTGAAAAGCACGATTTCATTAGACTTCAACGACAACTAAACAATGCCTTACAACAAGCTGGAATTTACACAATTAATATGACGATCTTCGGCGTCGACGAAGCAGTCGATACTACGAGGTATGAAGAGTATTTCCTCTGATTTTCATACCGATTTTCTTCTAGTCATATCTATCGTCTACCGAATATCTATATTCAACATCAGAATGGTACATGGCTTGATGCTCCATTACAATTGAATAGTCAACTATATCAAACTTTGATCTCTGTGCAATTACAACGTCTGTTAACTCGAGTCTATCGTCTATCCAAAGCTTATTCATACTTCTTTTCGAATTCTTTAACGATAAACGAACGAGATTACCTACAACGATTAATTTTAGCAACATATAATCAGCAAAGTAATTCGAATTTTACTCGTCAATTCTCATCTTCTCGTTTTCTTCTAATAACAAAGGTACAATCGCTGGTAACACTGCAAAAGTTTTACTTGAGGATCCGTATTTAAACGCCAGTTCGCTAAAAACCATTCAACGAGTTTATACATTTGTGTTCTTCAACGACCAAGAACTTGACGGAAGATATTTATCAAGTTTAAGCTTATCTCCCGGACAATTCATGAGTACATATTATTCTCAAACTCCATTGACGTTTATCTCGAACGCCCTTCCGATTAATGTTGTTAAACAACGTGATGTGCAGCAAATAACTTTCACGGGAAAAATTAGCCGAACATTAGCGCAAACAAGTTTGGCGGATTATTGGCAAAATCCAATTCGACAAGGTTTAATCAATTCTAACGTTTATATTCTACAACTACAACAGAACTTCATCTACTCAGCAAAGTAAAACTCATCGAACTTTTGGTTCGTCTTTATGTCCTGTTTTGTTTTCAGTCAATTTTATACAACGATAACGTATGTTGTTGTCACATCCGATGGCTATACAGTTCCAAGTGCATGTTTCAATCCGAATTTCATTCAACCATTAAATGGTTTATGCGATTCGCCGAATAATTACGTTTCACAAGTTCCTTTTAGTTACACCGCATCATTTATTGATCTCCGAGGAAATTATCTTCAAGCTGATCTAACTCAAGACAATTTTGCATCATTAATCACTTCTGCGCTACAGAGAACAGGAATTAGTAGTACAGTTTCGTCGATCTTAGTCGAACTACGATTCGGTTTCGATATGTCATTGGTCACACGAGTTTATTACACGGTTGTACCAAGTCAAGTTGTTACACAAGACCAAATCCAACTTCAATTAAAAGTACGTTGTTTCCTCAATTGAGTTTTACTTTTCATTTTTTATTTTTCTTCTAGTCAATCTTTTCAACCATGCAGCCAATTAAATACGATCTATATCCAAGTGAACAGTCATCAATTGCTCGTAGTGATGCTTTTCAATATATAACAAATGTCACTTTACCATTGTCAGCTACTATTCGTCAAGATGTTGAAAATTATCTGACGTCATTCAATCGACGTAAGAAAATACTGTCAATCGTTTCAATATTAACTTTTTCGGATATTTGTAGAGTATGGTGTGGCGAAAATAGTCTATGCAGAAACGATCACCGCGAATCAAACTCGATTTTATCTTGTGGTATCGAGAAACGAAGTTTCATTGTTGGAATTCTCATCAACTTTGTTTTAGTTTCTCAACAATACACAAATACTCACTCGATGTGATTTTTCTTTGTACTATCCGGGAGTAACAAATCTAAATAACGGAACTGGTGGTCTTTACAGTATTTATCTCGAACGAAATGTTTTTGTTGCACAACCGATCGCCTTAGCTGATGGTCTTGCGCAAATTTGGATGAACCAAAACATCGGTATACAGCCAGGAACATTAATAATTCAATTACAAAACCAATATGAATATGTTTGCTTGGGAGGGTAGAATTCTTCGAGACAAATGCTTTGGTCAATGTCACTTGTCTTTTTCTAGAAAGAAATCTTTTCGAATTGATTACATTGTTCAAAGTCTTTCCACGAGTGTTAATGTGAATAATTTAATTCCGCCGCCAAATTCAGCATTTGACCAACTTTACGGCAAGTTTGTAAACGTAAGTTCAATGCTCTTCGTTCTTTCGAAAAAAAAAACCATTAAGGAATATTTTCAATCTAGACAAGTCACTGTGTATCTAGCCGAGCGTATTGGATATATTTAATGGAGCCACGACCATCAAATGATATTATACGTACTGCATTAGAGAACGCATGGCGGCAATCGAATAGTAAATCGAACTTTTTCGATTGAAATTTTGTCATTTATTTGAATTATTTAGATAACTTCTTTATCAATGTTTCACCACAAATGTATTTCGATTCGACTTATTTAACTAATAATAATCAATCACTAACACGTGTTACTTACACGATCAATCTCGATGGTTCCGATGTATCGCCATTAACTGTTACGCAACCAGCAATGAATCTATTTAGTTTATCGAATTTATATACAAATATTCCTTACAAACAGTTTTCGATTTATATCGATGGTAATAAAGTGAATTTAACCAGTTCAACAACACTGGCAATGATCAATCAAGCACTAAGAACAAGTTGGTCATTAGCTAATAGTTATCTTTTCTCATCAAACGATGTTTCCATTCCATCAATAACTTCGAATACGTTGAAGTAACTATGAGATTGAAGTCTCGTGAAGTTTCCTTTACATTTGTATTTAGTAATGGACAAACTAAAGTAGATTATATGATTGGCTTGCGTTCAGGTGATATTGGCGATTATTCTCAACCATCCGAAAGACTCTATACGCAAATATTTAATCAAACGGGCTTACAAACACTAGTTTACACACGTTATATACCAACAAAAGATAATAGTCAACTGATTTTCACAAATGACGAATCAACAAATGTTCCATTTTATCGTCGTACTGGTCCATTTTTTGGAGTAATGAAAAAAACTTTCTTCACATCGAATTTACATATTTTATTCTTTAGCTTGATTGGTGGATTATCTTAATTCTTGTTGTGGGCATCTTGACAGTTTGGTTAATTATCTGTTTGATATGTTACGCTTGTTGCCGAAGACGGTAAGTTTCATTTTTCCTCTCTCTCTTGTAATCGAATTGCTTTTGAATTAACGCTTCTGCTTGTGCTTATATCTAACAATAGATTTAGAGAAATATCTTACCGTCCAAATCGTCGACGAACAATGCGTCGTATTGATATTCTTAGTCGTGAGCAAAATTATTTTCCATCAACATCAACTTTAAATGAACAACAAATCGTTCCTCCACCAGAATTACAAGTTCGCCGTCTATCACAACAAGAATGGAGATATTTAAATGCTTCTTCTGCACATTCAGCTTTACCTGTTGTGACTTCATTAACTTCTTCACTAGAATCGAATCCTTATGAATTATGAGAATAATATTTTCATTTACTTCTATTCTTAGTGCGGAAAACTCTTCGTCCGTAGTTGTTCAAGATGTTCATCAACTAGAAAAATCTGAACCTATGTACGCCATGAGCGCCGCTCCGTACACGTCATCCAAACGTTCTATATCAGTCATTGATTTGAACGATCAACCATCCACAATAGAATTTCGTCGGCCACGACGTGCAACAAGATCAGTCTCACCTTCCAGTAGTTTTCGATACATTCTACCTTTCAACTCTCATCGAGAACAAAAACAGCGCAACTACGAACCAACTTCGTTGGGAAATCGACAAGATGTGCCTATAACTGTAACGAAGAGTCCGATGTATAGCGAAGATTACCTTTAACTATTTTATTAAACAGAACAGTATTTTGTTTTTTTTTTCTTTGATTGTTGTTGAACATCAGAAACGAAATTGCAAATCTCTTCGAATAAATGTTCTTCTACTTGTGAAAAGTAAGAATTGATTTATTATGATCATAACATGAGAACAGATCAATGTACATGAAAATGATATGTTGAGATACCAGCACGATCAAAGACGTTCATGTTTAATATTGTCTGAAATTGCTGAGGTTTCTCGGGTGTTTTGTTTGCTATTCAGACGCTTTTCCTTTCGTACATCTTGTATGACCGGCCATAAACAAAGCCCCTAAAGAAGTTATAAAAATTTCTCATAATCTCGTTTCATTGTATAGACGCTTACTAATAAAATAAGTGTGCAAACAGTAATGACAACCGAGAGAACAACAATACCAGTGATAACAACGGGAATGGTCATTGCTTGACACTAATATTTCACTTTTTCAGGAGAATTTTAAAGGTAATAGAAAAAAATAAACATTTAGCTAACCTGACGTCGTCTTGAATTTTCTTTTTTCTCTACAAAACTGCAAATATTTGATCGTTCTGCGACGTGTTTTTCTCGCTCACTTAACAGGTTAGCAATATAGGTAAGTATGTTTTTTTTCACGGTTGAGGATATATTCGATACACACGCGTAAAAGAAAAGAAAAACGACAAACAGAACAGAACATGTAGCTCACTAGCAACTTTTTTGTTCTACACACGCCTCTCGATTATTTGCTGTCATTGTGAATAAATATATTCAAAAAAAAACTTACTTAACAACGACTGTATTGAATGTTTGGCAAGAGAACATTGAAGTAATCACTCCTGTTTTATGTTAACATAAATCGACAGGATATAAATACTGTGATAAGGAAGGAAGTGTTACCATTGAAAACAGACTCAAACAAATAACTTCGTATGGTAATGAGTATTATATCGTTCTACAAGTGTTCTACTTTAGATGACGATCACAATCAAATATTATTCCTTTTTTTACAAGCATTCATTTCGTATGGGTATAACAATATCCGAAAATATTTGTTATTTTCTTGTTTATTCAATTTCTCTGATTATTTCATCGCAAATAGATCATTCATAACACACTGTTTTATTAGATTCAGTAAAGGAAATAAAAACAGGATTGTCAGAACTAATCCATCGATCGTTAGTTTGAGCACGATCTATCGTACTAAGATAGATACAACTTGGTTTCCAAGCTACAAGAAAATACATCCAAAATTTGCTAGTGCTGAAAGCAAAGAATATTATCAAACTCACAAGAACCACTCCACTTTCCATCGTTAATAAGTTCAATACCACGAATAGCATTCTCGGTTTCATCAAACTTCACATTTGTATAGATCATACATACGTCGACTTGATTTCGTTCGAATGCATTCATTGTTGGTCCAAGACTTCTCAGTGCGTGGCGAGTTAGATTTCTTTTCGTTCCAACAACACTTACATAGATATTTGAATCTGTACCAGCATTTCTTTCATTTGCCGTATGAATCTCGAAGAACAAATAGCCTCTATATGGTACCGATGTTTGATTCTCACTACTGTTGAAATCATTTGCACGAGATGTCGAAAGATGACTGATAACCCATATGAAAGCAGTCAAACGAAAAGTAACATGCATCGTGTTGCGTGGAGATGTATACTAAGAAAAAAGAATCAGTTGAATCGTCTATGCTTTATATAAGTTACAAAGAAAACCTTATCGCATAAGACGTGATTGAAAGTTTCTTTTTCTTTTGTTGATTATCATCAGTCAGTGCCATATTTCACAAGACATCACTCTTTATCATGTGATAGATGAGCATCACTTTTTTATAGTTACTACTTCAGAAATAAATCGATGGAGACTTTATTGCACTGATTGAATCCTTTTTTAATATTGCCTTAGACACCCTTAATGCAAAATTCAAACGATCTCAATCAACCGAAAGTATTTACAGCTTCAGGTCACAACATCAAGTTGTTTCCACATGTTTTGCTCGTGTGTACTGATCCAGACATTTTCAAAAACTGTGGACTAATCGAACAATTATATGAAAAAATCAGTTAGTTTTAGTGTATACAAATAGATTGCTTGAAAACAGTTTAATTTATAAACTATCTGTCTGCTGAAGTCTTTATCCGTCGAATTATTTTCAGCTGAACATTTGAATTGTTTAACGATTTCTTCTTGTTCGGATAAGGTAATTGAGAAGTGTTTTGAATGTTAAAAGTAGTTAAGAAGTCATGAAACTGCTTTTTTTTTAAACAAACACATTCAATAAAAGAGCGAGACATCGCATTTTATGTACCTCTATTTTATAGTCATTAACCATAGATGAAAATCACGAAGAATATTTCAGAAGCGCTGTAGACAAGGAGCAAACGGCAGTTTCCTCTATGTTAGAGTAAGTAATCAAACGAAATAAATGAAATAGTAAATAGCACGCTTCACTTCTTTCACTCTCGTATTTCCCAGTCATGAATTCAAGTAATTCTTATGAAGAAATGACAACGATCTCTTCTTCATCTTCTCTTCGGAAACTTCCACGTTACCTTCGAAAACAGAATCTATTCGCTGACGAAACGCGTACATATGTATTTATTGATTTTGTTTGCATTCTTCCAGTACTCATGGCTACTTTCTTATTTTGTCGTGATGTTAACTGACAAAGGCTTTCACTGTCCATTCTAGTACTTGTCGACATTCTCCTATACCTTGTGCATACGCTTATAAAATTTAGCTACTACGTTGCTTGACTTGAATTGCAACTCTGTTGTGTATTAGAACCATAGTTATGGACTGGAATAAAAGTTCTTTTGTTTGTGTATGTGAATAAATGGTCAGCTAATTAAATATGTTTTTGTTTCGAGACTAAAACGGGTATATTTCTTCCATCGGCAAATTTTGCCTCTATGAAATCAAAGGAAAGAAAAAACCATTCATTGGTCGTATCATTTTCTTCTCATCTACCAAAATGTAAAAGTTATCCCATTGATCATTATAATAATGTCTACTGAAATCTTCGTCGATGGTATTTGTGAATTTGATGATAAGTCAATTCAGTCATATTTCTCCCGGTTTGGTTCTCGCATAGTACATTACGAATGTCAACGTCATCGTCCAACCAACGCTTGTTGCTTTGCAGTGATAACGTTCGCGTCGCATCATACAGTGAATGCCATACTTCGTAAACGACCGCATTCAATCAATTCGTACCCATTGTTTGTTAAACGATTGCTTCCATTGACTATTTGTTCATTTTCCGAACGTCTCTTACCTGTGACAAGTTTGTTTGTTCAAAATCGGATTACGAAAGAACTTGAAGAAGGAAATTTGAAGAAATACTTTGAAACATTTGGCGAAATATTAAGATTTGAACGTGATTCAAAACAAAATCGATTGATCATTGAATTCAAAGATTACGACTCGATCGATCGAATCTTTTTAAATAAAGATCAATTGCCACAGTTCATCGAAGTACATAAAAATCTTTCACCACGTTTACAAAATCAAATACGGTACCACGGCACATGTCGTCCGAAAGAGCAACAACCGAAATTCAATAACAAAGAAAAGGAACATTACCAAGATTTATTACAAAAAACCATTGGAGAATTGGCGAAATGTAAAGCCCAATTGAGAAATACTGAAAGGGATTATCTGATCCTTCAAATGAGTACGATCTATATCTTTTTACTACACAGATTTCATCAGTTTATTTCTGAACAGAATATACGACAATGAAAAAGAAATATGATCGTATAAATCAACGTTTAACTAATGAAAATGAATGTCATACGCGTGAAGAAGACCAACAAAGTCGAAAGTCGACGACACATCCTAAATATGTTTTATCAAAACGATTAAATAACAGTTCAATACACAAGCATCAAGGTTTTCTTTTTGATAACCATTTTACACGTTGAAACTCATTTCGTCTTTACGGTTTCAGAAAGTTCAACAACACAATCGAATACGCCAGATGATAGTAGTATACTTCGAACTTTTATCTCACAATTAAATATCGTTTTCTAAATAGTTTTTAAACAAGTTCAATCTCTATCAGCTATGATTCGGCCATGTGAACAAAAATATCGATCCACATATCGGTATGAACCGGTTCGAAATGATCAACAATAAACTTTTTCTGTCAGTTGTAACTGAATTGTTTGGAATAAACCTATGTTTGTATAAATATTTATCAATCAATTTTTATTAGGCAATCCCCCAAGAAAAGCGAAATATAAGACAATGCCAATCAAAGTTTTCTATGTTCTGTTTTGAAGGAAGTTCATCGTTTCTTCTGTGCTAATTTGATCAATGTACCACAATGAGGACATTCAAGTTGACTTGGTTCGTATGTAACAGGTACTGATGTTGCTTTCCATCCTTGTGCTGGTTGAATCGTTTCAGTTCGACGAACAACTTGTGGTTGTGATTGAGACTCCTGCATCAGAACACGATTTCTGCCTGATCGACTACTCATACTTGCTAAAATGAATAGTAGTATGTACAAAATAGCTGTTGCTAACAAAGCTGCTGCCATGGCTAATTGTGCTTTGAGAATTTGAACTTTTCTTCCTAATGGTATACCTGATCGTCGATAGCCTGACGATTCAATATCGATACAGATAACATTCGAAAAGAAGCATCGTGTGATATTAGCAATGAACAAAGCGTCCAAAACGATCAATGTGATTGCAGCTGCAGCACAAAGAATAGATATGAAGAAAACATAGGTTGACCATTTACGTGAACGATGACAGCAAACTAGAACGGAGAGCATTTAAATGTTGTTTTAGTTTTCCTTCGTTGAAATACCTAAGATAAACATCGACACCCATGATATGGTGAAGAAAATTGATAACCAAAAGCCAGCATAGAGTGTACCTCGACTTGGTGAAATAACGACAGATGCGATTTCGAGACCAACAATAGCAAATGTTAAGATCATTTGTAAGAAGCCGATAATAATCGGTATCACCATCGAGAATTTTGAACGCCATTGGATTTCTTGATCAAATTCGGATGGATAGAGATATGTCGGTTGCATTCTCGTTGATTGAATTGTCAAATAAAGTATGATTTCACGATATCAAACTTCAATGAAAAATTCTCTTTTGTATTTGACTTTAAGATCAATATCTCAAATTTCTGCGTGAGCGTTTTAAAGTATGGATATTCGAGATGTTCTTTCATTTGATTCTTCCTTTCCATTACTTAACAACCAAACGAAACGTTATGTACTCGGCTAACTTTGATTGAATACCATTATCATTTTAACCATAACGAGCATATTTATCATGAGGTTGAGAAAATGAATTTACTGTTGAAATGTTCTCTAATGAACAGGAAAGTGCGTTGCACATGACTTTTATTTATTTATCGGAAGTAGACTCAATGAAAACATGATCTACCTTTTTTCTGTGCGGGCAATGCATTGATGCGTTGCTTTTCTACCATTACATATATATGTACGCATACGATTGCGTGATAAATTACCTTGAATCATTACGTTTGTTTGTTTGATTTCTCACGTTTCGATCGGTAGGTTTACTTTGAGCGACTTCTTAGGAAAAACAATCATACAATCCTTAATGGGAAATATAAACTCCTTCTTTATTCTTCCTCCTAATCGAAGCAATTATGGGAAGACAAAAAAAGATCATCATCACCATGAATCAATTAGTTTCATTCCAGCACTATCTATTATTGATTGTTTTAAAATCATGGCCATTATTCTACTACTAACTAGCAGTATCGTCCTATCGATTTTGAAACAAAAATCAACAATATCGAAAGCTACGCTTATTCCAAATGATAACTCACAAGCATCGACTATGCAAAATAAACTAGATGATGATAATCCGTACGGATTTCATCCATTCTATCAAGCTCATAAACGTGTGCAGTTTCAAAATCCTCCAACATATAATCCATGCCGTGATATCGACCCAAGTAGAACGTTACTATTAGCTGTTTTATCACGTGCTAGCAATGTACATATACGCGAAGCGATTCGACAGACATGGGGTGCAATGAGAGTTTACAATAATATCGAAATACGTGTTTCGTTTATTGTCGGTGTGGATGATGGAATGCTCAAACAAATTGAAATGGAACAATCGATCTATCACGATGTCATTCAAGTGAATTTACCTGAAAATTATCCTGTTGTATCTTATAAAGAATTGGCTGCCTTATGCTGGAGTCGGTATTTTTGTTCAAATATTCAATATATATTCAAAGCAGATGAAGATATTCATTTAAATATTCCCTTGTTAACAAGTCTTGTTTCGAATTATATGAAAAATGAAAGTATAGCAGATACTCCATTGATCATCGGTTGGTTTAGACACAAGTCTCGTGTTGATCGTTCTGGTCGATACATAGTTACCGAAGAAGAATACCCAGGATTTTATTATCCACCGTATACATTCGGTATTGGATACTTGCTAACTAAAGCAGGACGTGATAATCTATGTGTAAGTGCACAGCGACCACATCCGGTAACACGTGTAGGTGACGCTTACATAACGGGTATTCTTCGTGATCACGCCAAAGTTAACTATGGACGTTTTGGTGATGTTCATTATATCTATTCTTACACACTCAATGGAGCTCGCTGTCAGGAATATTTCACATATGATCCTAAACTATTAATTTGTATGTCAAGTGTACATTCCGGATCGAGTGATGTGGCTGATGAATATGTTCATGTTTGGAATATCATACTCAAAGAAGATAATGATGCATTAGATGATCAAGAATAAACAGAGAACTGCTTTTTTTCCATAGTAAATCATCTAGTTCAATAAATATTGCGATTGTATTATTATGTTTACTACTAAACAAACATCTCTGCGTTCATCATAATATTTTCCTAATTGCGAGATGCTAGTATTACTAGAAAATTGATATGTAAACTTTTTTGATCAGATAAACATGACGATAATCTTTCTTAACACTCGTTTGTAATTTCATTAGCTTTGCTAAAAACATATTTTCGCTGATATTCGTTTCCTTCATGCGGATGGGAGAACTTTGAAGAATACCGAAACTGTTCATCGGTAAAACGAATGTTTATTTGAATTAATAAACAAACAAATGGATGAATGTTGTTATTCTTCTTCTTCCAAAACAAGTTTCGATCGTTCGGACACAAACGGTACTGAGCCAGGTTTGCTATTAGCACGTGCGTTGGCTTCATGACGTTTTTGACTATCCTGGATGGTCTTGTGTTCACGTTTGGCATGATAAACATGTTTAGGTACGTGACGTTGTCGTGCAATGCGTTTAATTTTCGGGAAATGTGAGAATTTCTCTTTTAATGCATCATTGTATTCAAGTGTTTCAGCTTCACGATTGCGTGTCTAAGCAAAAGTATCATTTCACCAACTTGTTAGAACATAAACATATCAAGTTGACTTACCACGCCGAGTTTTTCACTTGCTTTTGCTTTCCACAACCGTAGACACATTTCGTCCGAACCTGATATGACATATTTATTATCGGCTGTCCATTGAACGCAAGTAATATGCTGCATACGTTTCGTATGGTAAATATCTCTGAAAGAGAAATGTTTTTCCATGTGAAATTGTGAATGTTAATCAATACAAACCGGCTATGACCTTTATCCGAGGGAAATATTCGAATAGTTTTATCGTAGCTACCACTAACAAATTCTTTTCCTGTTGGAGAGTAATCAACGTCTGTGACAGCTGCAACGTGATCTTTATGAATATTGAATGGTCTTTGTAGATAACGAATATCAAAACTGTACAAACTGAACAAAAAGAGAATGAAGTATATCTCTATGAAGAGATCAACTCTAACTTACTTGTAATCTTCATTTGCGGTTGTGAATACAAATGCTTCGAGCGGATTCCAAGCAAGTGTGCTGGAATTCATTCGGAGTGTGATCTAAAATTCATGTGTGAATTTGAAATTCATTTTCAATCGTTCATTTGTCGTTACTTTTCGTAATGGTACAGATTGTCTCGTATCGTAGAGAATTATACTTCGATCAGCTGCACAACTGGCAAGAACAGTTGTCTAGAAAAAGAAATGTTCGATCAGTATGGATTTCTTTTTCTAACTTACTTCAATTGGATTGAATTTGACTCTCGCGTGACTGTCTGCACCCCATTTAAATGTCTGAAGCGGTTGAGCACGTTGCTCGTCCCATAATGACACGGTTTCGCCACTAGTGGCATACTGAGGATTCTTGTAATGATGATCAATCGATGTAAAAACATGCTAAAAGCAAATATGAAATCATTCTCTTCATACACACTGACTCGCGCATCATACTTTTCCAACAATTGTCATCGCTGGAGTTTCATAGTTATTCATAGTCCATCGTTTGATTAATTTATCATTTCCAACTGAATAAAACGCTTCACCATCTGGCATCACACATATACCACGAACAAATCCATTGTGTGCTGGTATTGTTCCTTGACAAACGCGTTGAGCAACATTCCAAATCTTAATCTAAAGACGACATTCATCACCTCAAAACAAGACTCGAATGATTTATTCGTACTTCTCCATCACATGAACCGGATAGAAGTAAGGAGAGTTGAGTGGAATGTTTAGTTATGCATTGCACACTATCGCGATGTCCATCTAAACCGCAAATGAATGGTCGAGCGAAGATTCTTTCCATTTTGACAGCATTCATTGCCCGAGTATATTCACGTGCAACTTCGAATGGATGAAGATCAGGATCGTAGTTTCGTTGTATTGGTACAATGTCTTTTTTCGTTTCGCGGACATAATCCGCTGGATTGCGACAGAGCATTTTGACCTTCATGTTTTATCTTAAAGAAACGAGTTTTTAGAAAATCAGCTTTCTCAAAACGAAACGAAGTTCATGTGAATCATTCGATAGCTTTTCAACCGTTTGAAGAAGAACGAATCAAAGTGCATGACAACTAGCGACACGATATTTATTTATGGAAATATCAGAAATATTCGCTGGAACTGACTGACAAACCGATTTTGAAAATAAAATTTGTAATTATTTTCCAAATGATTTCATTTCCTTAGTCGCGATTTGAATGTTGTTTTCTCTGGTTAAACATGGACACGAGATCCACCGTTGTTTATTATTTAGTTGTCCATTTTCTTGCTTGCTTGCAAATTGAAAAGGAACGTTAAAGTCACGAATTTAAATTTTAGATTTTCCATTCGTCTCATCTTGAACGCATCATCATGCCCAAAGAAATTAAAGACATCAAAGATTTCTTACTCGTTGCGCGACGCAAAGACGCCAAATCGGTTACAATCAAACGTAATCCGGAGCGCAGCACCCGACAAGGCAACACCAAATTCAAAGTTCGATGCAGTCGTTACTTATATACATGTACGTGTTCGATTTTGCTCACAAAGTCAATGTTAGAAATTCGATTTCTGTTTTAGTGATCGTGGCTGACAAGGAGAAAGCTGAAAAACTCAAACAATCATTGCCACCTGGTCTTAATGTAAAGGAAATCAAACCCAAAAGCAAGAGTTCATAGGCCGTGATCGGTGACTTGCCAACTTTTGCTGAAGAAAAAAAGAAGAAAATTTGTTTGTTTTTTGTTCCATCCTTGTTTTTTTGCGAGTTTTGTTCAAATTGATCCGAAAAGCAAATCTTCTTTTGAATAAAATCGCAGAAGAAAAAAAAAACACTGAACTTCTAGAATGATTGTTCGTTTTTCATCATTTACATTTTAATGAAAATCTTCTAGATGAAATTATCATTCGATTTCCTAGTCATATGTCTGTGTGCAATAATATTAGCACCGGGAAAAGTCAATAGTTTATTCGAAGATCAAGTAGGCAAATTTGATTGGTAAGTAGACGGCGTTTCTCTCTCTCTCTGTTGCTTTCCTTCCTCTACGAGGAAAACGTCTAGATAATGTCTTTTTTTCAAGTCGAGAAGAGATCTTTAGAAGAGGAAAGGGATTAAATCTTCTTTTAATATATATATATAAAGAAGGATTGTTCATGAATCGATCTGCTTCGTTGTTTTCATAACAATGGAATGAAGGAAGAAAAGGAAAAGAATCGGAAGTAGATTAGAAGACTATTCGAGGCTTACAGATATTTGATGTCTTCGAACAGAATCGAAGTTGACGAAGAATAAGAGAAGTTCAACGAAGCAAAGCAAAGAGAATACAATGTCAATTACGATGGATTTACTGCAGTATTTTTCGATATCCGATCGAGCAGACTTCGTCTTCTTTTCTTCTTTTTCTTTTGTTAATAGCAAGAGAATTATTCACATTAATTTTTAATCTCAATATTACTAACTGTACTGATTAAAAACAATACAAAACTCTGTAGGGAATGCTGTTTTCTTTAATCTTTTCGATGACGTTGATGAATTCCATACGAGAGAAATTCTCCTGGATGTAGTAGGGATCGATTGTTTGTTAGTTTTTTTTCCTATGGTATATCATTTCTTTCTGTTTTCTAGGCAACGTCAGCATATTGGTTTCATCGATGATTCTCATCAACCGTCCGGTAGTACTAATCGTATTATTGTTGCCAGTCGTGACAATGTTCTCGCATCACTCGATTTATCATCAAGACAAATGGGTAATTATCTAATCACTGTTCTCTCATTTTATTATTTGAAGCAAAGCTGAAAAATGAATCAACAGCTAAGAAACAGTAGTTTACAAGAAAAATAGGAAAAGTGGTTTTTAGCCAACATAAGAACCGTTACCATATGCACCATATGGATTCATTCCTCCGAATTGTGAACCGTACGATGGTTGCGGCTGCATCATCATCACTGGTGAGCCAGCCAGTTGACGTTGTTGTTGCATCATGACTGGTGAACCAGCGAGTTGGCGTTGTTGTTGCATCATTACTGGGGAACCAGTAACCCAACGTTGAGTATAAGTAACAGAGTTTTCTATCATGACAGGAGGAGGACTTGGTGGTGGTGAAGGAACGGGAATACCGACGGGAGCGTAGCAGGGATTGACACAAGGATTTGCCATGGGTTGAGGTGGGGGAGAAGGAACTGGTACAGGGACAGGCACTGGTCGATCGACAGGATAGGGAACAGGCACTGGCCTATCGACAGGCACCGGTTGAGGAACAGGAACAGGTACCGGGACCGGTCGATCAACACAGATTGGTTGAGGTACGGCAACAGGGTAAGGTTGAGGAACAGGACGATCTACTGGAACAGGATAAGGAACTTGTTCTCGAATAACTCTTGGCGGTGGAGCAGGAACTAATTCAAGTTGTCGTCGTTCAGCAATATAATAATCGGGAGCATAGCCGACATTACCAGCTTGATTGCCGAATCCACCAGCAGCTGCTGCGTTACCATAACCTGCTTGATAGCCGTAATTTAGAGGAGCACCGATACCAGTTCCATAGGGAGGTTTATTATAGCGATCGACTGGATTTTGTCGATAATTACTGAAACTACTGTGTCCGGAAGGACTTGCTGCCAAATGGTCTCCTGAGTGGTTTCGTGCGCCACCGTACAAGAGATCGCGTTTTTTCGATACGTAATTATTTTTACTTGATTTCTTCTCTAATGGTCGCTGAAATGCAGATCCAGAACCACCGAAACCTGATTTACTGTCGCGTCGTTCATAAGCAACAAAATCTTCTTCAGCATCAGTTGTTAAATGTCGCTCGATACGTTCACCAAATCGTGCTAACGCATCGGCTGTTTTGTTTACGAATTTGTCCATTAATGTGTCTCGTAGCTTGTGATTTGTGCTTGTTTGCTATCAGTGACGGCAATATCAAGTTATTTATATTATATCGAAACGAGTGAATAAGCGACAAATGAATGAGAAGAGCGTAGGCCTGAATAGAAGAGACAGACGTTGATGCGTGACCAACTGATTCACATTACTCATTTTCCAATGATGTCAATGGATATTATTTTCTAGGATGGCGAAAAGTTTTCGAAGCAAATGACTACGGTAAAATTGATAGAATTATCTGGTACGACCAAGAAGGTGTCATCGTCACTGGAAATGGTAGGAGAGTTCGTGCGTTAAGATACGCCGACGGGTTGGAAGTATGGCAATTAGCAGCTACGTCAGGAACGAATTCCAATGAAGAGACAATTTCGAAATCTTGTCAAGTGATCAAAAATCGATTCGATCCAGGTGAGTTTCTGTTGATGAATCATGATTTCTTTCGAGACAATACTTGTCATCCTTGTTGGATGAAGGTCAACTAGTGAACGCCCCTGAGTGCATAATTTTCTTTTGTAACTATGGCATAATAAAAACAGATTGAGAGCGTTTTAATGATGTCAGAGTAATTAGGCGTGAAATGAAAATCTAATTCGAATACATTATCAATTAATACAAAACGAAATGAGAACATGTCTAATGAAGTATTTCAAATTAATTAAATATGAAAAGATGACAATCTCAATTTTGTTTTTTTCTCCTTTACTCGGAAAATCTTTTCAACAATCATTAATGTATCATCATACGACACATGTCATGCCAATCTGAGCTTATTTCTATGTTCAGGTACTATTCATATTCTCAACGATGATCTTCTATGGAGTGTCTCATCCTATGGAGAGATGCTCTGGTCGATCGAACTACCTACAAAGTAAATGCTACTTGTTTTGTCTTCCCCTGTACAATAAAATCGACTTTTCATTGAAGACTAACGCTGAAGAATCTATTTCTTTTTTCAACATCTCAGTATGTGATCGTCGCCAGTTTGGATTCAAATTCGAATAAACTCCAAGTAATTTATTACTCAAAACAAAATGGTGCTCAAGCATTCTCTTCATCGATTCCATGGTCATTCAATGCCAAGGATAGTCAAAGGTATAGATGTCCTTTGTTCATTTATTCTTCTACGATGATTTTCTTCTTCTTCTTCGTCTAGCAAATGTTCAACAATGAATAATATCATTTTATGTGCCAATAATGCTGAACTTTCAATGATTACAATTCCGACGACAACCGATGACACAAATATCAACACTCGTCAAATCCAATTCTCCAATCCAATCGAACAAATTCGAGTTTTATACGAAAGCAGCACACGAAGTATCGTCTCAATCAAAACTGACAATGGTGAAACTAAAGTTTACCAATTCAATAAGAAAGACTCAACCAATGAATGGAGTCATCATGAATTAAACGTTCAAATCAAATCTAATGCATTCTATAGTGTCGTGTCTGATAAAACCTCTGGTGGCCAACAAATTCTAGAAGGATCTGCCAGTCAACAAAAGCTTAATTTCTATCTTTCAACTATTAGCGAACAAACATTGACTAATACACGTTCATATTCGATCGAACTTCCCGAAGACATGGGTGATATCGAATATCTTTCATATTCCAATGTGAAACATACTCAATTTGTAACATTAAGAATGCAAGATGCTTCTTTACTCGTGATTAAATTAGCAGATAATGGAGGTATGGATTAAGGATACGAAGATAATTATCAATGTTGTTATTTTCCTTCAGTTAGAAAAGAGAATGTCGTGACAGCGGAGTTCTTTCCTAATCAAGCAGATCAATGTAATCTTGACAAAGAAAGATTTCTTTCTAAGAGAAAAAATCGCTTTCCTAGTTAATTGAGATTTGCAAACACATTTTAGTCGTCAGCTATGATTGAATTATATGGAGTTTTTTTTTCGCTCTTTAGCTGAACTGATTTTACATCGTGATGAAGCCTTATCTTCGATTATATCAGTCGAAGCATTCGATTTATCTCTATCGAGTGGACAAATGCGTATCGAAGACGAATTCGGTGGCACAGGAATGTTCAGCATGTTTGTTCGAAGAATATCATCACAAATCTCACAGTTAACGGTAAGGAAAATTCGAATGTTGATGATGGAGACCTTCGATTGAATATGTTTTAGAGTTTTGTTGTGCGTTTGATGAATATGTTCACAAATGCAAATGCAAATCGTGAATATATGGATAAACAAGCAGCACTTGTTCGAGATGAATTTAATTTAAATAAGATTCTTATTGTTGTTACGTCTGTCGGCAAGGTAAATTCAAACTTTCTCTTTCTTTTTTACATGAAAAGAAAATACACTTCGTTTGTTTAAACAGGTTTTCGGCATTTTAACACAAAGTGGCGGTATTCTTTGGAAACATCATTTTACAGATTTCGCACCATTCGAACATTTTAACACACTACAAGTGCCTTTATTTCATATCCGTTCGGCCGCTCACTATACTCACCCGCCATTAGCATCGATTGTCTATCGTGATCGAGTATGAACAGTCACTCGGAACAAAAGCACGACGATGATTTCATCTTGATTTTCGTTTAGAATTCTTTGTATGAAACTCATGTGCGAACATTTAATCCATACACAGGCGATTTCGAAGAAAGTCTCAGTACGTCATCACTCCCACATCGTATTAAACGTGTTTTCCTATCCACACAAATTGTTAATGATTTCTGCAAAGTCTTATTGTTCGTTGATGCAAATAACAAAGTTTGTTTTCGCCCAAAATACTCTTCCGATGAGACATTCAACGTTATCTTTAGATCCACACATATCCAACTGTGCCCTTATCGCGAGCGTTGAGTACAACAACTCCGACATACATTTATCTATTTGATAAAGCCGAACAAGCATTTATTGGGTACTACTTAACAATTAATGAAAATGAACAAGAAAGTGTAAGTGATTGAATTTAGTTGAGTGACAACAAACGAAAATTGTTTGGATCGAATCTAGTTGAAAGAAAATGTTCGATGATGTACACATAAAGTTTGACGATTCAGAAACTTCTTGAAGATAAACCTTTATATTTGCACGTAAAACCGCCTGAGAACATTTTTGTTTTCTATTTAGTCAACAGGTTTGAAAGAAGTTTGGCGAGTTGCATTTCAAAATGAACAAGTTATCAATATCTACACACGATTAAGTTCAGGTAAACGATCAGAATCGTAAACCAAATGGAATAAATAGAATATTTTCTAGATCGAGTCCATTCGGCTGGTATTGTCCTTGGTGATCGTAGTGTTCTTTATAAATACACAAATCCCAACTTAATTGCTGTTGTAACTGAAGGAATTGATTATCAAAAAGGTACGGAAATAGATTTGGGAGGGGGGAGAGTGTTGAAATATTCTTCGAGATAAAGCATTCCATCGGAAAAAAAAGCGAGAAAAACAAATTCTGATAGGATAAAGATAATGAGAATCGTATAGACTGCTTGACGCACGTGCAGAATGAATTAAAATGATATTATGGCTGTTCTATCATGATAAATATCTCTGGAAAATGTACAAACAGAACAGAGACGAGCTGTATGAATAGGTAAAACATCTGCTTAGTGTTTTGTTAGATAAGATTAGAAGATATTCGTCTCGTTTTAATGAAAGAAAAACGAAATGAAATAATAAGTTTGTCGGAAAGAAGAAAAAGATCGCCTGGGGCAGTTAAATAATTGTCATATACGAAAAAAACATAACTAAATCTCCGAACAATGAATATCTCCGTAAGGTATGAACACTCAGTCGATCATGTTTGTATTCATATAGGAGAAGTTCTTTTCAGCAAGAATAAATTGACTCTTCTAATGTAAATAGAGAAGTAAGGAAAGTAAAGTGCTCAATTGATTTCCATTTTTTCTGCTAAAATGAATCAAAAGAATAACAAGAAGTCATTTTATGCATTTTAGTTCCATTTGTGAGTATTTATCTGTTGGATACAGTTACTGGCTCATTAAAACTTTCACATACCCACAAACGTGTAAAATCGCCAGTTCATGTCGTTCTCGCTGAAAATTGGATCGTTGTAAGTTGACATTTCCTCTCTATATCTCTACAAACTATGACTTTTTGTAGTACACTTATTACAATCAACGATACCGACGATATGAAGCTGTCAGTTCTTCATTATTTGAAGGTGAAGCTCAATACAACTATTCAACATTTTCATCATTTGATCCAATCGAACCTGTGATTCAATCAAAAGCTTACATTTTACCGTATGGTGTCAATGCTATTCAAGTTACAACAACAGAGAAAGGAATAACATCGCGTGATATAATCAGTAGGAGAAAAATTTCCTTAAAATCCAAAGTTATATAAAATCAAACTTCACATTTTAGTGGCAGTACCAAATGGAATGCTTATTGAAATTCCCTGGATGTTATTCGATCCACGTCGACCATTCGACTTAACACCTATGGATCGGTAAAGAAACTTTCACATATAAATGTTCCTGAAACAGAATTTTCTTTCAGCGAAGAAGGTTTGATCATGTATACACCAGAAATTATGGTTAATTTCGAAAGTGTCATTAACTACTATAAACAAGTGTATAATATTCGTGGTATTCATACAGTATCAACAGGTCTCGAATCGACTTCTGTTGTTTTTGCTTATGGTCTTGGTATGTCAAAATAAATAATTTGCTTTTATCGAAGAAATAATTTGTTAATGTAGATATGTTTTTCACACGTGTTTTTCCGTCGCGTATATTTGATCAATTGAAAGACGACTTTGACTTTATGTTTATTGGTTGGTCAACAGTTGCATTTGTTGTTGGTTCTTTCATTGCCAAACGTTACGCAGCTATTCATCAAACGAAGAAGGCTTGGAAATAAATTCTTTTTAAATCATTCCAGTCGACATTTTTTCAAAGAAAGAAAAGCAGAAATCTTTGTTTGTTTTCTATTTCGTGTTTATGTACAGCGACCGATTAACCGTGGTAGTTTTCAATATAAACCAAAAACCGGAACAATTCTACGATTGATCAGTTTCTGTACGTGTCGTTTTTTTTTTCTTCTCAGTTCGTAATCCTAGTTTCTGTTTTACAAACATGAATCTCCGGAAAAAAAAGAATAAAAAAAAGATCGTCGCGATTGGTCATAGTAGAAATGGCTCATTCATTTTTGCATTTTTATATGTCAATGCACCTTTTTTTTTCTATTTTAGATGTGTTTGATTAACTTCAAAGATAATCATAAGCACGATTATCTTTCCCTATTGAATGTCATCCTACATCCGATGTCGATTCGTTATCTCGTTCTGAGATTTATACATACACATCGTAAGAGAATTACTGTTGACGTATCTCCAGGACTCGTCGGATCGTTTTCTTATTCAAGGATGTTAGTTTAGAAGAAAAATATCAATGATTGCCAACATAACGTTTTTGTTTGCTGATAAAGGATTCGAATGCCTGGTTTTTCATTGATAGTTACACAAAATGTTTCTTATCGGCAAAGCACAAACTCAAATAGTAATTTGAGTGTTGCATATTCTGATTAGTTTTGAAGTCGAGAATTCTTTACGTTTGTTTTCCCTGCTTCTACTGATAATAATAGAAATTGACAGAAAGAAGAAAAATACTTGTTCGTATCTTCAATCTAGGAAGGACATCATATTTCATCTGTCGACCTAAGTGATCATAGAATGAAGAGAGAAAAAAAAGAAAAATCAAGGTAAAACGGTCTATCTTTTGCCTCGGTTTCTACCGAGCTTTTCTTTTTCATTAGAGTGTATTTATTTTATTTCTTGGTTTGTCTATTACGTTCAGTGTCAATATTACATTGGTCTTTTCTTCAGTTTTCTTTTCTCATTTTCTGTTTCTTCTCATGACAAACTAATATTGATATCGATTATATACGATTCGATTAGATCAAATGAATGAATGCACGTATGAATGAACGGAAAACGGGGTGATGACAGTGAGACATCGCGAGAAGTATTATCATTATAGCAGATCGTTGCTGTTGTGTTGTTGTTGGTCTGAGAAAGCATAGGGAGAGAAAAAGAAGAAAAAAGACGACTACTATATTCTCGTGTGGTCTTCCAGCAAAAATAGATGCGTACATATATTAATGAAACCGATTTTGCTTCTTTCTCCTCTTCTTCCTCCTCTTCTTCCACTGCTGTTGCTTTTACAAGCAACAGTCTTCTTCTTCTTTCTCCGATCGATCGAATCAACGAAGTGTCTGACTGGCTGACTCACCGACAACGACAGGCAAAGGTCGTCGGCTTCTTTTTCTGCTACTACTTTTATATTTGTGCTAATAACGATTCGTATTTTGTTATTCTCGAGCCCAGATGGTTTAAGTATATGTTTGATTTATGTCGTTTGTCATGGTGTGAATATTCCGACTTGTACAATAACTAGCATGAGTCTGTTGATAGACTTAAAGAATATCGAACACAAGCAAAATCGAATGTATGAAGGTGAATTATTTGATTTTTCTTTCTCTTTCTCTCTCTCTCTACCTCTTTTATTCTTATCGAACGAGAAATGAAAGAAAAAACGTTTTTTTTTTGACAAGTATACACTCTCGTTC